TTTTGCTTTATGTTTTCAACCGCACAGGACTTAACAGTTTTTGCTTTATGTTCATGGTTATTATGACCTATAGCTTCGGACGGGTAAATGGGCTTTAACTAAGCCTGACAGGCACTCTTCCCAGTTATAATGGCGAACCTCCCCAAACGCCCTTATCTCCCCCCCCCCCCACTGACCCTTAACAAGTCACCACATAAAACACAACACTACCTTGTCAGTGGGATTGTTAGCCCCCTACACACACTCTCCAGACTAGAATACACCCCCCTGGGGGACAGACTACAGGCTACACCCCTTCCAGGCAACCTTCTCTGACATGCATCCTCAATTTCAAAGGGTATAAGAAGCAACACTCTACTTTTCCTACACGCATGACAGTCCTAACTACAATAATATAAAAATTTATAAAATGTGCTATCCTATAGTCGCAATGTTATCTGTTATGTGCATTAACATGTCTTATCGCTGTTGTGGCGAGATCTGCTGTACTGTTATAACTGCACGAACAAAATAAAGAATTTATAATTATTTTTTTTTTTAAATTAAATCAGTACTTTTTGCTTACATTTTTAAATTCACTGCTATAAGAGGTTTACCGAGTAAACTTCTAAGTAACTTTACTACTGAAAATATGTTCTAGGGAACAGTATTCTGTATATCCTTTATATTTAAAGCTTTAGTTCATATTGTTTAAATGCTGGGTTAAATAATGCTCCTTGGCCTCTCCCAGTACAATATATAAGAATGTTTTGTTTTTAACATAGTATTCTTAAGTAAACAAAGAGATAAATGCACAATAGCAATACCAGGAAAATCAAGTTTGCTTTTAAAATAACCAACCATCCCATGCAGGTAAGATTAGGTTATTTTCCATTCTAATTATGTAAAATGCAAACATCGGATGTTGTCTGACCACAGCTTAATGTTTTCAGTCATCTGTACCATGCGCATAACCCAAGGCAGACCGGCCTATTAAAATATGTAATGTAACAAAAGCTGCCTAAAGAGTAAGATATGATGTTGTAAATTTAGATGTAAACAAAACACAGAGTGTGTCGGGGATATATATATATATATATATATATATTTTTTTTTATGTGTGGTCTTAAAGGGCACCACAATAAAATCTCATGTAGGTGAGTGCCCTGGCACCATTCTTTCATTTCACGTTAAACTGGTTTTGAATAGTTTAAAACTAAAGGATAGACGCTAGCTGTCCAACCCCTCTGTGCTACTTGTGCTTATAGGGAAGCATTGGCCTGAACAGCAATGGACACCTGTGACTGGCTACGGAATTTTCGCTAACCTCTTTTAGCCTATTACCGCTGCCACTTGCTGGCATGAATTGGTATGGCAGAGCGTGTAATCTTTGCTTTAGCCATGCCTCATTGTAGGCAGCCAGTGACCCTTATCCAATGTTCAACTACTTGATAAACTGTTTATGAACTGTACAGGCACCCAGACCACTGTATCTTAAATGTTCCCCCTTATTCTGGTTTTAACCTGACAAGTAATATTTCCATTGTATGGTTTAAATGCCTCCTGTGGCTGCCAGACAATGACTTTAGGTGCTTCTGGTGTAAGACTGTTTATGTAATTTCCATTATGCGCTCTTGCAGAGCATTCTGTCTTGCACCAGCCTCCCAATTAAATACAATGGAAAAGCATTGATTATCTCAGAGAATGAAAGACCAGGGAGAAGAGGCAAGTACAACCGCATATCTTTTTTTCCTCCTTACGGTGGTGACACTAGAAATAGAATACAGACATCACAACATGCAAAAACACATTTCAGGGAAGTCGCTGCACCAGCTACTGCACCACCCACCCCTAAACATGTATGAACATATTTGATACATGCACTGGCACACACACTTACTCAGATACACACAGTAAAACACTCAGGGACACAGACTGACATACACTAACACACAATCTGACATTTCATACTTTATATCTTTGCAGCCATCCTCCTGTTAGCTTAACTCTGTGTCCAGGAGGGCGACTTGCTTGGGTTCTGGTGCTGGCTGAGGCGGATTGAGGTGAGCATGCAGCAGCTCACTCCAGCCTCTTCTCCGCCTCCTGCCTTTATTCTTCCCGGTTGGCTCTGTGACTAGGTTTCACTGTAGACTGAGCACAAGTAAAATTCCTAAGGCACACCAATTACAGTTCATAGCATACTCATTTAGTCTTTAGTATAACTATCACACACTATGCTTGTCAATAAGGGGATTTCAATGCTCAGCAAGCCATTGTAGGCACTTTAACCGCTTCCCCTCATTAAAGTTTTTATAGTGTCTGGAGTCCCCTAGTGACATTCAGTGTTAATCCATTTTTAATACTACATAAGAGTCCCCAGCAGTCCATCCCCTCTGTGCTACTTTTGCTAATGAGTAATCATAAGAGCCAAGGAATATCTGCGATTTGCTTTTCAGGCTCTCAAATTACTACACCCAATGCTGTTAAGAATTGGCATCACTATAAGGAAGTGTGTATTTGCTACCTTAGCCATACCTCCAGTAGAGGCTGGGCACCAGTAGCATAACCAGAGCAGAACTAAATTCTGGTGTACTTGTGTTCAGTGTATGTATCTGCAGTCTCCCCTGTATATTTTAGCAGAGTAGGCTCCTGCCATATGGGATAAGCAGGTGCCTACTGTGCCTTGCTAAATAAGTGCCCACACTGGGGCTCCCTAAGGTGGACCTCCTGGTCTGCCTCTGACAGGTCTTGCTATTGCTTTTGCATCCATGTCAGCAGCATCACTGTCCCCTTAATAGTGATGCTACTGCCAGGGACCCTTTGTGCTAAACCGCAAGAAAATGGTTTAACATTGAATGGAGATAGTGGTAGAGGACTCTAGGCACTAGATCCAGTTCAATTAGAAAGCGCTTTTAATAGTGCCTACAGCAAGCATGTCAAACAAAGGCTAGCCCGGGCCAAATACACAAGGTCCACTGTCCAGCTGCAGTCATCGCAACATTGACAGACACATTCTTGCACACACACTCACAAATCATTTTATTTCTGTCTCCCTGCCTTTTGAGCTGGTGCGGGACCTCTTCCTGGGGTCCATCTTCTCTCTAGATATCTCTTCCAGCTCCTCACTGCTCCCTCACGCACGCAGTTTGGTGATGCCGGGCAGGAATGTCACATTTCGGCACCTGGCATCACCACAGAGAGAACGCGCAAGGGAGCAGTGAGGAGCAGGAAGAACAGGCTGAGCTCCCTCAATTATAGCACCGGAAAACATTACTGCTGAACAGGGGCCCCGTCGGGTGCCAGCCATTTAGGATCGCGACTGGGCCCCTGCAATGTCAGCTGCCTGAGAGGAAGTGACAGCCTGTCACTTTCTCCCAGCATCATGCAGGGAGACAGCGTGGGAGGGAGAAGAGGCCACTGCAACATGAGGAGAGGAGCATGAAGAGCTGCTCCAGACCCTTCACTCCCACCAGCAAGACCAAGACTCCAACTCACCCTCCTGGTCACATAAGGTATGTTAACAGGAGGGTCGCTGGAGATATTAAAAATATAACTTGGGTGCATCAGAGCATGTGTATATATAGGTCAGTGTGGGTTTTTGTGTCAGTGTGTATATGTATCAATGTTTGTGTGTCAGGGCGCATGTGTACGTGTCGCTGTTTGCATGTGTCAAGGTATGTGTGTATCTATGTGTATTCTGCATCTGTTCAAGTATGTAGTAGTGTATGCGCATGCATCAAAGCAGTCATACAGCAGCACAACATACAAACAAACACAAATATTCGATACAAACACACCACTGCATTCAAACACAAATACTTCACACAAATGTACACCGCATTTAAAAGTGAACATTACATTCAAACACACCCCTGCAGTCAAATGCAAACACCATACAAACACACCCCATGTATTAAAAAAAATCATAAATAAAACCACACAAAAAGCATATGAAAGTCCTTGTTCTTGCATACAGAGCCTCTAAGCATGCTTGATTCTCCAGGAGGAGGCAGGGGAGGGCCAGAGCATGAAGAGGTCTACAGGCTATGCATTCCCAGTGATGTGCACTGTACATTGGTAGTGAATGGATTAATCGGTCTAATCCATCAAGAACCTTTAAGTAAGCTTGAGCAGTTAGAATAAATTTAGGCCAAACGTAGTGATCACCAGACTAAACATTTAACAAAAGTGTTATTCTACAACATTAGGTTTTTCTTCCAATACGTTTGTCAAGTACATGTATTTAAAAGGAATACTCCAGTCACTACGACCTATGTAAAATGCTACTCTCAACCAGACTCCTTAAACTCCGTTGTTTAAAACCGGTAACAGATAATTTATATCAGGGTTATTCACTAAAACTGAAAACTGCTGGGAATACAAAGTGAATTTAGAATTTAAGGCCAAAATCAGAAATACTGGAAACATTCTCCAACTCAGGCATGCTTCCAGTTTACAGGCTCCGCTACCCTCCTGGGAGGGAAGGCTCATGAAAAGCTGCAAACCATAGGGTTTTCAGAAAAAAAAACTACTTTTTTTGTATCTTCATTTTTTGGAATGGTTTAAAAGTTGCGAGGGAAGCTCCATCCTGGTGATTAAGCAAGACACTAGACTGTAAACGTAGCAGTGGTTTTATGCCAGTTGTGTTGTGACTTGCATGTTAACCTTTAAAAAAAACTAGGTATGAGGAAGCAATATTTCCAGTAACCCTGACTGACACACAATAAATACTCCACAGGGTGGGACAACTGAGATATTCATTGATGGAACTTTGCTTTGTGCAAAACCAGTTATGTTTCATATTTTAATGCCTTGTGTTCCAACAACAAGATGGGGAGCACATAACTTCTTTCAAGTAACCAACAAGCATAAATTATGTATGAAAATGTATGTTTAACAAAGTCGCTGCCAGACCTAGATGCAGCAATTGTAGATTTATAGATTTTACTAGATAAAAAATAAATAAATAAAAAAATACAAAAATATAAAAACACAAAACAAAAAACACAGGAACAGTAGAAATCAGCATGAAATACAGAGTTTATTTAAACAATTTAGCAATATGTCAAACATTTCACAGAAATATTTAAAAAGTACTGTTTGCACACAAGTTCTCCTGTACGATTAAAGTACTTGTGCATCATTTTACTTCATTAAGAAAAACTTAACCAACCCATTGTGTAAACACATTTGAAAATGGCGGCGGTCACCAGATATATTAAAAAAAAAAAAAAAAACAACCCCACAAAACACAACCAAAAAGGAACAAATAAATGCTCTATAAAATGCTTGAAGTCTGGTATATACATTATATGTCCTTAATGTGCCTTTGGACATAAAATATCCAGGTGGTGAAATTACATTGCAGTAGAATAGAGTCCCAGTCGTTTTAACTTTAAAATCATGAACAAAAACCATCAAGATTGTCATTCATTGCATTGATTTCAGAAAGGATTAGCGATTTGGGAGAATATAAACAACTGCAGATTCAATAGGGTATCCTAACTGAAGTGTTTCGAATACAGCCCCAATAGCATTTTAATCATTGTGAACGGCAGGTTTGCAATACACAGGAGCTCCATCTGGCAACATACCTTAAACCATTGCACAAGAAAATGAACAAAAAAAAAAAAAAAGTTTCAAATGCGAGAAATGATAGACACTACGGCTATAACGTCACATAGAGCAAAAATGCATTTCACCAAGAAAGGGCATATTGCTTTCAATAGAGTTCCAGTATCATTAGTAAAAATATATATTTATATTGAACAGTAATAAATAATGAAGATCATGAATTAATAGGGAGAACCCCTCCCGCCCCCACAAAACAAGATGTTTATCCTTAAGACGTGGCAGCTTTATGAGATTATATATATATATATATATATATATATATATATATATATATATATATATATATATATATATATATATATATATATATATATATATATATAAAGTAACAGTAGATGAATATTAAAGTTCTGTTTACTATATAGTGTGGTTGAGCTTTATGACTGCTGGTAGATTAAATTTGTAAGATTCCGGCTACGAAATATTTCTACTTAACTACATTTGTGCAATTGACAAAATTCACGGTCAAAGAAAAAAAATAAAAAAAATAAATAAATTCATTCAAACTGGTCTGACAAGGTTGAAATAAACTGAACCCCCTCCCCCAAAAAATAACAAAAGGAGTGTTCATAGGTACAAGTCTTGACATACGTGCAAAAATAAGACTAACTTCACAGTGAAATGTTGGATTGCGCTTTTTCAGAACTTCACGACCGAAGAATGGGAAACTGTTCAAAAGTCATCCAATTGATGAACAAAAGAGAAAATACACATTCCTGAGATGAAGGTTATTGGTTTCCCATACAACATTAGGCTCCGTCCAGCAGAGATTGGTTTACGATGTGATTCACCTGAAGTGAATTATTCCATTTCCCCCCTAGTTTGCATCTTCCAATAGTCTTTGCAGATTCCTTTGGATCTATGTTGTGAAACAAGAGTAAAAAAATAAAAATAAAAAAAAATAAAATAAAATTAAACTAAAAATATATATATAAAAAAACATTAAGTTTGAGTCAGACAAAAATACTTCCCTCTTACTTGTAAGAGTTTTTCTATTCTTAGAAAGTTTCATGTACTGTAGATTTTAGGGACGCTAATCTTTCTAGAGTCTGTGCCCAACTTCCTGTGACATATTTGAACTACTCAATTGGATGCGCACAATAGACCACCATAACGAGTATTGGCAACAGTCTTGAAACTTGTGTGTGTCAATCGTGTGATCACTGCGGTGTGTTGTGTTTTAGTGTAGCAATGTTGTACTTGCAAATGGGTGAGTTTCTGAAGTCACTCTCTCCATGTTACAGCTTCTGTGATTCTCTATTTACGGTTTTTAATATTTCTCAATAAATTGAATTTCCCCAACCGCTGTCTCCCTCCCACACTGTGTTTTCATGTCTTTGCATCACCTTGTCTTACCCACACATTTAAGCCTAAGCCTGCAGATTGTGTTTTTTTTATCTGCTCCCACTATTGTATATATTTTTAATGTAAGGTTTTGTGTCTGTCCTCCCATTCATACCTCTATATTCTGAGTCCTTAATTGCATTTACCCACCAACAAAGCAGCAGTGCAATAGGAGATACAGAGTGGGAATATGATCACGTATTCTCCCCTTTACATTTTTGCACCACTTTTTAGGACAGGAGTCACCAAAAGAATGTTACCAATTTTTAGTAATTTAGACTACTTTGAGAAATCTGTGCCCTTGTCCTCAACCCCCTTAGACAATGAGATTTAAAACCTGTGCAAGGAGGCTGGGGCTGGTAAGAAAAGGGCAACAATTAGGATGTAATCCCATCCCCTCATTTAAAGTTTCTGGCCATGCACATTTTGCAAATCATGTGTGGATAATAACCAATGTCAGATTATGTTAAGGGTTTAAATGGTTAATATTGTTTAGTGTGTATTTTAGGGCAAGTGCACACAAGTGTTCTGCAGATTTAACATTTTAAGACCTATTACAATTAAAATCACTATAGATTCTACATAAATATCAAATGCTCTAGAGACTGGCATGCTAGGATTAAGGAAAAAATAAAAAGAATTGTGTTTCACCATATCAATTTCTCTTGCTTGCTCTAAATATTTGAATAAGATAAACCTTGCTAAAATAGGCAAATATTTTTTCCCCTGGAAGTCTTAACTGTAGGATGGGTATTCACTCTGTGGTTTATATTCCATCATTAGTCATAAGCTAAAGCAACAACGTCATAACACTTTGTTTATAGCTTCCATTAATCCCGCAAACAATAACTATGATAAACAAAACTAAGTATACAAAATAAATCTGAACCAAACACAAAACCCAACCTTTACATTATTGCTACATTCCAAAAATGTATGAAGTCTTATCCATAGTGATACAAATTCATAAATTGTTGGAATGTAGCAATAATATGATATATAAACATTTTTTTAAGATAGATTATATATATATATATATATATACATACATATATACATACACACACATATATACACACACATATATACACACACATATATACACACACATACATACACACACATATATACACACACATACATACACACAAAACGAAACTTGTTTTTGCCCCCATTTTTCATGAGCTGAACTCAAAGATCTAAGACTTTCTATGTACATTATTTCTCTCAAATATTGTTCACAAATAGGTTAGTGAACACTTCTCCTTAGCCAAGATAATCCATCCACATCACAGGTGTGGCATATCAAGATGCTGATTAGGCAGCATGATTATTGCACAGGTGTGCCTTTAGCTGGCCACAATAAAAGGCCACTCTAAAATGTGTAGTTTTATCACAGCACAATGCCACAAGTTTTGAGGGAGCATGCTGACTGCAGGAATGTCCACCAGAACGGTTGCCCGTAAATTTAATGTTCATTTCTCTACCATAAGCAATTTTCCAAAGGCATTACAGAAAATTTGGCAGTACATCCAACTGGCCTCACAACCGCAGACCACATAGAACCACACCAGCCAAGGACCTCCACATCCAGCATCTTTACCTCCAAGATTGTCCGAGACCAGCCACCCGGACAGCTGCAGTAACAATCGGTTTGCATAACCAAATTGTTTCTGACAGTTTGTGCAGAAATTGTTTTAGGGAAGCTCATCTGCATGCTCGTCCTCATCAGGGTCTCAACCTGACTGCAGTTCATCGTAATCGAATTGAGTGGGTAGATGCGCATTCGATAGCGTCTGGCATTTTGGTGATGTGTTGTCTTTACGGATGAATCCCGGTTTTCACTGTACAGTGTAGATGGCAGACAGTGTATACGTCATGTGGGTGAGCGGTTTGCTGACGATTTTAAATGCACAGATACTATGACGAGATCCTGAGTCCCATTTTGTGCCATTCATCCAAGACCATCACTGTGACGAGAGCAATCTTGCCACATTGCATTGGAGAAGCCTGGTTGCACGCCTGCTGCCTTTGGACTATGGCCCCATGTTAAAAGACTTTTGCCTGCAGAAAAGCTTTATTCGTGCTTTTCTGCCTGGTGTTCGGTAGATTCAATCTACCGAACAACTGCACGAATGACTGGACCACCTGGGAGCTGGAGTGTGCCGGCAATTAGCCTCCCCGAAGCTACGGTTAACCGCAGCTTAGTTGACGAATGCTGGGTGGCCGCCATTCGTATAACGAACACGAGGTCGCGGCCATTTTAAACATGCGAATGCACAGCGGTGTTCGACGCTTAATTCATGGAACTGAAATCTGACAGTTTTGCGCGAACACCGCTGAAGCCGCCGACCTCCCTTCTTGGTCGGTGAAAGTGCACGAACGGCCCGGCGTAGAGGTAGAGGTGAGTGTAGTGCTATATGTGGAGATGGCCAGTGAGGGACAGGAGAGGGAAGGGATGGGTAGCAGTTATGAATCAATATCAGAGGACAGCTGCTGGAGGTCAGTAGAATTAAGGTTCCTCCTGAGTTGAGGGGGGTTAGGTTGAGGTTGTTGGGTGAGGGGGTAATCGAGGAAATGGAGTGTTGCAGATATTAGATACTGTACATGAATAAGAAAAAAAAAAATAAAGGTTGAGGGTATTGCCAGCTATATGGGTGGGCATTAGCCCACTGCAATAGCCCAAGGTAGGAAGTATTTGAAAGTAGTTTAGAGGCTGCTGGGGTTAAAAGGTGGGTTAATGGGAATATTGAAGTCTCCAAGAATTAGGGATGGAATGTTAGAAAAGAGGAAGTAGGGCAGCCAGGCAGCAAATTGGTCAAGGAAGAGGAGAGGGGAACGATAGATAATGGCAATGTTAGCAGAGAAGGGTTTGAAAAGGCGAATTGAATGAATTTCAAATGATGGGAAAGAGAGAGAAGGGTGGGCAGAGTTTTGAAGGAGCAGTGGGGTGAAAGGAGAAAACCTACACCGCCACCTTTACTTTCTGCATGTCTTGGATTGTGGGTAAAGTGAAGACCAAAGGATAGTGAGGCATGAGTAGCAGTATCAGAGGGAGAGAGCCATGTTTCGGTTAGTGCAAGTAGGGAGTGTGAGATAAATAAGTCATGGATGGAAGTTGATTTAAATGTGCTGTACACAGAGCGTGCATTCCAGAGGGCAGCTTTAAAGGAGGAATTATATTGAGAATTACATGGAATGGGTATTAGGTTGTTGTGGTTCCATTGAACAGGTTTGGGATGCACTGGATCAGCGTACACAACCGTGTGTTCCAGGTCCTGCCAATATCCAGCAACATCGCACAGCCATTTTAGAGGAGTGGACAAACATTCCACAGGCCACAATCAACAACCTGATCAACTCTATGTGAAGGAGGTAAGTTGCACTGCCTGAGGCAAATGGTGGTCACACCAGATACTGACTGGTTTTCCGACCCCCCCAGTACAGTAAAACTGCACATTTTAGAGTGGCCTTTTATTGTGGCTAGCCTAAGGCACACCTGTGCAATACTACTGCTGTCTAATCAGCATCTTGATATGCCACACCTGTGAGGTGGATGGATGGATTATCTCGGCAAAGGAGAAATTCTCACTAACACAGATTTAGACAGATTTGTGAATAATATTTGAGAGAAATAGGCCTTTTTTGTACATAGAAAAAAATCTTAGATCTGAGTTCAGTTCATGAAAAATGGGGGCAAAAAAAAAAAAAAAAAAAAAAAAAAAAAAAAAAAAAAAAAAAAAAAAAAAAAAAAATGTGTTGCATTTATAACTTTTTTCAATATATTAATTATTTTCTTCCTTGCATACACATTTACCTTATCTAGTTTTTCCAGGTTAGTTGTTAATTCATCACAAATGGAGTTTGCATTTATATGCCAGTTTCCCATGACTGGGTCTACTGGCCATCTAAGAGAAAAATTATACCAATGAATACATAAACACTAATTTGCAATATGGGGAACATTTTAAAACAGAACATTTTACAGAATGTTACAGGTTTCGTTAAATTCTATATCAAAGAGTACTACAGCAGGTTCACATTTGGACTTCACAACTCCAAAATGCAGTTTTCATTCAAATCCACTTCTCTAATTTTAAATATAAAATACAAATAAAGAACTGTAGTAAAAATATTGTGGGATTCCATAATGAATAATTAAAATCTACACTAATTAAAATAATGTACACAGAAGACTTTCTTGCATAATATATATATATATATCACAATAACAAAAATTATAAAGATACACAAGTGTAACCTCTCTACATAAATATTTTTAGGATCTGATTTTTGGTGTGGAATAATACTGTTACAAGTACTTATAAGTCCGTTCTTACTCATTTTGTGCAGAGTGCAAAGATAATAACTGCTCTTCAAGATGCCCAATTCTTGATTGCATATAAAAAGTGGAGAATATTAACAGACAGACACTGAAAGACATAATGCAAGCACATAAATTACATTATGATATAACTGAACACACCAACATACATCTAATGATTTATAGTCTGTATACAATACAATCATAGGTTAACATGGCATAATGTCACGTTAAGGCAATGTATAATTATAATACTAACTACATCGTCAATATTTTTGAAACAAGTGTTTAAAAAAAATAAAATCTTTGTAGGTGGTCTAGATTATTTTTAGGATAGGAGATTTCAGTTGCCTTTTACACCACAAGCTTAGTGGGATGCGTGTGTGTTTATGGCACTATCACATGTACATTTTCTCGAAGTTAAAGTATGTGTTTCTGGAAATCAGGGTGTCCTAGTCTCTACGTCAAAGCAAATACATTTTATGGTTTAGCTTTTGCGGTTAATAGATTTCCACTCTGTTTCAGAGGTAGCTTTCAAGAATGAAATTGAGGGTTACAAAGAGCACTATGCAAAAACATATAGACAGTGCAAACATCAGAGCAATCTCTCACACACACGTTAAAAATCTGTATTTAACTCTGTATTAAGCAGCTTAAAAAAAAAAAAAATAAAAAAAAACCCACACACAAAAAACAGACTAGTGAAGAGTTGTACAATAGGTTGACAGTGACCCAGCAAAATACCAGAAAGTATACTTACAGTATTGCATAGAAAAACAAGAGGCCATTTAAAGAAATAATCTTCCAGAGATCGATTCTTTGGAGGAATTTTAGGTGCCCTGTTGAAAGATCACATGGATTTGAAAGTTATTTTGTTGTTAAAATGGAGGTGCCAGATAATATTTGAAAGTTATTTTCATTTACCATGTCTAGGTGCAGTAGATTTTTTATCTGGTGTCGGCTTAGGTGGTTTGTCAGTTTGGACAAGGGTTTGCTGAGACTTTGTAAGTGTATTCTGTTTCCGCTCTGAGAATTCTTATAGAATTATAAAAACAAAGAGACAATGTTTAGTTATTACACTACATTTTAAACACCAATGCAGTTAAATATCACAAAACCATTTGAAATAAACATACGTTTATTTTAGTCCATAAAACGTTCTGCCATAGAAAATGTTTATTATCCATGAATTTGCATAATTTTAGGATTATCTATGAAAATCAATTACTATTAACCATTTAAATCAAGAACACACCTTGAGAATTTTCAGACTCCGCAGTCTGAGATCCAGTGCTGCTACAGTCTATTTCCTTCCTTCTATTTGCTACCAAACCATCAAGCTCAGAAAAGTCATTGAAATCCTGGGTTAAAAAAAAAAAAATAAACCTTTAATTCACATTTGTCAAACTTTATTCTACTTCAAACAAAATAGGAAAGAAAAAAAAAAAAATTCAAGAGTTTCAATATAAGACTATTTTACAATATTTCAGTTAAAGGAAGACCCAAAAACCATATCAAAGGTAAAAATAAATAGATCGATCCAGTCACACATATCCCACCTCAAAAGAAAAAAACCTTTTAGAGCATTATTTTGACCAATATTATGTACAGACAAAATTAGCACACATACTAGATAAATAATATATTTACTAGAGGATATGATGCTGGTCGCTCGGCTCGGAAGCTGTGCTCAGCAGGTGATGGGTTAGGACTGTTTCCTGTGCTTATATCCTTTTAAGAAAGGAAGGGAGAAAAAGAAATGAATTAAAATTATTTTTTCAAACCAGGTTCTTTAAGAGGTCAAGCTACAAAACAGTATATTTGTTAAAACAAGTTGAAAAGTAAAAATTTTCCTGTGAACACTTTTCCCCCTAAACAGTGCTTCATATCACCCAACATTTAAAAAGGACAAAGAGGGACACTTCAATATTAGGGGCGTGAGGCCAGGGGCAGGCTGTTCTGAGGAACTTTAGGTGACATGTTCTTGTGCTAAATGACATTTTAGTTAAATACATATGTATTTGATTTACACAGACTGATTTCCAAAGACCTTTATTGTAGTTTAAATAAACCTTACTGGGAGTTTTATTGCTGTGGAGCTCAGACAAAACAATATGGAGCTCCTGTAAAAGAGGGACATCAGGATAGAAAAGAGAGAGAGAGGAATTGTGTGCCCAAAATAAGGAATGTCCCTCATTAATAGTGACACTTGGGGGTATGGTGCATAAGTCAGTCAGTAGAACAGCCTTCTAATTTAATCTTATAAACAAGTTACTAGAAAATTACACTATTTATATAGCACCAACATTCAACAGCGCTTTAGAATAAGTTAATAAAATTCTAACAAAACATGTTTCACATATGGGAACATTAGGAGAAGAGGGTCCTGTAGTGTTTTTAGAGTGGTGTTTAAATGTTTAACACATGTTTTTTTTTATATTGAATGCATAATGATGAATGAGGATTAGAGCACATACCATCAGAGAGGTGAATGATTGTATAATATTCGAGTAACTAACGGCCAGTGAAATGAAGATTGAGCCTATATGTATTCCCCATGAAGGGGTGAATTATTATTATTTTTTATTTTTTTTTAATAGATTTGTAAAGCGCTACATAAATGGCAATAATAAAAAAAATAAAAAAAAAACACACATATGCAATGTGTATATAATCACAAAGATGTAGCCAACTTTGTGGGAAGAGGTGTTTCAATAAAGATTGGTCTGTAGAGAGTTTGACAGTTGCAAATCACTAAAGCTCAACGTTTACAATCTGTCATTTGGTAACTCACCTCTAAATGACTGCAGACAGATATTAAGAGTTTGTACGTTGAATCACGAGATAAAAGGGATACAAATATAAACTGTTGAGAAAATAGACTGATTTTAATAAAATTCCAGACAGAACATCCTCCCCAGAGAACACAAAATTTCAACCCCCCCCCCCCACCCCAAGAAAAAAAAAAAATAAAATAAAAAAAAAAATACACACACTTTTTTTGAGAACATACCCTTTCAGTGACTGTAGATATTATAACAGCATTTGGCACCAGTAGAGCAGTTTTTGTTTTCTTTATTTGAGTTATAGCAAGGACAGGAATTACAATCTGAAAAAGAAGAATTAGTAAGTGGTTGAATGGTAGAATAGAGGTAGTACATTCTGATATTGTACTGCACTTGGCTATATTAAGATTGACAAAAATAAAGAAGATTAATAGGTCTAAATTTGCTTTTACACAAATCAAATGTAATGGCTTGTTTCAGAATATGAAATATATCACAATTAATATAGTCCTCCACTTTATCATTGTGCAGTGTCTTAGTAAGTTGTTATAAATCCCACTAATTCAGCAAGTTGAAAAATAGTTGGGCTATGGATTTTATGGCTATGTTATTATTGCCATTTATATAGCGCTTTACAATATTATGAGAGGGGGGAATTTAACTATAAATAGGACAATTACAAGAAAACTTACAGGAACGATAGGTTGAAGAGGACCCTGCTCAAACAAGCTTACAGTATATATATATATATATATATATATATATATATATATATATATATATATATATATATATATATATATATATATATATATATATATATATATACACATATATATACACATATATATACATATACATACATATACACATATACACATATACACATATACACATATACACATATACACATATACACATATACACATATACATATACACACATACATATACACACATATACATATACACACACACACACACACACACACATATATACAAACACACTGAGTGCTAGTCAAATAGCTACTCCAAATTGCCACCAATATTTTGTAAATTAATTTTTTTACCCTTTTTTAGTCGCCTTTACCCACAGTTATCCAAGACAAAAACACATAAAAAGATAAGATGTTTTACTAACCTTTGTGTCCTTTCCAAAAACCTTTGAATGAAAGCAAATCCAGTTCTGTGAAATGTATAACTTTCCGTGGTATAAGATTTCTTTCTGCAAAGCACAAGTGAAACCTAGAAAGCAAGGATGATAACGGGAAAGACGATAAGTAATGCGGTGGACATGATTTCCTGATAAGGTAAGTTAATACGCCAGAATTGTGCTTATTTACCATTCAAGGACCATTCAAGTTAAAATTCCATCACAACCATTTGGGCTAGAAAGGAGAATTGTCCCTTCTCTGAAAATTACACTTGACCACTATGGAGGTGTAATTTTACACACAAGACTACTAGCATTAGCATTTTTTACCATGTGATGTTCCATTTTATGTTAAAAATTTGAGCACATCATACTGCAGTCAAGTTCAGTAAAGGCACACCCAGGGCACGTGTTGCATTGGAGAAGCTGAAGCAGAATTATTCTTTATGCTCAAAACAAAAATGGACAGGATGGAGGCATCAATTAATTTAAGTAGTGTGGATTTCTACTACTAAGTTTAGTTTTCAGACCTTAATTTTTTATTTTTTTTGTAAGTGATAATTAATGGGCAATAGTTACACCTCTGTATTTTTAAAAAACGTAATGTCCCATTTATTTAGTGTATAGCAGACCGTATAGGCCCGCCGACATACAGTAGGAAGCGATAAGTGACTAGACTGTGCTGACAGAAAAGCTCTTCTTACTTTAAAGATGGATAAGAGTATCTCTACGAATGGTTGTGTTTGAAATAGTCACTATTTACATGACTGTTATAAAGTGGGTTGTCCACAGGTAACTACAAGCCACAACCACAAGAAAGTCATGCAAAGGCTTATAGCATCTCCAAATTATATTAGCCACACTAAATACCTCAACACATTTTATACATTGATCCAAAACATGGCTGCATAGGAAGCCCAGAAGGAAGGTTACAGACCATACAGTGTAGCTAGCCAGGCTTAAGCATGAAACTGCCTTAGGGGTAATTAAGGAGAAAGTAAGGTGTGAGGAATAAAAACCATCACAACCCAGTTGCCCAACTCATTAACCCCTTAAGGACACATGACATGTGTGACATGTCATGATTCCTTTTTATGCCAGAAGTTTAGTCCTTAAGGGGATAAACATCATGCGCAAACCAGGGGAAGGGACAGTTTCTCACAATTCCAAACTACACCATCTTAATTACTCCTAAGGTGCAGTGTTAATTTTGTCGACTAAAAAAAAACAAAAAAAACAAAAAAAAAAAAACACAATTCACATGACAAAAATAAGACAAACCGCATTTTAGTTAAAAAAAAAAAAAATTTTAAAAACCCAAACTAAATTGAAATTTTAACTGCACAGAAAGACCGTGGGAGGGGCAAAAGACAGATGCTTTAACTAAACCCATTTTTTGTTGTGTTGACTAAAATCTACTGGAGATTTAGTCGACTAAAACGGCTTTTTAGTCATACGACTATGACTAAAAGTAAATAGAATTTTTCTGCTAAAATTAAGACTGCCAAGGTGTGTTTAGTTGGTCTATTGTGGTCTCTCGTATTCAGTATTTGTAAGACAACGATTTCCTGATTAACAAGAAAAGAATACAAATGAAAAGACTTTAATTGTAATTGTGCCAAAAAGGAGGGCAAATGTGTACAATTCATTGCAGAGGCTACAGGGCTTACCCACACCTCTTACAATTCATCTTGAAACAAAATTAGTAAGATCGTGAGCATTCAGTTATAGACATATGGACACACAATCCGGTACAATGTGCAGGGCCTTTTTTAAATAATATAGATTAGTTGTATAATACACATTGTACACCTCACTTTACATTTTCAAATCTATGGCATAAGACAGGTACACCCAATAATTAAAATTCCATTCATAGCTACAGGTTACTTACTTTCTTTTAAAAACTCCTCCTTCGGAATGTCCTTAAATGCTTTGTGATAGTGCCCATTGGCCTTGAAAGACTAAAAAAAATAAAAATAAATGTATAATGTAAGGGATGGAGAGGGGTGAACCAGAAACAAACAAAATGCCAACATATATCCTATTTCAAACTAAGCTGGTCCCCCATTCCTAAAGTAATTTAAATCTGCGAACGCACTAGATGTTGGAACACTGGATGGATTGGATAGAAACAAAACTCTGCGACAGGGTGGTAACGAAATTTAACACAGATGTCCCAGCATTGGCTTCCCTTTGCAGCTGTTGCTAGAGTACACTTTATTTGTTCAGGAAAGAAGTCTCCACAGTATAAAGTCTGTACTTCACATGTCTCAGACTATACTGGGCACTATGGATTGTGATTATAGAAACTCATTCAACGAAGCCCCATATGAACAACATTTGCACGGATGTTGCTTCTGTTAATTCAGTTCTTAAATTTTCAGCTACTTTAACTCGTTTTTATAGAAATTCCGACACATTTCAGATGGGAAAGGAAAGAAGGTGTCAGCCACCAAGTTACAAAGTGCCAATTTAGCAAGTGATCTGCTAAAAGATCAAATTTGGTTATCTGCGATACATGGGATTTCCCTATTAAAAGGGTAGCAAATTAGGGTGCTATCTACTAGCCATCTGAAAGCTCATAAAAGAAATCAATTTTTTGTAGATAACTCCATAATTTGCAATCCTTATCAAAATGAGTAAATCCGAAAGTATCCGTTCGTTTTCGGTTGACTCGGAAATTCAGACTGACGAAATTTGATTTGTATCAAAACAAAGTGCACATCTATTAATTGCCTCTGGAGAATTTATTTAAAAGATTATGGTGTCCTTTTAGATTTACTTAATTTTGCAGTCTGAAATAAATTTAGACGTATTTCATTGAAACAAGGCTCCAATTACAATGTTACCTTGCCACTTCTTTCCTTAAAAACAAGTCATCACAGAGACATTTTACAATTCGAGAGTGGAATCAAGCCTTTTTTAAATGTAAACATGGGTTAAACCAAACATAGAAAACAAAAATGCCAAACTGAGGATATTCTGTGCCTTGATAATAAATTCATTGTAGAGTCTTACATTTTGTGATAGTGTTACAAGTTTGTTGGAGATGCTGGCCCCTACAATCACTTAGTTAGACCAAAGAATATCTGTATTTGGGATTAAAATTTGTTTATGTGTATATAATCATTAACCTCTTCATAGAGCTAAAAAGATTAAAAGAAAGCCGCACAAAAGCAATATATAAAATTACGATATTTCAAAGGGTTACAAAATAAATACTGGTTTGCCGAGCTGAACCCCATGTACTTTTGGGTTGGATTTTTTTTTTCCATTTTTAGCTTAAATCTCCTTTGGGGTGGGAGGATAATTATGGTTCAAACATTCTGTAGCTACTATTAGAACACCTTTTTTATAAAAACTTTAAAACATGAAATGCTAAATCCTATATGCTAAGAATCTTCGGGAGCTATGGAACATTTCGAACAGATCTAAAAACCCTATCACTTGCCTTTAATATAAACTGTACAAGCTGCTTGGAGTAATGCAAATGATGCAGCTACATATTTACTTCTACACATGTAGATCCTTTTCATTTTCCATTAATGGTCTAACTTCTTGGAACTTGCAAGTTATTTGTAGAACATTCGTCATTACATATTCTTCTCCCATTACCATTTTTCTCGATACGAAAACTACACATTTCAAAATGCATGAACACATCTTAATTGTAGCAGCATTTAAATAGGGGATTTTTTTGTTTTGCATGTAGCTGTAGATTTAAACTTGTCTCACCTGACTAGAAGAGGCTTTTTTCCTTTCATGCTTCAGTTCATTCTTCATGTTGAGGTTTAAAGAGGAATCATAGGTTTGTGACCTAAAAAGTGAAGACAAAAACCAATACCAAACATTTATCCAGTAGACTGTAAAACAGAGTATGGAGAGGCAGTCATTGTTTGAGAATTTAATTTTCTCTGTTCACAAAACCAGTTATTTAAAGTACACCTGGTGTTAAATGGTCCGCTGTTCTGAGAGTGTGATACACATTCAGACGCCAAACATTAAATAAACTGGCTGTACCGAGCACACCTGGCATGTGTCACAGTTCCCTTCATTAAACAAAAACCTTTACATATGGGACAGACACAAAGAACAATGAATGTGACCTGCATTGTGAACCACTTTATCCATTAATTTTTATTTTTTTTTAATTTTTTTTAGAGTAGCAAAATTTCACAGATGCTGCCATTTTATAATACTGTATACATTTTACAGGTGACATCCCATTTCACAGTTTAGATTTATCTCCTTCACACTAAAGCATTTATTGCCAAAAAAAAAAAAAAGTAAAAATCATTTTATATGCTTAAGGATGTGATGTATTTTTTTTTAAATCCCATGACCTAATAATTTTTTTAAAGTTTTATTTTAACATAAAATGAGTTTTACAAATTGTGCCCACGGTTTTAACTCACCAAGTTTATGATACTTTTATAAATGACATTCCATCACTTGCAAATGTCATCAGTACTTGCAGAAAATTTTTGTTGATGCAAAAGTGTTCACTAGGCACTTAAATTCAGCGAATAAAATTAACGTTTGTTGAATGGGTTTCTGTTATTTTCATATTTGATGGATTTTATCAGCTAATTAACAAGCAGAATGGTAGTGCAAATATAGCTGAAGAAACTCCCTGCCACCCCCCCCAAAAAAAAATAAATAAAATAAAAAAAAAATTTAAAAAAAAAAATAAAAAAAAAAACAGACTTTGCTTCTTTTGTTGTGAACAATCGAAAGGTTCACATAGAGGTTTGATTAAAATCTGGCCAACCAAAATGTAGTACAACACTACATGAACATCTTCGAGTGTTGTGAAAATATTTAGCATTCCACCCATGTACAAACCTTAACTACACGAACATTAACTAATCTCACAAAAAAAAAAAAAAAAAAGTTTGCAGATATGTTCAACATTTTCTTTGAAGTCAATATTATGCAGATAATCAACATTAATTTTGCTGGATTACAAGTTATACACACACAGTACCGTGGGACAAGAAGTTTGTTTGTGTCATCTGTCAGTTCAACATCATTAATCAGAATTTGTGCACATGGAGTATATGACTTTCTAGTATTCTTCTTGACGCCTGATCCATTTTCTGTATCAGAACTGGTGATAAAAAGGCAAAAAGATTAAATGAACAATTGTTCCTTGAATCACATCCCCTTAAGTGTGCCTGAGAATTGAAGACTATATCAAAAAACAAAGAAAAAAACCTACGGCACAGAAGTATTTAAATGCAGTACACCACAAAAGGAAACTTAATCTTGAATTTCAACACTATGTGATCCTAAAGCAACACTAAAAAGATCTCGTAATACAATAAGGAACATCTGAACCCACCAAAAGGCAACAGCTGCTCACATCAAAAAAAAAAATTGAGGGAATAAAATGCCAATGGGAGACTTAAATGATTGAATCACTTGTACCTTGAAATAAATAAAAACTAATCCTTAAACACCTTCCATTGCAGGAACAAGCCAATGGAAGTACTTTTCATTTTTAAACAAAAAACGACAGATCCTTAAGTAAGCTCAAGTTTCCACAATTTTTTTTTTTTTTTTAAATAAAATATACACATACACACTTTTTTTTAAAGACTAATACAGATAAATTTGACAAACTTACATGACTGGATAAGTATATATAGTTTTTCTGCCTTTATCGTACACCAACACAAACTATTGCTGGTTGGTGAAAACTGGAGCATAATATAGGATAAATTTTAAACGTATTAACCATGACACATGGAATGATTTTACCAACCATGCCATAAATGTATGGAAAAAGAATATATTACAAAATGAATGGGAAAGGCCACTAGGTAACGCTTCCACAAGTTTTCAAGAAAAATATATTCACACACTAGAGTCATTTTAAAATAAGCTTTTATTAGAAAATGTACAGAATTACAGATTTATATCTGATCTGCCTTATTTTCCAGATGTTTTGGGACCATGGGAAAAAAGCCTTTGAACAAGAATGTTATAAAATTTGAAAGTGTACAGATTAAACAGATTCTTTAAAAGCACATGAACGTTTAAGGTTTGCATTTATTTACAAATCCGTTTAACCCCTTTAGGATCAACAACAGAGCTGTCACTTTAACAAAGAACATGTCTAACAAGCCTGGTAAAGTGTTGCAGGAAAACACAAAATTAAAGAGATATTAAGAGATCCCAGTGCGGAAAAAAAATATGCTGAACAAAAAGGTTACCATCTGCTGAAGGGCTTATTTCCAAATAAACCAGACTAAAATGAAGTTTGTCTGGTTCTTAAGCAACCAAATAACTGAACATTCTTAGTTGCCATTGAAAAAGACAAAACAGAAAACGAGATCTTCGATCAAATATGTTTTTAAAAAAAAAAAAAACAAACACAAATCTACTTTTCCATAAAACTCTAGAGACAACTGGATTTCAAATTCAAACTAAATTAATTCTGCACTTTTTGAAACAAAAAACACACTACATACACGTTTAAGAAAAAAATTTAAAAAAAAAAAATCTAATTTTATACATACATACATACACACACACAAACACATATACACATACATACATACACACTTTTGTGTTTTAAATACCACACACATATGGAGAAAATAAAGGCTTCTGGGTTATATTTTACACTATGAAGACTCGTAGCCATTCAGATTCAACAAATTGAGTTAAAGAACCAGATCTTACCTTCAGCTCGCCTCACTTCATCAAACTGCTCTTACAAACTGAATGGTGCCTGACTGCTTTATTTGACAAAGATGACACAAGAGGAAGTTGATCTGTGGACATGACTCACGAGTCTTTCCCTTGCCTTATTTACAGCCTCACGTGTTTGCTAATCACTTGACAAAAATGCATTAAGAAGCACAAGGTAATGCAGCATGCTAGTGAACGTACAGTTTGAACTTTAAAGTGCTACATTGGAGTCACCAGAATAAAATGCCCTGCATACCATTAAATTATCATTGTCACTAGTAACTTTCACTACTGCCAGATATCACCACTTTTTTAATGCTAAAAAACAAAAACAAACACCCCCCCCACAAAAAAAAAGCACAAGGATGAGGAAAGAAACATAGAATTTTAAAGTCAAACCGTATTCAAATATAAACCTAGAAGCAATCAATTTCCGGGCCACAGGCAAAACAGCACATTATACACTCTTCTCCTATTGCATTGTATTTAGAACATAAATACAAAATGTAGAAAACAGCACACGGTTACTAATCTGTCCGCACTTCCTCTAATACCACTTAGTTTTACATTTTTTTTTAGCCAGTCCGTGAAAATATACACACACACACACCACTGTGCAAATACAAACTACTCCATTAAAAAGGAATTGTTCTGCTCTTTCTATAAAACTCCCTTTGCGTTAACACTTTAATTAATTACAGTATATTCAGTGCTGCAACAAATGTATACCATCTCTGTATTTTGGCATTGCTCCTGTTACGCATGTCACAAACTCCTATTGTTACCACACATACACCCGCCTTAACATTTTTATTTTTCTTAAACAGGAGCTTCCTTTTGCTCTCCTGAGCGAAGCCCTGCAATAAAAAAGGATCCTCTCATTGGTGGAGAAAGTCATCTGGAGTATTTAAAATGAACGTTAACAGAAAGCGGAATATTGGAAGCCCCTTCAATCTAGCAAACCCAGAACTTTTTACACAAACCCCTTTCAAAAATGGTACCCCTCTTGGATTGAGATTGTAATAGGTTTACAGGGTGGTCCTCCCCAGAACACAAAAAAAATTGGCAGTGATTTTCAAGACCAAAAAAATTAAATTTAATAAAACCAGAGCAAAATTAGGTTAGATTCTGAAAACTTCAAACTGACAGACTAAAAATCCATCTGAAGAAAGTGAATAGTTAAACCAACACTTTATGCATATAGCATTTATAGTTTGAACACACAAGGAAACAAGCACAAAGCTAAAAATAATAAACAAAGCTCAAGTTTATGGAAGTTATGCGGGTAGGGTCTAAGAATTTAGAGAACTTTTAAAAATGCAGGATGTAACAAAAATAAACTGTTGGTCTGAAAAGTAATAAATGTTAATTTTAATTCCCCGGAGCCTATCCTCATCAGGTTACACCTTGCTTTCATAAGTTCTAAAACGATGCTACAGGACTGGACACCATACTCACGTAATGAAGAATTTAAAGCCTACAAAGTACGTAGAAAATACTATAGTTTTGTGTTCTGCTTAGGTCACAAAAGTAAATCGTTCCAAAACACTGCATAGGTTTTACAATATGTGAAACATCAATACATTTCCTACGCTAAAGGTTAACAAAAGATGCATAACAAAACAAGCCACTATTCAAAAGAAATATCTAGCTAGGCTTGTTGTAAGGTGCTTAGAGATGGATGGACCAAACCTTGGTTTAGAGCACAGTGTTTTTTTTTTTTTTAAAGGGGCATATAGTACCCAATACCCAAGATTTTAACGAAGTGATTTTGGCGAAAATACCGGGTCAGTTTTCTCAGACAATGTAAAATACTGACATTTAAGATCCTTTAAGAGATCTATGGTGATATACCTCAATACAGTACACCTGCTATGGGAGATTAGAGAGAGACAGATACATACACAGCAATATGTTATTTTTCCTTTTTTTGTAACACTGCAATGTTTTGTTGACACAGGACATTTGAAAACAAGACAAATCTCAAATGTATCCTTCCTGGTAAAATATATTTTGTAAATAATTTCCTCAAGGTTTCTCGAGGGCTGCACTGTTCCTGTGGAACTCTTCCCTCCTCTGTTAAATGCTCACCCAGTCTCTACCCCCCCCCCAAAAAATAAATTAAAAAAAAAAAAAAAAAATCGTTAAAAAAACCCACTTTATAAAAGCGTATCAATTAAACTGTTAATAGCTCCTGACTGATTCCTCTTCTGCAACTGTCACTAGTCTAATACTATCCTTACCTTTTGTGTCATTTTACCCCACTCCCTCTAGCATGTGAGCTCATTGAGCAGGGCCCTCAACCCCTCAGTTCCTGTGTGTCCAACTTGTCTGGTTACAACTACATGTCTGTTCGTCCACCCATTGTAAAGCGCTGCGGAATTTGATAGCGCTATATAAATATCATAATTTCCAAGGGCATGGCAAATTTACATTTGAACATGCTTTCTGACAGCCAATAGAGAGACTTAACATTGATTGTTAAAGGTCTTCATGTGTGGGGTCATGAACCACAACCTTAGATGCAGAACACGTCCAATGCCTCTGTGAGAATCAAATCCTGCACTATAGGTCCTCAATGCCATGAGAAGCATCTGGTTGCAGCAGACATCAAGCATGACTATCTCACCGTAGGCAGATAAGGCTGCTTCTAAGAGACTGTCAGCATTGGATTATAGTTCATTTATATGGCACTTTGAAACAAAAGAGGGTCTCTGATCTTACATCTATAAAAGGAACACTTGCATTAAGTATGTGTTGTAATATTAGAGTATTCCCTTAAGCTTTAGGCGGAGCCAAATTTGAATTCCTAATTGTTGGAACACAATTTGATATTGACCAGGAGCCTTTCCTTTCTGAGAACGGACATCCTTTTCAGACTGGCAAAAGTCTAAAGATAGTCTTTTGTATACATTTTTTTGTTTGCTGCAATTGCATGAGCTACCAAGCCAATATGTACATTATCTATATTCCGGCCATAAAATGGCTAAGGACCACTGGTTTACAGTGCAGTTTTTTCGTTGCAAGCTTTCCGGATCTGCTCATGTGAACACAGGCCGATTATTAATCTAGTCCTTGACATATATGACTAAGGAAATTAAGTCTGTCTGTGCAGAACACCTGATGGGGAATATTTGCTGAGAAGCATGAAGAAACTAATCTAGCCCCAATTTAACAGCACTAATGCTGTTCACATTTTATTAACAAGTTGGAAGAAATGCAGATGAAAATGGCATAAATACCAGGAAGCAACTAGATAGTTATCCGGTATTGAACACCATCTAAACATTCCTCTCATCTTTGACCTAGAGTCAAATTAAAAAGAGTGCTGTATTGGTCTGATAATAGCTCTTCAAGTTTCCCTTTGCCTCTTTTTCAGAGCATAGACCGACTTGCTGTTTTTAACTTGACAGCAACTGGGGTCATTTGTGAAAAATGATCAATCTGAGTGTAGGGTTTAAGAATGGTTCTATGGTCGATTTCTTCCAATCCGTTTGTATTAAGCTGCCTAACCCTCAACATTGTAGAAGGTAGGTATGGGTACAGTTAAATATTCAAACAAGCAGTCACTTAAAATAATTACAGCAAATAATGCTTAACATGTAGACTCCCATGCAAATATTAACATGTTTAGATACATGAGAGATACTCTGGGTGTCAGCCATCTTATCGGTACTTTCACAAACAGCCATATTGTGTCTGCAACTCCAGACAGCCTACACTGCTAGGCGTCTGTGAAAGATAACAGCTTCTAGGGATGAAGTATTGGTGGTGACAAGACTTCCCCATTTCATCATACAGGCTCCAGAGAACATTCACTTTGACAAAAATATATCATAGCAGTGCTCAGGGTTTACAGTTTTAGATATTTCCAGTTACTTGCTTTCATTTGATATTTAAACATGGAAGCAATGCACGTAGAACATTTCCTCACTTCTAAACCTATCTTTGAAACAATCACATGATTTTAAAAGGTTTTTTACTATGCCCATTTAGCAAAGTAAAGCTTTCATCATTTACAGCAATAAAATAAAGCAGGAAAATAAACCTATGAATCCTATTTGGAGTAGAACCTTTGACCACACAAATAAAACCAGCATGATATAAACTTTGTTGCCCTTGCAGAATAAGTAGCACGTGCTATGTAAAGTCGACAAAATGAATTCAGATAGGTCTTAATTGATCTACAGTATTACAGACCTTAGACGGTTTAGAATTGTAGCATAGTGTGTGTGTGCGGATTTTCTATCACAAATGTCTAGCTAGTCCCCTATATCCTAAACAATAGAGATATATACTAGGGGTGCTCAGTATAGTACTAATCGTAGAGGGAGCTCTCAACATGACTTGACAATTTCAATGAGAGTGTAAGTAGAGTTTGCTCCTATTTCAAAAAAAAAAAAAAAAGTCAACACATCCTACAGTGCTGTGCAACACATACATTAATTAACTGAAAGAAAGACTGAAGACTAGTATGAAAGGAGAAACACTTGTAAAACCTTTGGGCAAGCATACACAAGACTTTATTGTAAGCTCACAAGCCATCTTGCTCTGCACTTTGTACAAAAGGAGGCAATGGAAAGACAGAATGTAACCGGTAATGAAATAAAATCTGCAAAAATGTAAGAACCAGAACCTAGCTAAAGTCCCCATGAGTGAACCCCTCACACCAGATGGAGTTTATGACAGCTGCCTTTAGGGTTTTAGGCCAACACCAAAAGGAGAATTAAGATCCCCCGGTGCCCTAGACAGGTTACCAGATTGGGGCCCCTTCATTCTTCACATAGAGATAGTTAATGGGCCAGGAAAATTCATAGTTCCGGACCCCTGTCTAACCCCTGGATCCTATGCAGCTTACTAGGGCCCTCTTATGGTTAATCCTGCTCTGACTACATCAGTAAAAGGACAGCACAAGAGTGCTACCGGATCTCAGAGGACACATATTAAAAAGGATGAAAACTTAGCTCATCAAAAGCAACAAAATATCCTGTAAGCTACCTTTTTCATAAGTATCAGATACAATCACCACATTCCATCTACTTAGTGAAGTATAAAGAAGTGTTGTAAAACTGGTCCTGTTGCTGTATACATATTCAGGGCCCTGTCCAGTTGTATCAACTTTTCCACTGTCAGAGTGGCAGGAATTTAGTGATAAACATACATGCGCTACGTAGAAAGAAAGCAAGGTACTTTGTGCATGCTCACAGTACTTCAGGGGCGTTCTGAGTGTGGCATGCCCTGACTGGGAGTGGCCTTTGCATTCCCATTACTGGAAAGACAACTCCTAGGCTGTGCTCCCCTGATAGCTTACTCCCAAACCCTTACCTCTCGTCCCTGCCCCTGGTGGCTGGTCTACCACTCAGTCCCCCGATCTATACTTCCCATTGCTAGGAGAGAAGGTTTTTGTACATGAATACCTCTTCTACACTATATACTTTGAGAGTTATTGGGGTTCATATAGTTCTCCTTAATATAAATATTTTGTATATCCCATATTTAAAAAAACAGAAGAAATGTACGTTTTTAAAAAAAGATTAGGTTCTGCTCTTAAAGTTTTGGGAAAGACATTGTGAGCCCTCCTGAGGTGTCAGGGTTCTCACCATGACATCCAGGCGTGAAGAAGTGCCCAACAGGGGATTTGAACCTGGGTACTTTACTGTCCTGGGCTGCTATCTGCCTTTAAGCCACAGAGGTACTGTTTATTTTGAGCTGTTCTAGCCCTATTATTCCTGGCTAGGTCTGCAGCACTGGGGGCTGGACTTTGTCTGTGGTCATTGCAAGTGCTTCATCTGACTCATCAGTCATCAGCAGGGTATATAAACAGCCTCGCCATGAGAACTTTATCAAGTCTTTGATCCTGTTGTGTGTGTTCACTTCCTGTGTTCCAGTCTCTTCTTACCTGGTCACCTTGGAATGTATCTGCCAGGGTGAGCATACATATCTGCGCTACAGATTCCCACCTCAGGTAAGAACCCTGACAAGAAGAATTATTCTCTGTGGACATTATGTCCTACTGATGAATAGCACAATGAACAAATCCAGTGTAGTAGACCAGTCTTAGTAAGTGTCTTGATACATTCTTGAACATAACACATTTACATATGTTTTGTAATTGTGCTAAATGTAATAATCATGACTCATGTAAAATACAGTACACACATGGAAAACACTTGCATAATCACCATTGGCAGAGGACAGTGACAGATGGAGATCGCTGAACTACAATATAATACGTTACTAAGCACTTTATGCAGACAACATTTATAAATTGTTTATAAGACTGTACTGTCCTACTTACTGTATGTACATGTAAGCTCCTGTAGACGTATACAAACTGATAGTTTGATGTTTTGCATTTAATAGAATTAAATTAATGAAACCATTTTAATTCCTTTATGAAACATTCATTAAAAAAAAAGGAAGCAGATTTAGATGCAACACTGACTGGTCCCAAGTTTCGTTACCCATTTTGATCTATTAAGCCACATGCATACAAGCACCTCTGCTGTTTTGGTCCTGTAAGGTCAATACACTACTTACAACTGAGGCATTTCAATGGATACTCTTCATCTGCCTAGTTCACAGGCAGCTTTCCCCCCCAACCCCCCAAAGATCTTGCATGTGTATATCCACACAAGGAGGAAGAAATAAATAAAAAAAATATAAATATAAAAAACCCCACTTATAATAAGCTCTACAACTTTGGAATATTTTCCTAACAAAATCATTTCAAATATAACCACTTTCCCACAGCTTTTTTCTCCATCATGCTTTTGTGCACCATATCACCAGCCTCTACAATAGGTACCCACATGTTAGTCAACTATTTTACCAATGCCATTTTTTCTGTGATCACCTCGAAGAAAAAAAAAAGATATATAAAAAAAAAAAAATAATAATTACAGTAATATGGGGAGGAATACAATAATACATTGAGCTCTGAAATACAAGAGGAGAGGAGACCAAAAGTATTCAAATTTGATTTTTATCTATATCTCAATTACAGTAATATGGGGAGGAATACAATAATACAGTACATAGCATAATAGAGAGATGCTGGCCACAATATGAAGACTTTTATAAAATTCATAGAGCCAAATGCAATAAAGAAATACCCTTACCACAAACCGAACTGAGAAGGAAAAAAAAAAAAAAATAAAATGGGTAGTACACAGCGCTGGGCACAATACAAAGATACCGATACAATACACAGAGCTGGTTAGGCTACAGAGATACCCACACAACAACTATAGCTAAAAGAGAGAGAACACAGAAGTGGGCACTATGAGAGAGATAAGGAAATACTCGTAACTATTTTCACACAGCCAGGATCATTGTGATTAATCACACAGCAGCAATATAGAGATCCCCACACAGCATAAGTCGGTATAGCGTTCCAGCTCGCTCAGGACTCCTTTACATACATGGTATATTCAGGGCTGGTGCAAGGATTTTCGCCGCCCTAGGCAAACAAAAATTTTGCAGCCCCCCCATATAATCTGCCATATGAGCCAATGCCAGTGCTGCAGACAGTGTGCATTCTCTGAAAAGTCAGTAAGACGCAGAACTAACGGCCCTCCACACAAAAGGGGCGATAGAGCTGGCCCCGGTGTCCTCCACAGGGGTGATCAGCAATATTTTCCTAGTGGAAAAGAAAGACAGACAAATGCGCCCTGTTATCAACCTCTGTGCCCTAAACACCCTGGTGCGCCATCATCACTTCGAAATGGAGGACATCCATCTCCTGTGAGATTTACTCCTTCACGGAGACTGGATGGCAGAGTTGGACTTGAAGGATGCCTACCTGACTGTCCCAGTGGCCTAGTCTTCCAGGGACCTGTTACGTTTCCTCTGGAAAGGAGACACCTGGCGCTTCACGTGCCTCCCCTTCAGACTATCGTCAGCCCCTTGGTGCTTCACGAAACTGATGTGCCCCCCCATGGCTTGGCTGCGCAGTCGGGAAGTGTGGCTAATAGTCTATTTGGATGACATCCTCATCATGGCTCAGGATCGTTCAGTCCTTCGGAAACATCTTCAATGGACAATGGACCTCCTCTCCCGCCTGGGTTTTCTCCTCAACTGTGAAAAATCCTGCCTGTCTCCTTCACATCGCATGGAGTTCCTAGGCTTCACGGTAGATTCCGAAGCAGAGTCACAGCCTCCCTGCCTCCAAGATACGGACAATCTGCAAGGAGCTGCGCCGCACTTTAACGTGCACCCAGCTATCTCTATACCAACTGGCACAGATCATTGGCCTTCTGGCAGCATCAATCCAAGCGGTGTTCCCAGCCCCACTTCATTACCGTGCCCTCCAGCGCCTGAAGATCGCACACCTTTGCGGACATGATCTCCCTGGACTCAGACTCGAGACGAATTGACCTGGTGGATCCACAACCTCTCGGCTTGGAATGGCAAGGCCATCTTCGGCTCCCAACCAGAGTTCACGGTGGACTCAGATGCCAGTCTCCACGGCTAGGGTGCCCATTGCAACGGGGTGACTACCGGGGGTCGCTGGTCAGCAGACAAATCCTACCTCCACATCAATGCTCTGGAACTCCTTGCAGCTTCATTCGCGATCCGGAGTTTCGCGAACGGGACTGCCAGCTCATGCATCCACCTGATCTCAGCGGTCTATGTCAACCACATGGGTGGCACTCAATCTGCACTCCTGGCCTGCTTGGCAAAAGGACTTCTGGGCCTATTGCTTGGACAAGAACCTGGTGGTCCAGGCCGAATACCCTCCCGGGCTCCACAACACTCACGCGGACTGGAGTTCACGCTGTCGGACAACAGCGATTGGAGATTAGATGTGGGAGTAATCGCCGCTATATCGTCCATATGGGGTCCTTTTGCCATCGACCTCTTCGCGTCCAGGCTCAATACCCAACTATCCCGGGTCCAGCCGCGTAGGCAGTGGACGCCTTCCTACAAGACTGGACTGGCTCACTCCTCTACGCCTTCCACGCCGTTTGTTATGATACCTCGGGTCCTGCTCCAAGTTCTCCGCCAAATGGCCGACCTGATCCTACTAACCCCATTCTGGGGGACCCAATCCTGGTTCCCACAACTCCTGGAACTGGCGGTAGATGTACCCAGACTGCTGCCGTCTTTGACGGCTGCCCAGCAGGCCAACATCCGTTAGTGTGCCGCTTACACTTGTTGCGCCCCCTTAGACCTCGTTACTCATCTACATGGGACGTCTCCTGCGTTGTCGCTGTTCTCCTCCTCAGCCTGAGGGGCATCGACCACGTCCATGGTGAATTCAGGTGCACGTCTGGAAGACCTGATGAGAATGGACAACTGGTCCCGCGAATCCACTTTTCGTGAGTTTTACTTTCGACCTTTGCCTCACTTTTTTTCTCCAGTTATTGATCAGCTTTAAACTTGCAATATGAGCCTCCGTGTCTTGACATAAAATTACATGATTTTGCTATTTCATGACGAAAAGTCATGATTTTATGAAAGACACAGAGGCAAGTATTGTCCCACCCTTCATAGTTATTTTACTGATTTACCCCACCCAGTTGTTTATTCTCTCATGCAGGTTTTCCAGGGTTCGTAGGTATTCATTATGCGCTCTGGGTTTTGTCTAGTTTCAGTTTATTAACCTGTTCATGTTACGTGATTATTCGAAATGCCTATGATGAATTATACACACTGTGTTGCTTCTGTCTAGTTATAAAATTATGTCTTGGCATGCGCACTTTGGTTCAAGTACCAATTTAACTGTTCGTCTCCTGTCTTGTGTTTTCACAGATTGATTCCTTGTTGATCAAGGGTCTTCAGCACTTCTCTTTTGGCTTCACCAAGTGGCCAGGAAGTTTATGGACAATGCTGTGATGGGCCCCTCGCTGTTGGAATCTTGTTTACTGATGGATTGGTCCCAGTTACGTTATGGTTCCTGATCAGAGTCTGGCTGGATTTCAGATCGCCTGTTCTATTTGGTTTGGACTGTTTCATCGTTACTGTTTTGTTATTGTCTCGCATCTCCAAAGAAAGAGGAAATGTGTGGTGATGTGCTGACTATTATACTGGGACTTGGTATGGGTGTGGCCTATCACTATGGTTACCATTTTTTTTTTCCTTACTATTGTATTCTTTGCTGCTATTGGTGGACAGTAAAGAAAGGGTTAAGCAATACTCGCCTCCTTGTCTTTCATAAAATCATGCCTTTTCGTCATGAAATACCCAAATCATGTAATTTCTCTTCAAAACAGTTTTTATAAAATAAGCATGCATGGGCAGTTAATCCCTAAAGCAGTTCAGAAAGTTAATGGGAGCAGGTTTCTTCTGGCACCATAACCAATACAGTTTGTTCTAGTGGTGTAGGGGTTATGATGATTGGAGCAGTGGCGTAGCGGGAGAAGGACACAGAGGCGGTTGCCCTGGGCACAAAGTTTTTAGGGGTGTGAAATAAAAAAAAAAAAAAAAAGTAAATTTTTTTTAATTTATTTTTTTACAAATAAAATAGTGCATTCTCCCCTTCACACAGACGATCTCTCAATGTTAAAACATTACTTTTATAATGAAGGGGCAAATAAACATTGCCACGTAACATTTCACAGTATTTTTCTTGCCAATACTTTCCTTATGTAATCCTTATCGGTGAATTACATAATGCCCATTAAAAGGTGTGATTTTTCCATTTGAAGATAGTGACGTTTGATGGGAAATCACGCTATTAATTGGCATTATGTAAATACCTATTAAATTGTAGAATACCGGTACGCCGGCGACGGACGCTTAGCCTTGCTGCTCCTTCCATACCCAGCTCATTGTCGTGGTGAGATTTTTTTCCTTTTATTGCGTAGTTTTAAAACTTCACTACATGCCGAAAGTAATGTGTATAGTCTATACAAACTACTTTAGACGTGAGGTGGTTTTCTAAAAGTTACACAATGCAGCCAGTGACAGAGACACACATCACAGAGACAAGGCTGGTAGGGAAAGGAGGTGCCAGTTAAGCGACCCAGGGAGTGTGAACAGTCCACAAGTTAAGGGGGTGCAATACTAGCCTTGCCCCAGACACTGGAAACCCACGCTAAGCCACTGGAGTGTTCTTTTATGGAAATTCATAAGAGATATGAAATACTGTATTTATCAGCGTATAACACGCACTTTTTCTCCCTGAAAATAGGGGAGAAATTGTGGGTGCGTGTTATACGCCGGCCCTTTAAATACTGCAGCCGCCTGAGCTCAGGCGGCTGCAGTTGGTACTCACCTCCCCTGTAGCGTGGCCGAGCCGCTCTGCTGTCCGCGGTGGCCGGCCGGAGTGATAGGATGGTGCACGCTCAGTGTGCACCTTCCTGTCAGTCCGACCGGGTACAGGAAACAGAAACTCCTGTTCCGCGCGGAACAGGAGTTTCTGTTTCCTGTACCTGGTCGGACTGACAGGAAGGTGCACACTGAGCCTGCACCATCCTATCACTCCGGCCGGCCACCGCGGACAGCAGAGCGGCTCGGCCACGCTACAGGGGAGGGGGGTAAGAAAGGGGTAAGAGGGGGAAGTAAGAAGAGGGGGAGGGGGAGTAAGAAGGGGTAAGAGGGGGAAGGGGAAGTAAGAAGTTCTTTATTTGAAATTTAAAAGGACCACTCTAGGCACCCAGACCACTTCAGCTTTATGAATTGGTCTGGGTGCCAGGTCCCTCTAGGATTAACTTTTTTTTTTTTTTTTTAATATATAAACATAGCAGTTTCAGAGAAACTGCTATGTTTATACTGAGGGTTAATCCAGCCTCCAGAGCCTCTAGTGGCTGTCTCATTGACAGCCGCTAGAGGCGCTTGCGCTTCTCACTGTGAAAATCACAGTGAGAGCACGCAAGCATCCATAGGAAAGCATTGTAAATGCTTTCCTATGCGACGGCTGAATGCGCGTGCGCATTCAGCCGATGACGTCACGAGCAAGGAGGAGAGGAGGAGTACAGCTCCCCGCCCGGCGCTGGAGAAAGGTAAGTGTTTAACCCCTTCCTCTCTCCAGAGCCCGGCGGGAGGGGGTCCCTGAGGGTGGGGGCACCCTCAGGGCACTATAGTGGTCCTTTAAGTTTTTTTTCCCTGAAATTTCCTTCTTAAAATGAGGTGTGTGTTATACGCCGATAAATACGGTAATCAATTCAAAGCATATAAAAAAAAAAAAAAAAAAAGTTGTATTTAAAAGTTTGTTGTAAAAGTTCAAACAAACAGGGTGGTGCAAAAATGATGCTGCAATTATGACTAATGTTATGCAAGTCCTGCTGCTGCAGAAATCTAAAAATGTCACTAGAAGGTACGCTGCACAAAGTGAATAATAGTTTTTAGTAGTATTTGATATAGGGATGGGGTTAAAAATGTGATGTGAAAGAACTCCCAGTGATAGGAGTACCTTGGAGTTAAGTAGCTCCCAACACGAAATATTTTAATTCTGCATTTTCTGTGGGTGTTATGTAGCCCTATAAGTGTACTTTGTGGGGTTTTTTTGTTTACTTGAATCCATGGGTAGGGTTTATGTGGGGGCCAGGGTTAAACTCAGTATGGGACAGCACATGTAAGTGGATGAATAGTCAGCACAGGGTTTAAAAACAGTGCAGTATCAAACATGTGGCTGATGAGTAACAGACATGAAACGAGTTGAAAACACAAAAGCACAGACTAACATCAGGTAATGTATTTTTGCAGAAAGGAATGCAGGGGGAAGGGTTAACAGCGCAGGTTAATGCCTTGAAGGGGTTTTAGCAGAACTACTGGAGTTTCAACGTTAGTAAATAGCTGCATTCTAAACTAAAACGACTCGTAACAAAATAGAACATCTGATAAACTTTCACTACTCACATTGAGATGCGACCTCTGTGTTCTTTTTTGAGGAGACGCTTCACATCTTCAGACTCACAAGGCACTTCTGTCCCAATCACCATTTCCCCTGAATTCTTTGATCTGCTAGGTCCTAACGCAAACACTGGCAATAACCTCTCTCGCTGCAAACTTACCCAAACCCCCTCAGTCTAAACGAATGCTACCCACAGGCTGCACACATCTCCTCACTACTTGCAATTCACTGAAAACAAGGAGCTGAGCAAGAGACAACTACACAACAACCCAAAATGCACCACTAATGAGAACCTGTTCTACCAGTCTGGGGAAAGCTAATCACTCAGCCAGCTGCAAACATTGCTATTTTTTTTTTCTTTTAATGCAAACCAGCTGATTTTTGGCTTGTTTGCAAAACAAAATCCTAAATGCAGGAAGATCTGGTTTGAGTTCAATGCTAAGGCAATTCTTTTAAATTATTTAATGAGGATGTAGCATTTAAAGGGATCCACCTCCTTGTTACTTAACAATAGATCTGTTTAAATGTTTCAAGAGCAGATGATTGAGATAATCATTGTACCAGTTACACTATCCTATTTTTAGCTGGTGGGAACTGAGATAGATAATTGCTCCAAAATAAGCTGGTGGATGTTTGCTGCTGATTTACATTATTAAAACCCAGTAAAATCAAATTGTCTATTCGTTCTTTGATATAGGTTGTTATCGAGTTAAGACACTGCTTCATTAGGAGAAATTATTGATTGCTGATATTGGTATGAAGTTAATTATTTGCACATTATATACTATATGAGGACATTGTTCTGAATAAACCATTACCCAGGATGAAAAAAAGGAATTGTTACATTATCCAATAAACTTTTACTTTTATGGAATTGACAAGGGTCTTGTATATTTGACTCCAATTTGGCAATTTTATCATGAACTATTAACTTTCTGGAACAACACTTGCCAGTATCTAGTTTAGTGGATAACCCGAAGGTTTAATAATTCTGATTGGTATTATTTGTGATCAGATATGTAACATGTAGTGTTATTCACTTAACTCTGATAGTCGCTGGATTTGCAAAACTTAAACATTTCGTAATTTTCCCCTGAATTGCAATTTAATATAGACACAATTTAGGAGTGAATGTGTGGAAGTGCACCGAATGTGCTCATCCAGTACATAGCATATATCAGGATTATTTAGTGGGAACTCAAAAGGAATTTAAAATTTAAAGCCAAAGTAGCTAAAATGGAAAAATTCACTTTGACTTCCTAACAATTCTCACTTAAAAAAAAACTTTGAATGCAAAAAAAATAACAGGGGTTTGATGGTTTAAATAATATGCAAAGTATATTTGCATACATATCCATCACTGTATCAATTGTGAGGCTAACAAGACATAGTTGGTTGTTTTGCTGACCCTCTTAGGTAACACTTTCCAGGGGGTCAGCAAAACAACCTATTCCCAAACACCTGCTTGGATGTCTCTGCAACGTTACCAAACGCCTTGCTAGCCCCTTGTCATGGGGGGCTCAAGAGCTGTCTGGCTGTCCACTTTAAGGTCCCCCAAAGCGGGTGTTGTGTGTAATGGAGGCAGCGGCGAGGGAGCTGTAATCTGCCCGCTCTTTTTGCTCTGCTCCCTTGCACAGCCAGAGTGAGGTCATGACCAGACTCCCGGCATCAGCGAGCAGAGCAAGAAGAGCTTGAAGACTGCAGGATCATAGCAGCTCCACTGGACCCCTGGGAAAGAATCCCCTTCAGCTCTCCCAAAGGTAGACAGGGTGGGTGGACTTAAATCAAAATAAAACAAATAATTTGTGATTGTGTGAGAGTGTCAGTGAATGTGTCTGTCAGTGAGTGTGTGTGTGTCTGTGCATGAGTGTGTGTCTTTGCGTGAGTGTGTGTCAGTAAATATGTGTTCAACTAGGTTGAACTTGTTTTTTCTGTATTACCTGTTGCAAGAAAAAATAAATTTCTAACCCGAGCATGACAACAGAGAACACACCAGTACATGGTTGTGTCAATATGTGATGGGCCTTAGGTTGGACATTGAATAAACACCCATAACTCACAATTTGTGCAACAGAGCATTATTGCGGCTACTTGTTGTGATCCATTAGGGATTGCCACCTAGATGTATGACCCATAGAATGAAATTGTATGTTATATGTTTAGATAATTTACAATATTGATTTTTTTTTCTACCTGTTACATGCAGGTTCTGTGGTTGAACTCTTCTTAGTTAACACCAGCACAACTGATTTATATTACATGGGTGCCAACAGTCCCAAATCTGTGACCCCACATTTTAAGGGATTATCCCAGCAGAAATAGGTCCTGGGACCTGATGGCAGATTTCAAAATGTAGGAGGATGCTGGGCTATTGAATCAAACCCAGAATGCTTCACCAGTGCTCTCTCTATCCTGGCTTCTCAACCTGTGGTGCACACACCAAAAGCAGGGGGTACGCAGGGATGTTAAATTCTTAACGCCCAAGATGCAGTACATGAAGTTTCAGGCACCGGGCAAGAAGTTTGTTTTGGTGTTTACAGACAAGCAGCGGTTTTGGTGTCTACGGGTTTGTTTTGGTGTCTATGGGCAAGTGGCAGGTTCTTGGGATAATTGATACACATGTAGTGGCTAGAGGGAGGAAATGGAAAAGAGGAAGGTTTGGAGGAGGGAGTGAGACACAAGGAGGGGCTGGGGGAGAGAATGATACACACTGAGGGGTTGGAAGGGAGGTAATGACACATACGGAGGGGCTGGGGATAGGGAATGAGACACTTGAAGGGGCTGGGGTGAAGGAGACACATGGAGGGGTTGGGCGAGGGAATGAGATACATGGAGGGTCTGGAAGGGAGGTAATGACACCCATGGAGAGGAGGGGCTTAGCGGGGTAGGGAATGAGGTACATGGAGGGGATGAGGGGGGAGTGGATGAGGCACATGGAGGGATTTGGGGGAAGGAATGATACACATGGAGGGGCTGGTGGAAAGGAATAAGAAGAAGCATGAAAGGGTTTGGGAAGGGAATGAGACACATGGAGATCCTGGGGGGAAAGAATACACATGGGGGTATGAGACACATGGAGGGACCAAGGGGGAATGATACACATGGAGGGGATGGGGGGGGAGGATGAGACACCTGGAGGAGCAGAGGGCGGGGGGGGGGGGCAGGACAATTTTTGCACTGGGGCCCTGTGGTTTCTAGTTACACCTCTGAGCCAGAACACACACTACATACAAGCAGCACACAAAGAAAGAGACAATAACAAGTAGGCAAGCCAATAGATCAAGGATACCAGATATAAGAATAGTCAAGAACAATCAAAGGTCCAAATAACAAATAGAAACACAAGATAAATGCACTCTATGATTACCAGTAAATGGAAACTACGGCAGGGCACTGCCAAAATTTTTTTTTGAGTTTTATTAGCGCTAGCAAGGCAATGATTGGTTAGAATTCACCTTGTGACGCTAAAATATGTGCATGCAATGCGTGTAGGATGTGATGACAGATACATGTGCGTCACTTATTTCATGCTTGGAAGCAGATATTGCAGTGGCTGCACCATATCGGCCAAGAGTTGCATTGCGAGCAGACCAGATTGGAATCCACGATGTGGTTAGTCCCCCTGCCTTGCTCCCACTTTCGTGACAGCACCAATTGGGTGTGGCCACATGATTGCACCTTTCTGGCACTGATACAATATGAATTCAGAATTTAAAATGCAAGTTGAACGTTTTCATGATATTTTATGGATTTGGTAATTTGGCAAATGATGACTCATATATGGGACAATGACAACATTCTTATTTAACCACTCCTGTCCCAAAACCATATACACATAGACCAGATTTTGTTTTCATTTTCAAAATAATACTAAACAAAATATTTTCAGCAAATCCTCAATGATTGTATTGCTCATGTCATAGCCTTCTCCCGTCATAAAATGGATTTTCTTATCTAGGCATGGTATAGAACAGGGGTAGGCAGAAAGAATGTCCCATAGTAAGACCTGTAGTATGTCAAGGGAACTTTGGAAGGAGGTAATCCTAAAAATTACAAAAATGTACACTGGGGTGGCCAGTGGACATAAAGTCCAGAGGACACAGTAAAGTGCCTAAAGTATGCAATAATTTTTTTTAAATTTAAAACCACAATTTATTAGAGTATATAAAAAGAACATAACTAACACACAAGAAAATCACACAACATATAATCCCCTAAAGCTAGTCTATGAGCTCAACCATCCTAATTAGGTAGGAAGGATAGCAGAATGAAGGAGGCTTCTAGACTATAATTGGAAGGTCCAAAATGTATAAGGCGGTATAAGTGCAAAAACCTACACCTCTAAGTGGAGCGCTGAGCTCCACTTAGAGGTGTAGGTTTTTGCTCAGCGCTCCACTTAGAGGTGTAGGTTTTTGCACTTATACCGCCTTATAGAGTTTGGACTACTTTAAGTGTGGGTAAGAGGGTATTTCCACTCAAGTGTTTTTGAGCAGCTGTAATTTACTCTTGATCTTTAGCACTTTATTGGACACACATTCCTCCCTAACAGGAGGTATATTTCACATATAATTGGAAGGTAGCTATAAGGTGGAATCCTCTGTAGCATAAGCCTCACCAACAACCAGATTGGGAGGGGAGAGTGGAGAGCTATATCTCAGAAAGTGAAGCTAGCCTATAAAACTGAACACAGATAAGGTTTTGGGATACTGTAACAAAAAGTACTGAAACAATGTTACCCACTGTTGCTGTGCAGAATGCTTGGGAAGCTAACAGAGAGACAATGGCAGACCCAGAGAAGCCTTCCCTGAACTAACTGAGAATGAATCAACTTCAAGGTCGCTGTCTAAAAAAATTATAAAAGTAAAAGGAAGGCTTAAAAAGGTGTAGTGCCCACCCAGTCTGTCTTATAACGCTGTCATAAAAAAGATGTCGCAACTAGCCAGGCTAACCTATTATGTCTAAAAATAAAGGTAAATCGTCTTGTAGGTCGCTAGCTGAGAAAGCCAGAAAACTAAAGACTGTAGACTACAGAAAATAAAGCACCATTCCACTGGAGTCCTTTCCATGATATCTACAAAAAATGCCCTAAATGAACTCCATAAAAGAGAGTTTCCACTCATGGATTGCTGTATAAACCCTCACACCATAACAAAGAAGTGGCAAACTACAGCGTGCAGTGAATTTAAAATGATAAAGCAAAGCCTGACGCGCGTTTCGGTGCTACTAAAACACCTTCGTCTGAGACATAAACAAGTACACTATTCTGTGTAGCTATTTAAGAGAGTTATTCATCTATGTGGACCAATGGGGTGCAGGAGTGTGTGCCGTTTGGCTTCATCTGGTATAGAAGAATTGTAAAAGTGGCCCCTTCATATTTTACCGGAATCTGATGGCAGCTGGGTGGCTCAGACATAGAAAGGGTTATCCATTAAAGTGTGAATTGTTAGGAAATCAAAGTGAATTCAAGGTAAATTTCAGGTCAAATAGCTAAACTGGAAAAAAACTAAACTAAATCTCCAATCCAAGTGTACTCTTTTTGGGGGTTCTTATAAATACCTATACACAGGGACAATTTTGTCGCATACACTGTTTGTTATATTATATAACCAGTCTAAACTGTGGAATCAAGAGATACCATGAAGTAGTTAACACATTTTATCTCACAGTATTTGTATAACGTTTGTTTCATTACTACGAGAACAAAACCCCAAAAGATTATTTGTATATACAAAGTGAGCAACAAATATTTCTGATAGAACACGCAGAATCAAGAACACAAAAGTTCTGGTATAACCTTTTGCCCCTTGTGATGCCAGGAATGCATTCCTAGGATATTAAGAATGGAAGACAAGGTTGTGCAAGAAATGTGTGTAATTATAAATTCACATGTTGGTACCACTTATGATAACTACAAAATGTTTCTAACTTTCCATTAACCACTTGTCTTTGTATTCTCTCTTGATTCTGCAATGATTTGTTTATAACAGCCTAGTTGTGGGAACTATAGCTTTGAAAAATTTAAACTGCATCTACTCTCGGTTGCTGGTCTCACATATCTCAGAACTGAATATCACTAGGAACAACAAAGCAGAAAGAAGAAACAATTCCCTACTTAGCAATAAATCATTAAACATCCTCAGTCAGTCTAGTTTACATCTAACTGTCCCTATAGATTCCATTGCATCTATTCGACTAGTTTGAAGATTGCATCTGCCTCTAAAATCAATTTAAAATTGTATTTATTGTAAAATTAACCAATTGGGTTCATTATTTTATTAATATTCTTTATTTTTGAAAAAGGAGGGAAAACACATATAATATACAGCAAATATCAAATTTAGTATATTAAAATACCTTATTCATTACCCATTGAATCTTACAACCATGTAAGAAAAGAATCAACAGGATAAGGATGAAGTAAAAGAACAAGGCATCTCACGAGGACCCATACACTAACAGGGTTATTTGCTAAATTGAGATTTGTCTATAATTCAAAGTTAATTTCAAATATAAAGGTACACTATAGTCACCCAGACCACTTCAGCTCAATGAAGTGGTCTGGGTGCCAGGTCTCCCAGGTTTTAACCCTTCAGATGTAAACATAGCAGTTTCAGAGAAACTGCTATATTTACATTAGGGGTTAATCCGACCTCTAGTGTCTTCCTGATAACCGCTAGAGGCGCTTCTGTGACGCTGGATGCGAAGTGCAGAACGTCCTTAGGAAAGCATTGAGAAATGCTTTCCCATGGACTATTTGAACGCGCGCGTGGCTCTTGCATGCGCATTCTGCTCCACTCAGGAGCTGACGGTGGGGGATGAGAGGTCACCAGCGCCGATGGAGCCCACCGCTGGATTAAGGTAAGTGGCTGAAGGGGTTTTAACCCTTTCAGCCCAGCGGGATGCGGGCTCTAAGGGTGAGAGGGGGGGTCCTAAGGATGATATAGTGTCAGGAAAACAAGTTTGTTTTCCTGACACTATGGCGATCCTATAAAACCAACATAGTCTAACGGGAAACAGAAATTACATAGAATTTTTTTCAAATGTGGCTATTCTGTCCTTAAATTTGAGAATCAATTTGAATCGATCTACAAAATTGATAAAAGGAATGGCGCCTTTTAGTTATCAAGAAAGGTTAAAAAAAATATAAATCTCTTTAGTTTGGAAAAAAGGCGCCTCAGATGGCAAAAGATAACATTATACAAATATATTCAGGGCCAGTACAAATCATTATCTGGAAATGTATTCATAAACAGGGTTATACATGAGGTCACACATTTAGGCTGGAAGAAAGTAGATTTAATCTAGAGCAGAGACAATGTTTTTTTACAGTAAGACCTATGCGGATATCAGAGTCCATACAGATGTTTAAACAATAAACACCAATTGGATAAATACTTGCAAAAACATAAAATACAGGGTTATACATTCTAATTAGTGGGGTAATAGCTGCTTGATCCAAGGAGTTATCTGACTGCCATTTTGGGGTCAAGAAGGAATTTGTTCCTAGTTCGTTGCAAAATTGGAAGCACTTCAGACTGATTTTTTTGCTATTTGTATCAACAGCAAAAACATATGTGAGGAAGGCTGAGCTTGATGGTCTCAAGTATTTTTTCAGCTATGTAACTATGTAACTATGTCATTCTCTTCCTGACAACTTTCTCTTAAGTAAATTCACCTGTTAGAACTGTGCAATAATCATGACTCCCAAACTTTGTAGAGTGGCAGACCATGGCAGTTAATATATCCATTGAAGTTGTTCTGTACTTTAAATTCCACACATCACCAAAGCTCTGCAAACAGCTAATGAGTTGTTGTTTTTTAAAATCAATTTGTTTTCAGCTTTAACCCCTTCCCGACCATGGATGTAATAGGTACGTTTGACAAAATCGTCCCTTAACGACCACGGACGTACCTGGTAAGTCCATTAGTAAATCCCCACTTACCTGAACGCTGGCGATCCCCCCGGCGATTGGGATCCTGGGGTCTGCCAGGGAGCTCAGCCAGACCCCCTCTGCCTGATCCGGCTCTCCCAGGCCATGTGATCTCGGGGTCCTTGCGATCACATGGCCGGAATAGCTGGTGCCTGCAGAGGGCCTGTCTGAGCTCTCAGGCAGTCCCCCTGTCAGGGGTGCGCGGGCGGCTGTGAGGGGAGGCTGCACGCCACTTGCAGCGGTCTCCCCTCCTCCTACCTGTCGGCGAGCGGCATCTCCTCTCCGCCGCTCGCCGCTCGCGTCCTCCATGCCTCCCAGCGGCAGCATGTGTAACGCTGCACGCTGGGAGGTCGCAAATTTAAAGCAACAGTACCACAATCACAGTGGGAGGCGTAGATATCTCCCACGTGTGATTGTTAATTCTGATTGGAAGTTATCCAATCAGAATTAAGCAAAGGGTATTTATACTTACCTTTCCTGTCTCTCAGTGCCCTGTTGTGGTCTTGTGATCGCTGTATTGCAGTTTTCTCATGTTGCTCTCTGGTTACTAATTATTTGGCTCGTTATTCCGATTATCCTGTCTTCTCCTTCCTTGACCTCGGCTTGTTTCTCGTTCTTCTGTTTTCTGGCTCCCTTTACTTGGCTTGTCTCCTGACCATTCTTGGTGTGCTTAGCCCGGCCACTCTAAGGACCGGTATAGCATCCTTACTCTCTGTGACCTGTTACCGTGTTAGGTTCCAGAATCGTGACACCCCCTAATGCCTGTACAAAACTTTATTAAAAAGTTTAAAAAAGTAAATATTTATATATATACATGATCTAAGTACTTTTATATGCACATACACATACATAAATCATTATTAAAACTGTATTTTAATAATTATCTATATAATGATATATATGCAAAAAAACATATAAAATTTGTATCTTGTAATACCTTTTTTATTGGAATAACAGAATTTTTTTAATGACAAGCTTTCGGGAGAACCTCCCTTTCTCAAGTCTGCAGCATTTCTAAAGGGAGGTTCTCCCGAAAGCTTGTCATTAAAAAATTCTGTTAGTCCAATAAAAAAGGTATTACAAGATACGAATTTTATCTGTTTTTTACATCTACATCACTGGACTAATACGGCTATGATCTCTACTTGAACACTAATGATATATATATATATATATATATATATATATATATATATATATATATATATATATATATATATATATATATATATATACATATATATATAATACACTTAGAAGAATGTTCATTATATATATATATATATACATATATATATATATATATAAAATTATAATTTATATATATATAAAATAAAATTAATCAATAAATAAAGAAAATTCGTTTTAAATTATATATCAGTTTAAATTTGTTCTAACTGTATTTTGATATTAATATACATATATATTTAAATCAAAATACATTTAGGATGACGTTATAAATACATATCCCCTTAACAACCATGGACATACTAGGTACGTCCGACAAAAAATGGTCATTAAGGCAAATAGGAGCCCCTGGTCACTTCGCCACAATAGAAGTCTATGGAGCTGCCAGAAGGAGCTGCTAAAAAGTAAAAAAAATAGCTTAATGTAGTTGTTCTGGTGGGTACACTGAACTTTCCTCATAGAGATGCGTTGATTCAATGTATCTCTATGAGGAGCTGCTGATTGGCCAAAACAGTGTTTGGCCCACGCCCCCTTTCCGATTTTAGCTAATCCAATGCTTTCCCCACAGGGAAATGGTGGGTTTTGCACTATAGAGTCAGGAATACATGTTTGTGTTCCTGACCCTATAGTGTTTCCTTTAATGAATCCAATGTCATACCTGGACCTCTGTGTCCAAGATGTCATCTTGCCAAAAACAAGTGTAACTCATGACACTGAAGTCATACATGGATGCTTGATGTAACAGTTGGTAGTACTTCAACACAGACTACTTGACCATCAACATAAATGTTGGAATATATTTGTAACACTGCATTCTTCAATTCAAAGAAACACAGTTGAAGAACAAGTTGAAAAAAAACCCTTGTCCGTGAACACAGGGATTATTGTTAAAGAGTTAGAAGGTGGCTAAAATATAACACACAATTTTTCAAAATTTGTGGAGAATCGAGCCAAAATGTTCAGGTTGAACAGGTTAAGTCCCAGACCTAGATCAGAATTAACAACTTCTAGAACAAGAATAAGTGATAGGCAGGAGAAAATATTATCATCTCACCCAGGTCTCAAATTCCATTATTAAAGAGCTCCATAGTTCACATCGCACTGTCTGGGGAAAATAGCTGTGGGGTATATAGCAAAATATTTAAATTGGGAGGAGGCGGTCTAGAAGCCTGTTAGCTGCTTTAAATAATCTTTATTTTCCTGGGAAAGTTCTAAAGGACGGGCTCTAGAGTTAACCAAAGTGAATATATTACCCGATACTTGTAAAAAGTAAATACCTAAAGTAGTTGGAGAAGAAATTAGATCAAAAGTCCTGGGTACTTTGAAGATAATGAAATGTCTGCATGCACAGATAACTTAAACACCTCTCCTGTTGATTTACAATCTTGGATACACAGAGATTCGTAGATTGAGCAGATTGTTTAATAGAAATGTAAAACGGCAACCTTGTCTAATGCCATTTGCATTAGAAACTTGTAGATCATGGCTGGAATTATCCTGTCTCTTGGATTATTTCTTTTCCATGCTTGTGGGATGTGTTAGCAATGTAGTTTGGATGTAGTTTGGATCAGATAAATATATATTGTTAAAATGTAATAATCTATTATATAATGGAACACTCAGCCTTATTTTTTGATGAAGAGTTATTTGGAAAAGTACAAAATATGGAACAGTCAGAAGTTACAATTTATTAAAGGGACACTATAGTGTCAGGAAAACAAATCGGTTTCCCTGACACTATAGTACCCTGAGGGTGCCCCCAGCCTCAGGGTCCCCCTCCCATGGTGCTGAAGGGGTTAAAACCCCTTCAGTAGCTCACCTAATTCCAGCGCCAGGCTCCCTTACCTCTCCTCCCCCGCCGACGTCAGTATCCTCGTCCGACATCACAGGAACCGTATGCGCTGCACTGCCATGCGCGCATTCAAAGTGTCCGTAGGAAAGCATTTTTTAATGCTTTCCTATAGACGCTCTGCGTGATTGAGGAATAATATGCCTCAATCATTGCGGATGCGCCTCTAGTGGCTGTCCGGAAGACAGCCACTAGAGGTTGGCTTAACCCCAAATGTACACATAGCAGTTTCTCTGAAACTGCTATGTTTACATCAAGAAGGGTTAACCCTAGAGGGACCTGGCGCCCAGACCACTTCATTGAGCTGAAGTGGTCTGGGTGACTATAGTGTCCCTTTAATTTCTTTGATGCTTGACAAATATATTGTTCTTTAGCGGTATTATAACAACAATGAACAAGGTCCACTATACTTAATGAAGATATATCATGATGTAATTATTGCTCTGTTATTTGGTGGTAATATCTTGTAATGACTTGATGGTTGCATCTCATAATGTTTTGTCATGCAGGGTGACAACTTTAGGGTTTGGTTTGATGGCTTGCATGACCACTAGTGTTCTGGATACAGACAAACACATTGAACCAACAAAGCAATCATATAATCAAGTGACACTTAGTATAGACAAGCCAATTGTTGGAAAAAGGAAAACTGGTTGGTAAACATAAAGGCTGCAAGCAAAGTAAAGAGAAAGGAGAACATGATGGGTGCATATCTCCTTTCACCAACTATGTATCTATGTAAGGAGTGTTATGTTATGGAAAAACATACATAACAGCTGAACACTGAGTAATATGTACTTTAAATTTACATACATCCTTAGAGAGATGTATGCATACTTATTTTCAGTCATATTTACTGTCATTAATGCATGCACTTCCAGAGTCATATTGAGGGCTTGGTTCTGTTAGACAAGATAAACTTATCTCTTGTAATTGAATAGCATTTATCATATAGAAGTCCATGGGATAACTTCTTTTCTATTACAAGTGGTAATGGAATCCAGCCCTGAGTATGGTAATGTGCCTATTTAACAAATGTGCTTGTTGGTTATCTCTGCTTAGCTTTCATTAATTTGTACCATGTAAAATAATTAATACTTCACATTCCAATATCAAGATGCCTCACTTCTTGTCTATTTACAGTGAGCACTGTGTTAAAGGATGTTGTGGGCTTGGGGCCGAAGATGATAATGAATGTAATTAATAAAAAAAACAAAAACTTTCCCTACTCAAATTAATTTCCCAGCATAGGAGTAGTTCGACAATTCAAACATGAGATGCACTCATTGCCAAACTTGGTTCTAACACAAAGCATATAGTATAGTTGCTATCAATACTCATAGAAGTAAGAATATATCAAATAAAAGGAACTATAAAAGGAACGATAACCATTTTGTAATGCATTAGTTTTCAGGTAACCTCAGTGAATTTAAAATAGCATAATAATGGAACACTCCTGGCAACATAACGACTACAGCTCACTCCTTCTGCTACTCCTCAGCAGGAACGTCCATTAGCTCTCTTACAGCTCAGGAGAGATTATGGAAACTTCTGCTGAGGAACTTCCAGCTCTTGGGAGATTGTAGTGGAAGCTACAGAAGCCGAGATGTGTGTAAGGGTCTCTCCACCGGCAAGGCCTTGTGCGGAACCTGTACAACAGGAGAAGAGAGTAAGTGCTAATTACCAAATGGGGGGCAACCCTAAAAAGGGGAATCCAATCTCTGGGTGGAGGCAATCATTTACATAACAGAATATAGCTTGAGACCTCTGAGTGCTTGGTGGTACCCACAATATATTTTGTTTTCCTGCCTGCCAATTCTGTGTATATGCTCACTTGCACATTTAAAACTCTCTGGAAGCTATTGTGTGTTGTTGTATGTGCTCTCACATAAGCTGGATATTTAGAAACAACTTGGGAATGTAGGGCTTTGGTCCAAAGTCTGAATAGTAACTACATCTGGGACATTTGCCAGACACGGTTTACGCACAGCGTGATTTAACAGCAAAGGTTACAGGACATAGCAGTAACTGAGATCTGAGTCTTATGTGGGCAAAAAATGCAACACAACAGGAATTTAAATGTTATGCATTGCTTGTATTTATGACAGTTAAAAGAAGAGCAAATCTTATTTTATGACTTTCATTTTGCAGGACACTTGTTCTTAATGATGTGGTCTTGTGGCATAAAAGTTGCCCCTTCGGCCTTTCAAATGAAAGCAGTGTTGTCTCTGAGATACAGTACTTGTTTACAAATTCAGTTTCCATGTCTGCTTTGAGTACTCATTCAGACAACCACTAGGGTGTTTGAAATAATAAAATATTCAATAATTGAGTCAATTTTAGGTCAGGCATCAGTATGTTAAGCAAGCTGAAATGAAACACTTTGCACATCCACTTCTGCATGAGACGCCCTGGTTTAAATATTGTGCGCTTCTTCCACAATGCTATTTTATGAGAAATATATATATATTTATTTTCTAAAGGGATATTGCACACACATAAAACACTTCACACATAAAGCACACCATCTTGCTGAATTCCTTTATGTGTGAGGAGCATCTCCTCTTAATTGCAGTGTATAAAAATAAAATTTTTCTATTTGAAAATCAGAAGCACCTTGCTGTCATACAGCTTGAAGTGGCAAGTGTGCTCTGCAAGAGTGCGCCAGCCTTCCCCCTCAAGCACAAGTATGCCTATTGGCATACAAGGAGCCACTGAGCCTAATGCAGCTGTATCTGCAGAATCCCTCTCTGCAGACTTACTGTTTTTTAGGCTGGAGAACTTGGGCTGAAAGCCAGGATTGTATACTTGTGTCTGCTTGAGCCTGAATGAGAATGGAGCCTTGCAAAGGGGGTAGACAGGAAATCTGCAGCTTTCACGAAGAACAAATGCAGCAATAAATGCATGCATGTTTTTATTGGGGCATATCTACTAAATTGTTAAATAAGTGAATTTTAAAAAATTCCATGGGAGTGTTTCTTTAATTGGAATGTTCCTTTCAGCAAATGTCAGCTAGTCTGAGTTGAGGTGACTGACCTATTTACACAATGTATCATCAAAGAGAATATATTATGTTTACTGCTAGGGAGTAAGATAATGTTCACTTTTATTAGCAGTGTGAAACAGTGAGAGCTCTAAAGACAATCAATTTGTGCATGAACAGCATTCAGAGTTATAATGAACTCAGCATCTGTACTTAATAAACAAATAATAAACAAATATATTATATTAATTTACAGTATGTCTAGAAAATCATTAAAGTATCTTTTTAATATTTTTATATCCCATGCATTGTATTTGGCTTCTGAAACACCCATATGCCTCCACACTGACAACCATATACCTCCACATAGAGAGAGCTTAATTTCAGGGTATCCATGAAAATGGTTGCCATTTCTCAGGTACATTTTTGAACGCTGAAAAAACACACTCATTACTGCAAATACGTATTTTTTCTAATGTCCCAAAGTAAAATCAGACCTGATTTGGCCCCAGCATGGGCCTTCCCTCCACAATTTCCATGTCTGCTTATGCATTGAAATTAAAGTCAAATTGTCCCAGGACTTGGTTGTCATAAGAATGGAGTTTGAGGGGTGCAATTTCTATTCATAAAGTAACATTTTGGAACCAACAAGATCTGCCGTGCATGAAAAATGTAGTAAATGGTATACATGTAGCAAGCCAGACATAAAGAATCTAAAACAGTAGGATTGGTAAACTGTGCCTGAAAGCATAGTGATGTTTGGTCAAATAAAAAAAAGAAACAAAACTATTTACAATATACATTCCCAATTAAGATATGTTTTGCATATAATCATTTTAATTATGCATTTTCACTGGGGTTATATCTAAGCAGCATATCTCTTGTCTGTAGCCTTTGAAAGCACCCCCTTCTTCTCCAACGAAGACATTCTGTGGCTGTCCAATCACAAGTCTGTGTTCTAAGTAATTGCTGCCTCTTGAGTTTAGCTATACTGAACTAAACTACCAGGAAGTAACAGGATCAATTGTCTGCTTGACAGCAGCTGTACTTTTTGTAAAATGGAAAGAAAAAGCTGAAGTGCTTTATGTGTGTAAAGTGTCCCTTTAAAGTTTAAAATGTAGTTTATCTTTATACTAAATCACTGGACATTTGCACTTGACTGGTCTTGTCTTCTGGAATACAGATAGAAAATCTGACATTGAATTACCATATACATACTAAACCTGGATACTCAGTGAAGGCTAATAATCTCAATCAAAATCTAATTCAGCTCTTCAATTAGACCAGATAAAAATGTGACATTTTCTCAAGAAAATCAATATACATGTTTTTAAATAAATCATTACGTGTCACTAAATGCAACAAATATTTAAAAACGGAAAGAGAAAATTTGATGAGTTGTTACCAACTCCGTCCACTTGCAGAGCCTGAGAGTGCGCATGTGCTCTGAGATAGCGAATGTATCCTAATAGAGAAGCATGTGATTGGAGCGGGGAGCTTCCGCCCGGTGCTTGAGTAAGGCAAGGTTAAATCCTTTCTTTACAAGTTTTTACAGGGGGGATCTAAGAATACTGTCCAATAGTGCATTTATAACACTGATTCTTAATTCACGAGTAAGGAGAAAAATGCATCCCCAAGTCAGTTTAGTAGATCCCTGTTAGTATGAACAAGCACATCATATTCATAAAGACACAGGCAACAGCCTGATTAATTTGTGAGCAATGCATTATTTACTGTCGCACCATTGCTTTCTCCAGTGAAATGGAAAAACCTTTATGCTATTATTTAAGTTTACATTAAAATTACATTAATATATTTCAAAACATGTTTTGCACACCACTATTTTAATGTAAATATTGTTAAACTGAGCTAATTTACTGTTAAAGAATAGGTTAACCAGCCTAATGTCAATTTTTTTATTTTTCTGACAATTAATGTAAAGCTCCTTAATTTGCCCACAACAAAGTTTAATTTGAAAATCCTTCCATAATTACAGAACAGTATTAAATTAGGAGTAACATAAAAGTTTGACAAACTCCAGCAGGTTTCTAGTTGAAATACAAATGACATGTATATAGAGATATCCTGAATCTAACATTAAAAATAAATTAATTCAGTGTAGTGAAAGTGATCATTATTTTCAAAGAAAGAAAACTGGAAACTAGAATAATTGCTATAACAACAGGCAAAATATAATTTATACGACTCCGTAGTGAAGTATAAACTAAACAATGGGAAAGCACAAAACGATATTGAGGATACAACCTGTGCAACAGGAGCTGATCTATGGAAGATCTACAAATATAAAATCACAAATAGTGAAGTATGTAGAGTTAAAGGACCACTATAGTTTTCCTGGCACTATAGTGCCCTGAGGGTGCCCCCACCCTCAGGGTCCCCCTCCCGCCGGGCTCTGGGGAGAGGAAGGGGTTAAAATCTTACCTTTCTCCAGCGCCGGGCGGGGAGCTTTCCTCCTCCTCTCCTTCTTCCTAGCGACGTCATCGGCTGAATGCGCGGTGATTTTCACAGTGAGAAGCACGCAAGCGCCTTTAGCGGCTGTCAATGAGACAGCCACTAAAGGCTTTAGAGGCTGGATTAACCCTCAGTGTAAACATAGCAGTTTCTCTGAAACTGCTATGTTTATTAAAAAAAAGGGTTAATCTTAGCTGGACCAGGCACCCAGACCACTTCATTAAGCTGAAGTGGTCTGGCTGCCTATAGTGGTCCTTTAAGGTGACTAAATCCAGGAGGTAGAAAACTTACAAAAGAACAAAGATGTTCTGCGCTTATCTCCCCTCTGGGGTATGTAAGAGGTGGTGCAGTCTCCTCCTTATATGATAAATCCTCAGGGGGATAAAGAAAATAGCAGAAAGAGTAGTACTGTTAAAAAGTAACAAAATTTAATACGCTGATTGCACTTACATCAATGCTGAAATCAGCTAGCATGTCTCCACTAGCAAGTGGAACAAGGTGGTATATCCATCAAAACGAAGTGGATTGGTAGTCAGATGCAGCGAAAGAAGTACAAAAACAGAATAAAAACAAATAAAACCTGGAGGTAATACAGTCCAGACTGTAGAATAATTGCTCCATTTGGCATAAAACCACTGGTTCATTATTTATTCAAAGCAACATTTGCTACTTGAAATTTAATTTAAAAAGTTAAATTTTTATAATATAAAGTGAGGAAAAAAATAATATAAAGGTAGTAAACTTAAACCTGATTAATGGGTAGCTTAATAAACAAAACTGCAAGAGGGATTGTGTTGTCCCAGTCTTACAATATGAAACGTGTTGATTATGAGGGAGTCCAGCAGTATTTGTGATTTTAATTCAACTGTTTTTATTACTTGGAATAAAAGTTGCTTTTACTTGCAAAGAACAAACAGTGCACATTCCCACCCTTTATTGTAAACACGATACTCCATTCACACTGGTTGTAATTTAATTAAGCTTTGTAGTGTGATTGGTTGCTATCCCATGTCCATCATGGTATTGATTGACGCGTGCTGACTGTACAGAAAAAGAAATGGTGTAAATAAAGTGAACATTGCTGTTCCCTACTGTACGACATGTCTGGCTGATATTAGTGGGGGAACTTCTGCGGAAGCTCTCTCTTTGCAGGATCTTTGACACTACTAGTTGGGTTATCCTGGAAGGAAAGACTGTCTCTCTGCTACATTGTCCCTTAGTAGAAGGGACAAAAGCTAGGTGGTGCAGGGCTGAGTTCCAAGCTTGAGACCTGACCACCTGTCTCTACTACACGGGTTTAGTGTATGAATTTTGATATATCTATGTATATCTATATATTTTGTGTTCAAAACATATAATGAATAGGCACTGTGGGTTGGGAGAGGGGTGAGGCAAATTCCAAGGGTGCTTTTAAAATTGCTACCATTGACATGCACATGATTTGCAGTTTTAACTAATTGCTTTTACAGATCTGAAAAGAAAAGACATAATGCATTCACTGCTACACCCTAAATAAAGAAAGTTACAATGTTTCCTGGTTGATTACAAATGTATATAACTTTTTATGTTCTAGCATTATATTAAAGAAATGGGAAAGGGTTCATGTTGCCATGTGGTTCTAATATGATTTTATAGAATAAGAGTAGAAATTGCTTTTTCATTCAGCTAGCCAATTATGTTAGTGACCAAAGCTTAACTTTCACAATTGCAATGATGAAATAACATGACTATCAGGAAAATTATTGATGATGCCATGAGCACAGTAGTAAGAGTTCCTGAACTTTAGCTTCCCAGTGCTTTCTCTCCATAAGGAGTGATAAGGAACCGAAGATCAGTGCATCATCTCACAGACCGTGCTCTATTTCATTGTACGATCCCTATGTTCTTCTCATAAAACATTTAGATCAATAATCTGAGACTTTAGTATTGCATAGACAGTTCACAAGGAAGCATAATGATTTAGGTTTATTCTATCAGTCCTTAAAATATCAAAATTAATTTATATTAATTAATGTTATTCAATATTAAGATACTTTTTTCATTTTTTTTATTTTTCCTGCAAAGCAATGTATGCAGAGGGGTGAAAAAAAGGAGGAAAATATGAGAATCATCCTGGGACAAGAGAAGAAAGGGATTCATAGGAGAGGGGAAATGTTTGGAGAATGTGAGTGCGGTTATTAAGGTCTGTCACGAGATTTTACACCTTCCCACCTGACATCAAAGGTAGCGTACGTGACCCTTATACTATAGGTATCTTTTTTAATCATTACCTTAAATTACAGCATTCTTTAACTACCATAATAATAAAAGTAATTCTAGGGAAAATCATGTCTTAGCTGGTGTACCCAGGGAACTCAACAGACTGCCTTTAAGAGCTTACAATTTAAGGAAGGACACTTGCTAATGTTGTTTGTAGTTAGTGACGGCAAAGACTTTTATATTAGCATTTGCCATTACACTTAAAGTGTATCAACTACACTAAAATTCTGTGCTACCTTTGTTATTAACAATGAACTCTTATCTATACAGTTTGCTTGGCAATTGGATATCAAATGTACAGATTATTCCCATATTCAAAAAAAAGAGAAAACAAGCTGAGTGGCAAAAAAGCCCACACCAGTAAGTATGGTAGGTTGCTGGGAATAAATAAATAACACACAGTTATCCCAACATATATTAAGTGCCTGTCTCACAGTGCATTGAAAATAAACAAATTATTGTGTAATATAATTAGTTTGTTAGGTGAATTAATGGCTATTAATGGATACCCTCACATTGAGCAGCACCTATAAGTGACGTGCTCAGATCTCACAGGCGGATGTCTATCATTATTACACTGTCCCTTTTCTGTCCACCAATTGGTAAGCTCAAGGAGAGAACAAAAAACTGAGGCAGGTATTCCTAATTTAGTATTTTCAGTTATATTGATATAAACTAAATAAGCTTTTAACTGCTCACCTTGCAAAGAGCCTTTTTTTTTTACCTGGCTCTAGGTGGTAAAACCTGTTTGACAAACACTTCTTTAGTGTTGGAGCGATTGGTATATGGAATCCACAGGACCAATTGGTAAGGTGCAAACACAATTTATTTAAATACAAATGTTAAAAACAAATATAAAACCAAATCCAATAAAAAGTCCATTGGTGGTCCTCCCGAGACGCTTTTCAGTGACTTGCAGTTTTTCAGTCGTTATAGTCTGTTCAAGTCCACCATCCAATGTAAACTAATGTTCCTCCTCTGATTGGTCCTCCCATTCGTGATTTAACCAATCACAGAGACTGTGTGTAATGTTCTGGCATACAGATTCATTCAATCTGGCTGATCCCCAATTAACTTTATTAATTGTTACATGCACATCTAAGGACCCACACTATGATTTGAATGAGGTCAGCTCATTGGCATGAGATGAGTTTTGAGAAAAATAATTCCCAGCTCACCAATTAACAGGGCCGAACAAGCTCCTATTTAAAGCCTTGAAGAAAGCAACCAAAATGGAATTCAAAATACAGACTGCAGGGTCAGTATTAAGGCACTATAACCACTTGTGGCAATATAAAGTGGTTATGTTGCTCAGCATGTTCCCTTTACTACTTAATAGGAAAGTAATTTTACTTTACAAACCTTATATAAATATTTTATGTGCAAACTTACAGTTGGGCATCAGACGCCTGACCTTACTTTTGTGCTAAAGCATAGTATTAGTCGAACAATGGCTGACATAATGATCACGTGACTTGCTGAGGATCTCCAAAAGCAATTACACTGTCACAAGTGAGCAAAAGTGGGAAGGATAATGACCTACATACAATGAGCAGTTATGATGACAGATGACTTGATAATAATGGGCATGTGACAGCTATCAGCAAAAAGCAAATATGGAAATTATGCCATAAACTGATAACAAACACCTACATCTGTAAAACCTCACATAAGCAGAACATCACCGGCCTTGATAATAGATAACTGAAATCCATCGGCAGTGCAAGTTATTGCATTTTCTACTTTCAAGGACAAGTTACATACAGTAAACGCTCAGTGCTGGAAATAGCTGAGTAAACATGTTCTATGTGTAAATATTGTATGATCAAGGGTGCAGCCAAAAACCAATGTCCATATACCCAAACTGATGCAGATCACTGATTATTTTGTATTTATTTATGGCAACATGAACTAGATCTGTATCTATAGAAATTTAACAAATAATATTTTAATGTCGTTTGTTTATTTTATAACTTTAGGAGTGCAAAGCAAGAAGCACATGCAATGCTTGGCATAGTGTAAAACCGTGTTTTCCAGACCAATTCTCTAGACCCACCAACAGTCCAAGTTTTATCAGTATCTCCACTGGAGTAAACCAGGGAAATACATAAAACCTGGATTATTGGTGGGTCATGAGGACTGGTTAGGAAACCACTGCTGTAGGACATACAAAACGATTGTGACGGATCTCCCTCTACACCGACTGGATACCTTCGCCGAGATTACTTCCTAGCTCTCCACCGGGACACCAGTAGCACTTCAGCCCCTAGCCAACTCAGCTTAACTGGGGTCTCTCCGTAGCTTCCCGCCCTGGAACAGGGTCCTGGCTACAGCTCCGAGTGATTATGATCTCCTGCAGAGAATATAGCTGTAAAGCTGGTCCACTCAAACATTAGTGGAGACTGAGTGAAGTGTGAAAACTAACTGGTTTATTCAGGCAAGTCACACAGAAATTATACACAGAACCCCAGCATGGGGTTTCCATTGTATTCCCCATAACCCTGCCCAGGCATCTCTGTGTCCAGGAGATAATTCAGTTGGTAACCGGTAAACTAATTACCTCCAGGACACAGAGGGTACAACACACAAACCTCTCCCCCCAAAACATACTCTATACAATAAAATACCCCCACATGTCCTATATCCCTGAATACACCTGATCTGAGCGCCCAAGTTGTCAAAATAGCGCTCGGAACCATGCAGTGTAGTGGAATCGCCACTGGGGTAAAGTTCTGACCAGCCACACACGGGGTCCCTGCTCAAAATAGTTCCAGAGTGTTTGGTGCTTTTGCTGGTCAAATTTCGGGAGTTCCTGCGGACAAAATACAGGGTGCTCCTCCTGGCTCTCAGGGAGCGATTGTTCCTCACAGTCATGGGCACCTTCCCTCCAAAAAGAGCTCTCCAGGCAGGTCGGCAAGCGGGTCAAAACACCGGACAAAGATGACTGGGCACCGCGAGGTCCATAGCCTAAAACAGTTCCAGAGTGGTCGCGGTTAAGTACCGCTGAAGTCTGTTTGCGGGTTAGTTCGTGCGAATGACCACCAGGGAGCGAGCGTTTGGCTAAATTTGGGACAGGGAAGGTACTGAAACAGGGAAACCGAGGAAAAGTCTCTTGTGAAGGCTGGGTAGGTTAACTCCCGAATGGGTCTTTGGATATGTCCCATAGTCCTTGGGCAGGAGGCTAAGCTATCAGGCTCCTCCAGGAGCTTGTGGCATAGGCACATTTGTCATAACAATCATTAACAAATATGACATAAAACGTGAGCCATCTTATCTGTATTAAGTGAGGGAGTAGAACATGTAGACATTCTGGGTAAATAAGAAAGGAAAGAGAGTGAAGTTACCAGAGTGTCATGTTTTCTGTTCAGGTAGGTAATTGCAATATTACAACAGGGGATCCTGCGAATTCTGTGAGAAAATGGGGGAAGATTTTTAAGTAAAAAAGTGATGCAAATATGTAAAAGGTGAGGAGTCACCAATGTAATGTGCCCACTATTTTAACTGGTGTCCATGGTGAGTGCCCTAATTCTTTGCATTATTTATATAACACAACGCCTTGGTAAATCTCCCATCTAGATCCAATACGTTATTACATTTCTATTGAGGTGATGTCTTATAGTCATAGTAATTTAGAAGATAATGGATAGAGTATCATTCTAAAATATGTCTGTAGCCCTTGTGGTGTAATAAGGATAAAGAGAGTAGCTCAAGCTTGATAAAGACCTCATAGCAGGGCGAAACATTGCTGATCAGTCACTTTTTTGACCTTATAAATTTGCCTATGGTTTGAACACCTTGTGTGCCTCTTTCCTGTTTGCTATTGATCTTCTGGTGGCAGAACATTCCCTGTGAACAGGGTAATAGTTCTCAGTTCAAGATCCTGAGCTGCGTTTTTCAGAAGTGTTTAGATAGCAAGATGTTTAGATAGCATCTGAAAAGCATGGTTCAAAAAAGGTTCTATTTATGGTCAACTTCCTCAGGAGAGAGAATGAGACAGAACATTCACTTATGCAGGGTTATTTACTAAATTGAGGATTCAAAGTGATTTCAATTTTATGGCCAGAGTGGCCAAACTGGAAGCGCTTTACAGAAATTTTCCCAGCTTGGCACTTTGACTGTAAGAGGGTTGTTCATTAAAGTGGAAGTTCAAATTGAATTCACAGTGAATTTAAAATTTTAGGCCAACATTGCCAAACTGGAAGATGTCTAAGTCAGCTATACTTTCAGTTGTCCAACTTTGGCCTTAAATTTGAAATTCACTTTGATTCCACTTTTAATTCTCACTTTAGTAAATAAACTTGAAGGCTTGAGTGCACAGTTGGTGTTCGATGTGCAATCACTATGAAACCAGCATGGATATGTACTCAATGCAGCCATTGAGAGATCAGTGTAATGTGAGTTTCTGACATAACACAGACCCACAACCAATCACTGCTTCACTGTCTTCTTATTATCTTATTATCTCCTTCTTTCTTTTTTCTTATCATGACTTAGAAATGCTAAATAAATAAGGGAAATATTGTATATGTGGGCCATATATGGTCAGGGGATGGATATGACATTATGTCTAGATACATTACATTTATAACTGGAATAACTTTGAAAGTATACATTTGTTATTTCCAAATTATACAAAGGTAATATGTGAATTGTCAGGGTTCTGAACTAGGTCTTTTTATCTTTAATGTGTATATGATCATCCATCTTTGAATGACATATCTCTTTCTTTGTAGATAAGAATACAATTAGGTAAGGTAAAACAGTCTGAAAAAATGTAAAACCTCTGACGAGGATTTAGTCAAAATCAGGGACTTGGCAGCAGGGCTGGTGCAGCTTTATGCCTTAGCGTGTATGTGATGTTTGGGTGACCAGTGGGAGAAGGGAGCACAATGCTCCATGTCAGTGGGCCCATGTAGCATGGTCTCGCAGTCCACAGTAAAGGGTCTTATTTAACCCCTTAAGGACTGAGCCAAATGTACACGTTGTGAACAAAACAAAACGTAAACAAAACCTGGCATTTGCGCTACATGTCTGTCCAACCGTAATTCACCTCTTTCATATTAAATGCACCCACCCTTATTATATATAATTTTATTCAGGGGAAACAGGGCATTCATTTACTATCAAATATGTAGCTATGAAACATAATTTAATATGAAAAAATTGGAGAAAATAAATTTTATTTTTTTAGTTTTACATGACATTTTAACTGTCAATGTCATAATACTGTTTGCTATTACTGCAATACAATACACATATTTGTATTCAGCAAAGTCTCAGGTGTAAAACAGTACCCCCTATGTACAGGTTTTATGGTGTTTTGGGAAGTTACAAGGTCAAATATAGCACGTTACATTTGAAATTGAAATTCGCCAGATTGGTTACGTTGCCTTTAAGACTGTATAGTAGCCCAGGAATGAAATTTACACCCATAATGTCATACCATTTGCAATAGTAGACAACCCAAGGTATTGCAAATACATACCCCATGTCTAGTCTTTATTAGTAGCCATTTGGTCACAAACACTGGCCAAAGTTAGCGTTAATATTTGTTTGTGTGAAAAATGCAGAAAACACCAATTTTGGCCAGTGTTTGTGACTAAGTGGCTACTAAAAAAGACTGGACATACCCAATTTGCAATACCTTGGGTTGTCTACTATTGGAAATGGTATGCCATCATAGGGGTAATTTTCATTCTTGGGCTACCATAGGGTCTCAAAGGCAACGTAACCAATCTGGCAAATTTTAATGTGAAAAAAATGAAACAAAAGCCTTATATTTGACGCTGTAACTTTTGAAAACATCATAAAACCTGTACATGAGGAGTACTGTTGTACTCGGGAGACTTCGCTGAACACAAATATTTGTGTTTCAAAACAGTAAAAAGTATCACAGCAATAATATCGTCTGCATAAGTGCTGTTTGTGTGTTAAAAATGCAAAAAAACGTCACTTTTACTGGCGATATCATCGTTGTAATACATTTTACTGTTTTAACACTAATATTTGTGTTCAGCGAAGTCTCCAGAGTAAAACAGTACCCACCATGTACAGGTTTTATGGTGTCTTGGAAAGTTATAGGGTTAAATATAGTGCTAGCAAATTAAATTCCCTATACTTTCGGCATGGGTTGTCAGGCAGATCCCGCTAATAGTAATTAATTAAAATACCTAATTATGTAAAAATATTACATAAATATATATGTAGAATTAATATATGTATATATATATATATATATACTTATGTCTATATACATGTATATATATATATATATATATATATCATTTAAAAAAATATTTTTATTTATATATAGGTATATATATAGTGATGTATACGTATATATTTATGTATATAGATATATATATATATTATTTCTTTCTACGTGTATTTTGATATAAATATATATATATATATATATTAATATTACAATATAGTTAGAACGAAATAACACACATCTATATATTTTTTAATTATTTTTTTTAGAATTTTTTTTATTAAATTTTTTAACATATTTACATATTTATTTTTTATATTATATATATATATATATATATATAACAATAATTATATATACATATATAAAATCAGTATCAGTCTACTTGTAATTTGATATTAATATATATATATAATTATTTATATATTAATAGTAAAATACACCTAGACAGTGTATGTGTGTGTATGTATATGTGTATATATATACTTAGATCATATATATATATATATGATCTAAGTATATAATTTTTTTTTTACACTGATTTTAACTTTATTTTATTTCCAGCCAGCAAGGGGACTAACTGTCATTACAGGCAGTCCCCCTGCTGGCAATGCAGCAGCCAGCTAACCCCTCGCAAGGACCTCACTCTCACATGGCCGGGGGGAGCCAGAGGAGGCAGGATCCGCCGCAGGGGACTCGCCGGCGACCGGGTAAGTAACAAAAACCGTGAGGACGTACTATTACGCACTGCGGCGTTTAGAGCCACTTAGAATATGGTGTACTAGTACGTCCTCCGGTTTTAAGGGGTTAACCTGTGAGATTCTAAGTAAAGCATGTGCTCTCCAAAAATATATATAAATAAACTAAACAGATAATGTTCCTATAGATAAAAAGTAGATATACCTTTAATGGAATATAACAACTAAAACAATGAATAAATACTTTTCCCTAAAATATCAATATAACCTCTAAGCTGGGGTATAAAACACACTAATGTCTCTACAAAAATAGTAACATAAACTTCCCAAAATGGAAAAAAACTGCAACAGTTTCAATTAATACAGAAGCAAAATGGAAAGTTTAATGAGAACACAGAAAGGGTCGAACAACTAAATGTTGCAAATCTCTGTGCAATCTTCTGGTAAAAAGTTGATGGTATGTAACAATAATAGTAAACAATGACAAACACTGTATGTGTACCCATCTCAGAGTGAAAAATATATTCAAATTAAATGTACAAAAAAAAAAAATACTTTAAAAAAAAACCATAAAAAATGGGCACCGAACATAAAGGGTTAATATCAAAAGCACACCGCTGATACACCAAATCAGAAAGATCCAGAAGATGAAAAAAATATTTATGGGTGACAGCTCTGAGGTCCAAGTCTCACTGTGCACTGTGTAGCATGCAGATAGATGGTTGGTGGACTTGCGTTGAACCTAGGTGATCACGAAGTGGGTTATCTGTGGAAATGATACAGCGGTCGGAAACTTCTCAAAAGACTGCAGCTTCTTACTGCATTAATGCTCGGCACACCAAACAACGAGAACAAATTAGCGGCAAAAGAAGGCACAGCTACTACACATTTTGTCCTTGCTGCAGGTCTTTCTCAAGACAACGTGCAGGTGGGGGCTATTGCCTTATAAACCCTCACAGTCAGGTGGTGAAGCATTCTTGTCAAAATCTGGTGTGAATCATATGTTTTTTTTTTGTTTTTTTTTAAACTAGCCTAATCAACCACTAGATAGCTTAAAGGGATTAACCCTGAATACTACAAGAAAAAACAAAAAATAATGTTACATAGTTACATAGTTACATAGCTGAAAAGAGACTTGCGTCCATCAAGTTCAGCCTTCCTCACATATTTTTTTGCTGTTGATCCAAAAGAATGTGTGTGCTTATTTGTTAAAAAAAAGGGACAAGACAAACTAATCCCTAGATATAATCATAATCCAAGATTTATCCTTAGCAAAGGAATAATTATATGTTAATTAATTAATAATGATGTTAGAAATAATGATAATAAATCTGACATTACATAGATAGGAAATAGTGATAAAAGAGTTCTGTATAGAAAAATTTATTAAATGATAATGCAAAATGAATATAAAAATATATATAAAGATAAAAGGATGAAGCAAATGGCTAAATGCTTGGCTCAAAGAGTGCTGCATCTATAGTGTCATTAATTAATTCATGTAATCATAATTGATGTTAACCAAATATATATATATATATATATAAAATCTAAAACAAATGGACAGAATGCTAAGCACATGCAGTACAGTAGCTGGTGCAACTAAAGACAATATCATAGATCTGTTTAAGTGATCATTGTTAGGGTCTAACCAAAATATATAATGACCTCACTGTTCACTATAACTGGATATAGAAATACCAGTTTCGTCATAGGCACACATGAACTTAACGCCAAGTTGTGGTCATTATGATTTATATAAATCTGTAATATGTTTTGAAAAAAATTTTGATTAAGAAAAATTTGATCAAATAGAAAATAGGGAAGGTATGAAACTTAGTGGAAGAAGCAGATCTTCAAATGCATCATGTATATACATCAAGGATCAAACAGAATACAGATAAGGAAAGTATAGAATTCAATACAGGCATCTGGAGCTACTAAGGATTAGCCTAAATACCCCAGAAGTATATGATGCTAGAAGTTCAAAAAGCAAAGCAGGTAGAATAGAGTAACTGAAAATCAGAGTACCAGCTAGCACTGATCCAGTTCCTTATTGAGACCATTGGGAGCCATAGAGTTGAGCTTACAGATCCATTTGGATTCTACCCTTAATAGATCTCTTTTGTATTTGGCTAGATCTCTTTTAGCCGCGATTAGCTCTAATCCCACCAATGTGACAGACAATTGATCACTGTTGTGGAAGATTTCAAAGTGGCAGGCGACAGGAGATCGCCTATCTTTATGTAGGATGGCTAATCTATGTTCTCTAATCTAGATTTTAGAGGTCTGGTGGTCTGGCCCACATACTGCCATCCACAGGTGCAGGTCAACATATACACAACAAACAAGGAATTTAAGTTAATCAAGTGGGTTATATTAAAGACCTCATTGCTATTGTAGGATCTCAAAACAGAGACATTATGACACAAAAGAACTGCATGTTAGGCAAATGCTAGGTCCAAAGTGGAAATTTCCAATAATAGATGTCTTCTTAACAGCGCCAGACTTAAATTTCAAGGGGGCTAATATATTCTTAAGGTTGGAAGCTTTCTTAAACATGACCCTTGGAATGTCTGAAACACTATATTCTTATTTAACCTGCACCCAGTCTGAAAGAATGCTGCTTGCTGGAAGCAGCTTCCGGTCTGACCACATAGAGGGTAAAAAGACCCTATACCATGCTACAACAGCAGGTAAGAGCCACAGAAGGAGGCTCACTTTCGAGGGGTGAGGTAGGAGTAAAAAACACACAATGGGGGGGAGTAAAAATCATTCGATGGGGAGTTGTAAGAGACACTAAGTGGGGGACATACACAGGCTGAAAAGAAGGCATAAAAAAGAAACAAAAAGGGGATAAAATAAAGGTGGGGGGGAGGGGGAGAGACAAACAGGGGAAGATGCACTGGTCCCCCCTTGCACTGGTCTTGCTTGACATATGAAAATCAGTATATTTAAAAAAAAAAAAAACCAACACATTTTGGAAATACAATGCACATATTACATGAATCTGTAAAGTAGAAAGATTAGGTTAATAGTATGGAGAATAGTTAACAACAGATAAAGAAACAGCAAACAATGTCATTCAGCAGGCACAGCCCAGTGAATTATTATGATGCATAAAAAGAGGTATTGACTCATCTGATTAAATTCCATTTATTTCCTCTTGAGAAATATGCAAACCTATTATTGTTAAACTCAGTTTACTGCTAAACACATTTTGATCAAAACAGTGTAATAATAATGATTACAGTAAACATTATTAATAAAAATGCTTGTTAGTTCCAAAAAATGAAATGTCTTGATGGACTAATTTCTGAAATTTTGAGAAACCTAAGGGAAATAATAACCTAATTATGCGACATTCTGGATCAATAGAAGGAGTGAGTAATAACTTTAACTCAATTCAAAGGGTACTCAGGCAATCAATGCACGTTCTATGTATTTTGTAAATCTTTATTTTAATACTTAACTGTAACTTTTTGCATACACAATTTTGCATAGTTTCAATTTTTTTTTTGATAGCACCTTAACCTTGTCTTCTGTGTCCCACCTCCCCATTCTAAAATAGATACTTCTTGCTGGTTATTGTACTGCAGAATGCACTGTCATAGCTTAGGCACATACAGCGCAAACTGTCACCAGAGCTCAACAGCAAGAAGGCACTATTACAGTAAGAGAATGCTCAGCCACACAGATAGTAATTATAACGTATTAGCACATCTGACTGTCTCTCTTCCATTCCTCCATCCCTTCATTGCACAAAGAGATAGAGGAGCAACCCAGGCACATTGGGTGCAATTCTAGCTTACAGTTAGTTATGGTACCTGTTTTTTCAATGTAATTATCTTATTTTTTTTATAAATAGTTATTTTCACAAGCCCACGGTTTCCCTTCTTCCCTTGTAAATTTTTTATTTTTTTTAAACTTTATTTTGGATTGATTGTTCTTGCATTTTTTAAATGGATGATTAAGAGTTCTTTAAATATTAATAGGTTAATTCTAGCCAGGAAACACTTTTAATCCTTGTTTTTCAGCGTAAACCCCTGGTTTTGTTATTTTGCTTTGCCATGTCTACAGACCAAAGCATGAATTAAAGTGTTTTATTCATGTATCATCGTCTCAAATATTATCCTCACCCACACCCTTACCAGAAAGGAACTACATTTTCTTTACCCTTAATTTATTAGAAAAAAATTGTTAAAATATTGCACAATAAAACGACATGTACTTCTGAAGAGTCTTGACATTTTTTTTATTTTTAAGGGACTTTACGCGACTTTGTCCTGAACAGCCACTCACCACAATCTGAAGTGGATGATTTGCTTTAAAATAGAATTTCAACAGGGAATATTAATTTGGTCATTTGTACTGATTTCATAGCAATGAGAAAAACATTGACCATTAAAAAAATTCCCTACTCAATCAACTCTTCGCAGGTAGACACTGATTATTGGCTTTGGTGGAAGCTGAAGTTTCCAACGCCCAACTTGTTCTACGTTGTTTTCTCCGCTGTCGGTTGGTTACAAGTGTAAATCTGCACGTGATTGTTTAATGGAACAATCTAAACACATAAAGTACTTTAGCTTGCCGAACTGCTTTATGTTTGAAGAGTGGGACAATTAGATTAGAAAAGTATGAATTTCAATAGAAATGAGCACTTATACATTTTCTCGGGATGGAAGGGATAGAATGAAAAGGGTAGTGGAATGAGGAGGGTAAAATAATGGGACAGATGAGATAGCGTAAGGGTGAATTAAAAGGGAAAATGAGTGAGGAGGTTATATTTAAAATAATAAGAACAAGAATGGAGAAGACAATACGAATGGCAGATGGTATGAGATTGAGGGTTGAAATGAGGCAGGTAGAATGAGTAGTGAAGTAAGCAAAATGGCAGTTTGAATGGGGCACAGAAAATAAAAATAAAACAAAAAAAAATAGATGCCACTAGATTTAGTAATCAAGGGAATAACAACCCACTTTGTTTTGGACCTTGTTAGAGTATATTGTCGCCTTTGTTCCATGCCACCACCAACATCCAGTGTAATCTGATGATGTATGTCAAATATACACAGAATGGACAACCCAGTCTAGTTCCAGGATGCCTAATGACACAATAAGAGAGTTGGGGTTACACCTCCAACAGCAAAGGGCTATATCTCTGTATGCATAGTTTTTCATAGAGAAACATTGCACATACAGACACCAATCACATGATCACTTCAAACCACTCTAAAAACAAAACACTCTAAAACATAACACCACAGCTCAATGTGGTGGTTATGATGCCTATATTCTATATGTACAGTACCCCGTTGGCCAAACAGTTTGGGAGAGGTTTCACAAAAACCAGAGAACCCAGACCCTATATAATGCCCCATCTTCAGCTGACCTGATAATTCGCTACTTACATTCCCCTAGACTCTCTTCACCATCACCACCACACTGAGCTGTTGTGGTTATATTGTTTAGCCCCTTTACTCTTTAGAACAACAACCGGAGGTCATCTTCTAACTTTAATGGGAGTTTCAGCTCTGACATAAAATTATGATGGAAACATTTTCCTCTTCAGTTGTGTTTCCATCTTGACTATTTCAGCTTAAAACTTGTAATTCACTGGTCGAATACTGACAGTTCACTGACAATTTAGTGAATAACTCTGAGTCAGTGTAGGAAGAAAACACTCTATATGCTACTGTTGGGGTTGTTAGGCAACGCACCACAGTGTGACATGTTTGAGTATTTTCATATATCAAAATGACTTGCCATGTTATGACAATTGTCTCCTGTGTTCATCCTAGTATTTCTGGTTTATTTCTCACACATTAATGTCCAAGAACTCCCAAATGAAAATAAGTTTAAAAATATTTTAAAGAAGTTTGAAATAAACAAGTATTTATTTTTTTATATAATTGTGGAGTAACATAATTTTGTAGGGTGTCATAAAGTAAAATAAATAATCACATTTAAACAACATGGATCCAATTTCGCAACCCCACATTATTGCTGATTTATTCATTAATTTCTCATATGTCTTGATGAGTCCTGTATACTAATAGAACCCAAATACATGAATAGATCCCAACAAACTACCTAAAGGTCAAGGTTTAGAGATTTGCCAGTTCAGTTGCAATGGGGATATTGTAAAACCTGGACCTTTTGGGGTACTTTAGGAATAGCTCCAATACTTAAGAAAAATGGGAGACAAAAAGTATTTAATTTTACATTCTAAATCCACATCCTTTTTATGTAGCACCTTACATCCTGTCTCTTTTATTTTTAACCTCCATTTCCTGTTCCCCCTCTCTTCTTCATTCCATCTTCCCTCATTTCATGCCCCTTGTTGTATCTTTCCCCTCCCCAAACTGCTTCATATTTTTAATCAACAGCAGTTGCAATGCAGGCAGTGTTGAGTGAGGATACCACCTACAATAATGCTTGTTGCCACTGGTGGTTTTAATATTGAAACACTGATAGATTTTGTTTTTAATGAGAGTGAAAAGGTATGTGACATCAGATCCCAATAGTTTACTAAGCACCTCTCTCACCCCAAATGAAGCACAGAGAAAAGACAGTGACAGACAGCAGAGAGACCTGTCCCTGACACACAAAAACCATCAATGGCAGAGCAAGAACTTTTCACCTATCATTGTGAAAAAATATTGTTAGATGATTTTCTTGTCTTTATAAAAATAATTATACATTTTCACATGACTGACAATTGCCAGTGTTCAGTTCACACCCTTCAAACAATTCTTTTACTAGTTCACTAGCACAGTAGGTTTAAGTGATAGCTGAACTTGGCTCACTTAGCTCCACCTAGTGATATAGCTTTATAACATTCTTTGTTAAGGGGACAGCAATGCCAAGTGTGTGTTTGTGTCTCTCTCTCTCTCTCTCTCTCTCTCTCTCTCTCTCTCTCTCTCTCTCTCTCTCTCTCTCTCTCTCTCTCTCTCTCTCTCTCTCTCCTTTTCAGACTTTCAGCTGTTAAACACATCAGGCCCAAAGCAACTGGAATAACTTAACATAACAAATACTTCAAGTGATTTCCCCAAATTTAACTGAAAATGCAACTTATAATGGATTCTCCAGTCTCAAAATTATTCAACCACTTCATGGTATCGTTAGCACTTCATAGAACAACCTATTGCTGTTATGACCTGATGCAAATGATCAGAAGGCATCTGATATATTTTAAAAAGTCTTCTTTATTTATTTTTAACGTTTCATGTTTGTTTATGCTATCTTCCTGAGATCCAGTTATTTGATAACATCTCTGCAACACATCTGCAGTGTGACATTATAATAATAATGTAATATAATGTCATGTATGTATATTTTTTATAAACTTACACAAAACTATGAATTTTTTTTTTTTTGGGTTAAAGGAGAACTTTTACTGAATTTCGAACTTTATATTTACCTATTTCCTATATATTACAAATATAAATTTATGAGATGTGAAAATTTAAATAAAATGTAAACATTTATACCAATTTGTCCAGTAACTGGGTGCATCCAGAGTGCTTGGGCTGTAGTGGTTGTGGATTTCAATGTTTTATTCAATGGAGTCATGTCCAGAGAAGTACTGGAATGTGTCAAGACAGTTTTTAATTTTTTTCTCCCTTTTGCTTATGTTAGCCTTCTAATGGAATAAACAGCACTAACAGCATTTACAGAAGTTATTTTATTTTGATGTGCATGTCTCTCTCAGATATGCCCATCATGTGATATCAGTAATGTTTCCTCATGATTCATGGGATGGATCAAAATTTATTTATTTATTTTTATTCAAGGTGTCATACGTTTTACATTCAATTTTTTTCTGCTTATAAATATTGAACTTTAGACAACTGTAGCACATATTATATGTGAATTTTGAATTACATTATAAATGAATATTGGACAAACACGGCCAGTTTTCTGGGCCTGTGCTATTTGAGCACTGGTCCAGAGAGAAGCACCAGAGTGATTTTTATCACTGATTAGGTTGTTATAATGCCTGGGTTACTGATTATGTCAGTAAACTCTTTTTTTTTATCATGGTGAGTGCACACACAAACACACCCCTGAATATTGACACTGCACATATTCAAACACGCAGACACTGCTCACACATGCAACCCTACATGGACGGCTAAAGTGTAGATCCCTAGCTGTCAAAGCACCTTAGGAGATATATAGCAGTTGAGGATCTAAATTCTTGTCACCCTTGTGCTAGAGGCGACCTAAACATTTTCTTTGCACAGAGTCCTACATTAGCTCCCCCACTGTTTGTGCTTTCATAACATCTCCAGTTTCTCTTTACATTAGCAAGAAGCATGTTGATTGTTTCATATTTGGCAGAGAGATTTGAAATCTTATTGAGCAAGGAAGCATATGACTTTATACTAAGAATGCTTAAAAAGGGCCCATTGTTTTGTAAAGCAATTAATATCAATGTCACGTCCAGGATCGCAATGTCCAAAACAAAATGCAGTCTATAATGTTTTTTTCCCCCACAAATTATTATGACGCAACATTTTAATTGTAATATGATTTATAAATTTCACAGGAAAGACACTTCATGAAGGTTTTCTATGTACGTAGTTTCTATCATACAGCCATCATCCATCGTACTGCATAAAGATAATCTAAATGAATAGCCGAGCCTTTTAAAACATGTTTTACCTCATGCCCTTAGTTACAAAAGCCAGGTCTGCCAGTACATATCATAGGCTTCTCTGCTCCAGAAGGCATTACATTGATTTGAACCTTCCAAGTGGTGTTTTGGGCTATATTGTGGTTGTTCTAACTGTACCAAATGCTGCCTGGTGGTTATTTAACATATTAACCCATCTGAAACATGTACATGAAATCCTCTCTATAAGCAATAGATATTGTGAGCCAAATATCACCTTATAATTCTGTTTTAGTTTTGAGTTGAATTCATTAAGTATATTACTTTACTGAGAGGGTAGTGGATGCATGGAATAGCCTTCCAGCTGAAGTGGTAGAGGTTAACACAGTAAAGGAGTTTAAGCATGCGTGGGATAGGCATTAGGCTATCCTAACTATAAGATAAGGCCAGGGACTAATGAAAGTATTTAGAAAATTGGGCAGACTAGATGGGCCGAATGGTTCTTATCTGCCGTCACATTCTATGTTTCTATGTTTCTATGATCATATCAAGATTTTAAAGAAATTCACAAAAAGGTTCGGCATGCTTTCCATTAATTTGCGATGCTTTAAGCATGTGTCTTCATATGGAAAATTGAGTCTTGTGACTGCAATATAATGATTGACACTATCATTTAGTAAAAAAGTTAACAAGGTCTTGTGTTTGCACAATGGTCAATGTGTAGGTCTAGCACCTGTCGCAAACATACAGCTTTGTAGAACAATAACCTTTTTATAATCATGTGCTTTCACATGTGACTTAAATGTCGATTTAGATCATGAAACACCTGGCAAAAGCCTTACACGCAAACAAGCTTTAGTTCACACATAGACATGTGTAATCAAGGGGGTTTATAGTTTGCAATGGCCATATCCAGTATCAGTGGAATGGTATTAGCAAAAATTTGGGTATTTTAGTAATGTGTTTTTAATGAACAGGCACCTTGCAAAAACGGTAGTAGCTTAAATGCATGTATAGTCATAATCTGAGCATTTGGTAGGAAAATATGGGGAGGGTGGTGTAACAAACCGGGCAGGTACAAAGGATTATAGAAAAATCATTGCTTTTTTCACCCAAACAATGCTTTTTCTATATAAACTAATCATGATTAAGCTTTGGATGAGCCCCACCACCCCACACACTTATGTTAGATTATATAAATTCTGAAGAATTCTTATAGTGTAACAGATTTGCTTTGATTTGGAGCAGACAGGCAGTGAGCTTATATTTCTACCATGTTTAATATTCAAAGTGTAGTATGGACCCATCCATATTGGGGTACATTGAAAGCAGTGGTGGGCTTAAAACCAATGTGGCCATATGGTGCGGCTAAATTCCCATATTTTGAACATGAGGCAGGCATTTTTTTTAACTACCTTTGGAAGCTTAGTTGAGAAATAAACAAAAGTATTATAAATCAAAAGAGCGCAAACATTCAATAACAATATTCTCAATCAATGGTTAAAATTATAGTCTCATGCAATAGCAACTGAGCACACAAAGAATATCCCAAAATTCTTGTGGTTAAAATTTATACAAAAAAAGTTCCAGCACTTAGTAAATAATCTAGGGTACCAAGAATTATATAAATTCGACCTTATATGTATAGAGTCCCAGTTTGTATTCAATACATTGAAGTATAGAGCTAGGAGGATGGGGATATCTGTCCTGGTTGCTGCACAAAGTATCCAAATGGTAATTATTCCAGATATATCAGTACCTTTAACCCCTTAAGGACCAAACTTCTGGAATAAAAGGGAATCATGACATGTTACACATGTTACACATGTCATGTGTCCTTAAGGGGTTAAAGGATACAAAAAGCCCACATAGTATAGTATTGCACACTTTATTTAAAAGCCCCCTAATGGAACCCTTATATAAAATCATCCGTCCATCGGAGTGGTAACATCTCCATAATAGTATTACATCGCTGTTTGTGTGGTTATTGGCAACAGTACCACATCGATTTTATATAAGGGTTCCATTCCATTTGGGGGCTTTAAAATAAAGTGTGCAATATTATACTTTGTGTGCATTTTGTATCCTTTAAAGGTAATGATATATCTGGAATAATTACCATTTGGATACTTTGTGGAGCAAACAGGACAGATCTATACTTCAATGTATTGAATACAAACTGGGACTCTATACATATAAGGTTGAATTTATATAATTCTTGGTACCCTAGAGTATTTGTCTAAGGGGATTAGTCACTAAGCGCTGGCACTTTATTTGAGAAATGCTTTGAAGTTATGCAATAGGTATCAGAGAATGAATCTGTCCAGTTTGTTCCCAATCCATTGCACCTCACCAATGGCTATATATGTTCCAACCTGCACTATTGCTTCTACTAAAAATGGAAAGAAAATAATTTCATGCACATTGTTATATATTTTTTTTTGTGTGTAATAAAATTATGCATCAAAAATCCGTCCACAGGATATATTTTCAAAAGGTCTTGAATAACAGCTTTCAACATAATTTCACATAATATAATATGAGCTCATAATAAAATTTCAGCACTAATGCATTGTTCTACAGGGTGAGAAAATGAAATGCTATTGATTGTTTTAGAGCAGTTTTAGACAACCTTCAGCACTCCAGATGCTCTGGACTACATGTCCCCTGAAGCTATGCCAGCATTATGGCTACAAGAGCATTATGGAACGTTGTTTGCAACATCCGGTGAGCCGAAAGATGCCTACCCCTGTTCTAGAGCTTGTGTGCCACATTCCCGGCATGTGACGGACATAAACACAGCAATATTTTGTTAAATTAAAACAGGTCACAATCATTTTGTCCCAGCTCTAATGCAATAGGCAGGTTCACGAGGGAATAACTTCCCTATAACTCATATCTTAGCGTATGTTATGTTTAATAAGTACCTTGTAGGGCATTATGCTCTAAGGTGCAGTAATGTGCATATCTAATTTCATTACACAAAATAAATACGTGTTACGTCAATACGTATCTAAGATTCTGTTTTGTTTACTGATAATCATTATTCATTTTTGAGATACTGTCATCATGTTTAAGAATCCAGTATAAAACAAATAAAAAAGGTTAGAAGAGGAGAAGCTTGACACAAACAAGCTATTACATAATCCCAGAAGCTAAACAAACGTTAATTATATGTTTGTGATTATGTCATTTGTTAACTTGTCAGTTGCTTGTGTGATTCAGCTTCGGAATGTAGATTGATTTTTTTTTTGTCTTGCAATCTGATGTGAATGCTTCTTATTGAGACTTTTTTTTTTGCTTGACCTTACTTGAGTAAATTGTTAAGAGTCAGGTTGGCAAAGGAAAACGGAAGTCTTTTTATGAAATTTCAAAATAGAATGGTAGATATGGCAAGTACAACTGTTTGATTAATCTGGGGCATTGTTAATAACAAGGACTGTAGTAGCATAAACCACTCAGGATGGATGGATGAATTGGACCAGGCAACTGGCCGAGCCACGCTCTTCATTAAGTCTTTAAGTGGCCGATCAAGATAAAAGCAGGTGACTCTCACTTTCTTTTGGCACTCTGGCTATTTTTTAAATCATTTTTTTGGGGGTGATGTTTGTTATGGACTTTTTTTATTTTTCCTTCCTGTTGTGTTTCCCTTTTTTTTTGCTCTAAAGATGTGGTGTCCTGGGCTTGAGATAAGCCTATACCTCTGACCACTGTATCCAAAGAAAAGGAAGGGGTAAAGGCATTTAACTTTTTTCAAGTGTGAAAACGGTTTAATATAGCATATCACCATATTTCACATGGCAATGTTTTGGTCATCAGCTTTATCAAGCCACATTTACTTGAGCTGTGTTTCCCACAACGACCAGCCAGTTTCTGTTTAAGAGTGATGAGAGTTATCATTTGTAGAATACTCAGTGTGCCTGGGGGTTAGTGGATTCACAACTGTACCTCAATGCTGTAACAACATGGGGTACACTTTGTTTTATGACATGTCCTTATAACTAGGTTTCTCTATATTCGTATTCCCCAAGTCTCTTTGATTTATGCATACTCGGCTATAATAGTCTTCAAACATAAAGCATTATAGTTTGGAAAGCTCATGGCACTGTATATGTAATATGAGCCATGACAGCCCTGCATGCCTATGTGGTGAGTAGTCATTCAAGGCAGTTATGGATTGATGTCTGAATGTATCAATATGTATGGAACAGGTTAAAAACATTTCCAATCAGCTCCCATCCTTCCTCTTGGTTCATGGGCAGCAATCTTCTCTCTCCATTCCTTTCCTATTCCCCCCCACCCCCCTCTTTTGTTTTCTCTTCTTTTTTCATCTGTCTTTCTACTTGTTTTCTCTTTCTTTTCTTTCCATCTTTTTTTGGGTGGTTTTTGTTCTGCTTTGTTTTTTCAGTTTATTGTCACATCGGCTGAGTTTTCTCTGGTCAAAGACCTGAGGAGTTGGTTGCTCAATGTTAGAAAATTGGGAGAGAGGGTTCCTGCTCACGCGGGGTTGGATGGAAGTAAGATACTCGCCGGCAGCTTATGATCATTAACAGGGCTGGACTGGCCCACCGGGATTCCGGGAAATTTCCCGGTGGGCCGTCGGCACCTGGGGCCGGGCAGGCAGCTGGCTCTTCTGGCGGCCGCAGAGGGAGCTCTTTTGGCGGCTCAAGGGGGAGCAGTCTGTTCTGTCTCTGCTCCCCTGCCCCAGCGTGCAGCTTAATGAGACCGGGGCCGGAATAGCTTGTGTTTTTATGAGTGAGCTTGTGTTTATGTCAATGACCTTATTTATATCAGTGAGATTGTTTGTCTGTGAGGCTGTGTATCAATCAGCTTGTGTCAGTGAGATTGTCTGTGTCTGCATGTGAGTATGCTTACTGTATAATTAAAAATTATACACTGAAAGGACCAATATTTTATATTGGAAACAGCTAAATATATATATATCATCTAGGGTGGCAAGACATAGCCTTACATATTACATGCAACAATATATGGCGCAATGACTTATGGGGCTGGCATAGATTTTTTTTTCCAGGGCTGCTTTGGAATCCCCAGTCCGGCCCCGATCATTAATTGTGTTAATAATTTGTCATTTCTAAATAAACGCTGTGGCCAAGCTCTTTACCTAATGTGTCTTGTACCTTATATGGGGTCGAATTTGTTTTTCAGGCATGCTTTGCCAATCATGTCTCTGCCTTTGTGCTATTTGCAAATCTTTTTCACTTATTTATAGCAAATATGTCTAGAGCCCTAAAGCACCATTTCCCTCCAGCTGGCAGTTTATAATCATTTATGTTAATGTGATTAAAAATGTTGAATTTTAATAAATGTTGTGGCCAAGCCATTTTCCTCTACACAAGGTGTCGTGCATTATTGGGTGTGGGTCTGGGGTTAAAGGTCTTGAGGATGAGGTTAGTAGCATACATGGGCAGTCATGTTACAGTGTTTCATTACAAAACAAGGCAAATAACACAGTTTTTTCTTTTCCTTTTTCCAGACAGCTAAATGTGACACATATTTTCCTAACCTAACCAATAATTTTTATTGAATGTGTGCAACTTGTACCTTGTTATCACTTTCAGATATTGTAGGAAGAGCTGGTGAAAATAGAAGTACAAACATGAACTGTGCTTGCATTTAATACAATGGAAAAACTGGAGAGTAATGGAACACTCAGATAAGAAAGAGAGATGTACATAAAATGAATTAATTAGTTATAGACAAATGCTCCTCATTGAAAAGCTGATTTCAGCACAGCCATTCTGCTGAGAGATTATGACTCACACAACATCCCTAACTACGTTTTAACCGTCTGTCATCAAAAAGCCTGCAATAACTCGCCCCCACTAATTGATTAACATCGTTAAGTGGCAGAGCACCTAAACAGCCTTATTGCCTATATATAATTAGTACTCCCACCCACTTAGTGGTAGAATCTCAGTAGTATAAGGAGAGATTTGCCTGTGGTCATTCCTTAGTCCCTTATCAATACCCAATATATGAAGGTATCAGGTTGCCAGGATAGGATATGCTTTGTGGCAGGCTTATGTCATTTATGACCATATACTGTAACTAAACCCTTATTGGCCATACTGTGGTATGGATTAAGATGCAGCTGGTTTAAAGGGGAGCTCTGTGCTTTTCTTATTACAGTGGGCCCAAGTCTAAACAACTGTAATACCTAATGTTATCAGTGCACATATGTGTTAATAACATTAAAATATCCCTTTAAGTGATTTTTTTAATGGATTCGGGATTTGGGTGGATAGGCTCTGGGGGCATTGCCAATGAAAAAACTTGCTCACTGGTTTGAGTATGGCAGTCCCACATAAGGATAAATGGTAAATCAACATGAAAAATGGTACCCTTTGTGGGATTGGCTTATGTAAAGTTACCAAATTAAGTTGCAAACGAAATTCACATCATTCACATTCTCAATCGTGTATTGCCTTGCCCATTCCAAATAAACGAATAACCAAACTGCATTGAAGATTTGTATCCATCATATGATTCAGGACTTGTTTGATTTGGTCATTTAACAATTTGGTTGTTTATTATTCGGCCAAATTTCCAAAATACCCAATTTTCATCTAAATCGTGGTTTGTCCAAACCCGAATGCTGAAGTGTATTTGTAACCACTTTAATTCAACTCTTCTCTATTAAATCCTGATTTTGTTTGTTGTTGATTGCATTATATCTCTGGTAATCAAGGTGCAATTTATTACAATGTCAATAGGATGAGATTAGAGTTAAGGTGAAAGTTAGGCTAACATTGGTTTTAGTGAGAGGTGCGGATAAGTTTAAGGATAGAGGTAAAGTTGGTTGGTTTTCAGAACTTCTTAATGGCATTATTTTTCCGTAATACATTATCATGTTGTATGTCCTCTACATAATGTGATATATTCCCTCTCTACTGCAATATATGGCAGCAATATTCAATCATACTTATTTTTGATGCCTAATGCTGATGGGAGTCACAATCCGATCCAACATTTCTATTTATCGACCTCCTTCCTCCTTATGCATTAGCTTTTGTGCAGAGCCTACAATTCTATGGTACTTGTAGTGTCTATTTAAGCTTTCCATTTGTTTTGATTTTATACACAAATTTGGCTACAAGGATGTAATTTTCTTTCATTGTTTCTTTTTTTGTTCTTTCTTTCTCTTTTATTTTCAGCTGTGACAGTTTAACCCCTTAAGGACACATGACATGTGTGACATGTCATGATTCCCTTTTATTCCAGAAGTTTGGTCCTTAAGGGGTCAACTATACTTTTGTTGATAGAGGCATATTTTGATAAGCTTTTAAGTTTCAAAGGTAAGTGGTCACTCGAATTAGTGAACTGTCCAGAATTGTCCTCAAGTGTATAACGTGATCCCTATCATCTTATTAACCTTACCCATATACTTCTTACGCATGTGTTGTAGTGTGTTTTTATTCATCGCTGTCTTACACTTACTGGAAACTTATACTGGAAAATTATACACAGTTTTAACACAGCCTGCTATCAGTTGGTTAAAGACTATATAAATACAAATATCTTTCCAATGCATTTACCTAATTTAACTTTCACTTAATCTGAAAGGCCAACCCTGAAAGATAAACAGAGTAAAGTAAGCAGGGAAAAAGAAACGCATAACAAAGTCCTGTAGGCAAAGTTCATAAAGCATGCAAAAGCAGAAATTATGTTATAAATCTGTGTCTTTTGTGGCAGTTTTATCTTTTAACTCTCAAGTCTAGATTAATATTCTCTTTTTATTTATCTGGTCTTGTTCTCAGAGAAACAAAACAATTCAGGCCACATTTACATGTTTTTTTTAAACCCCTTAAGGACACATGACGGAAATATTCCGTCATGATTCCCTTTTATTCCAGAAGTTGTGTCCTTAAGGGGTTAAAGGAGAATATTTAATTTAATGTTAGCCCGAAGGAGAATATACGGTAACCATAGTAGCTTTCTTACGCTTGGTTTAACCTCTTAAGGACCAGACTGTTTTGACCATGTTGTACGTTAAGGACCAGGCCTGTATTAACATTTTTGTGGTGTTTGTGTTTAGCTGTAATTTTCTTCTCTCTCATTTACTGTTCCCATACAAATTATATATTGTTTTTTTTTTTCAGGACAAGAAGGGCTTTCTTTACATACCATTATTTGTATCATGTCATATCATTTACGTCAAAAAATAAAATAAAATATGGTGAAAATTTAAAAAAACAAACATGTTTTTTGACTTTTACTTGAAAAATATTTTACTTATCTACAAAAGCTAATGAAAAAAACTTCTAAATAGATTCAAAAGTTTGTCCTGAGTTTAAAAACACCCAGTGTTTACGTGCAAGTTTTAGGGCTATAAGAAATATATTGTTTAAATTTATCAATAGTGACATTGTAACACTGTTATCTGTAATAAATCTCTGAATCTCACCTCACATGTACATATATTTTTTTTTAAAGCAGACAACCCAGGATATTCAAAATGGGATATGTCCAGTCTTTTTTAGTAGCCACTTAGTACCAAAAACTGGCCAAATTTAGCATTTATATTTGTTTGTGTGTAAAAAATGCAAAACACAATTATGAACGCTAACTTTGGCCAGTGTTTTTGTGACTAAGTGGCTACTAAAAAAGGATGGATATACCCCATTTGCGATACCTTGGGTTGTCTTCTTTTGCAAATGGTATGCCATCATTGGGGTAATTCTCATTCCTGGGCTACCATACGCTCTCAAAACCAACCAGGCAAATTTCAATGTAAATAAAAAAAGTTAAATCAAGCCTTATATTTGACCCAGTAACTTTCAAAAACACTATAAAACCTGTAAATGGGGGGTACTGTTATACCCGGGAGACTTCGCTGAACACAAATATTAGTGTTTCAAAACAGTAAAACGTATCATAACAATGATATCATCAGTGAAAGTGCAGTTTGTGTGTGAAAAATGCAAAAAGTGGCACTTTCACTGACAATGTCATCGCTGTAATATGTTTTATGTATGTTTGTCTTCCGAGTAAAACAGTACCCCCCATGTACAGGTTTTAGGGTGTCATGTAAAGTTACAGGGTTAAATACAGTGCTAGCAAATGAAATTCTCTGGACTTTCGGCCTGGGATGTCAGGCAGGTCCCTCAAATTGCAATCAATAAAATTACTTAATTATGTAACAATATTACATAAATATGCACGTAGCATTTAAATATATATACATATTTATATATTTTAAAGTCTACGTGTATATTTATTAAATTATTTATGTCATTTTGTATATGGATATATATATATATATATTTCGTATTATTTTTATTTATTTATATATATATATATATATATATATATATATATATATATATATAAAATTTCATTCTAAGTGTATATATATATATTTATATCAAAATACAGTTAGAATAACATTTCATATATATATATATAATTAAAAAACTTTTTAAAATTATTTAAAAAAAGGTTTGTTTATTTTTATTTACTTAATATTTATATTTTATAATAATATATATATATATATACAATATATATAGTTATTATATATATATATATGTATATATATATATATACATGTGTAATTTAAATATAACTTAGTTTGACATTTACTTACACTTAGTTTGACATTGTGTCTATAAGATATATATACATATTATATATAAATATAATACATGTATATATATATATATATCTCTTATATATATATATATACATATAAATATATATATATATATATATATATATATATATATATATTTGTTTTTTACACTGATTACTTTTTACATTTTTAATTTTTTTATTTTACTCATGCAGGGAGACTGCCTGTCAGCACAGACAGTCCCTGGGCAGTCAGATAGAGGGACACCTATTGTGGCCATGTGACTGCTCTGTTAGAGCGATCACATGGACACGTGGTCCTAATTCGCCGTGGAGAGACTGGGCTGCAGGCAGTCTCTCCACACCGGGAGCAACGCCAATCACCGCTGATTGAACAACAGCGACCGAGCGACGGTCCTTAAAGTGGATGCAGAACTATGCATCATTGATTGAGCAGATCAAGGGATGCTGCATGTGGATTCCCAGCTATTATTTTACAACTCCCACAAATTTGACATTAATAATTAAAATAGTAAAATCCTAGCAAGGATTATAACCAGACTTGAGTGATTCCATATGTTGCATTAGTGGTTCAAATTATTGCATTTAATTGGCAGGCGTGTTTGGCAGTCTAGATCTCAAGCATATGGTGTTTTAATTTATACTATATATATATATCATTTATGTATGCATAAAAAATAATACTAATTATCAAAAATTTAAAAAATAAAAATAAACCCACATTTATTTAGTTTTGCCCATTATGTGATGTGTATACAATCAGTGTGACAAAAAAAATGAACTCAAAACAGGTTAATTTATCAGAAATTTTAACAGTGAATTCCACATGTTGTGAGCTTTCTACTAGTTTGAAAACCCCAGATTTATATTCTGCTTTATTAGCCAAGTACCCCGATACCCCACATGTAACCTTTTCCAAGTTTTGTGAAAATATATAGGCTCAATTTAGAGACATGCTCTAGTTTTGACATACCTCTCTGCTTAATTCCCAGAGGGGCTCTTTGGTATAGAATCTGTGTCATCATACTGACGAGCATCAAATTTTGATACTATTTCTAATGCTCTCTTAACCCTAATTCTATATACACCTAGCTAACCATAACCCTGACACTAACAGGTCACTGTTTAGTAGTTTGGCCCAAGCAAACTCTCACTAAACCTAACCTTCACTAACCCTAACTATAACTGTTCACATTTTATTAAATTGGCAATAACTAACCCTAAAACTAATCCTAATACTTTTGGGAATATAATCCTAAGGGCTATCAATGGTATTCTTTGTGCATGGTATAATAAAGTTTTTGCCCTGCATCTTCACCTTTTGAGTATGTAGCAGTAAAGAGCTAAACACGTGTCTGGTGTTGTTCCTCCATAATTAGATGCACTTGCTCAGTTATCCTAGTCTCATTATGCAGCTAACAACAGGTTATGGGCCAAGAAGGATTGCAGAAAATCAATGGAGCAGACTTTGCTTTGACGGAAATGAGAAAACTATGAGTTATGGGAGAGAAAGTTCTTGGGACATCTGTGGTTGATAGATCTCAATGAAACCATTCTGATCCGGATGATACTAATGATGAGAATTAAGATAAATTTAAGAATGAGCAAGCATATGCTAAGTTAATTCAGTTCTTAGATGATAATAGTCTGGCTTTAATCATACGAGAGGCAGCTGGTGGTGGAAGAAAAGAGCTTCAGATATTGAGAGACTATTATGCAGACAAGGGAAAACCCAGAATAGTTAATTCAGAGAGCTAAGGACCCTTCAAAAAGGTATACATGACAATGTGTGTGAGAATGAGCAATTACAGCTTTAAAAGTGACGAATTGCTGATAACGATTGCAATGGAAAAGTACCAACAAGGCCTAACAAGGTGGAAACAATTGTCTGGAGTTGCTGTATCTCTCGTGCAGAGAGAACTGACCTGCTTTTTGATCTGGACTGCCCTTTTGGGTGGAATCACTTTGATATGCAAACGGCCTGGTTCTATTTGTAATGGCACAAGATGAGCTAAATCAGTTTGAGATCTTATTGGAACACTATTTAAAATGACAAGATGTCTGTTAATCAAAATTAAATTGCCAAAGGAATTATGGACAAAAGCAGTAATGACTGATCCAAAACAGGTACTTTAACAACTGCCCAGTAGAAACTTAATATTATCTGTTACAGGACAAAAGACTATTAAAACAAAACCATCCTTAAATTAATTTTTGAGGGTCAGAATGTTTTACAAATAAGTAAGATAGGAAGAAGATCTATTCAAAGTGTGAGAGAGGAATTTATGTTGGACATGACAGGAACAGCCATTCTTATCTAGTATATTATCTGGACACCAGAAATGTTCGCAAGCACAGGCTTGTGGCATTTGTTACAAAGAAAGCTGTTGGAAAACAACCTCAAACTCAACTATTGCATAGTGAAGAGAGAGTAGTTTGCTCGGAAGAGATCAAGAGAGTAGTGTGTTCAGGTTTATTAATCTAATACATCACATAAAGCATACCCAGATGCCTTCCCTGCTTTTATCATTCGACATAGAGAAGGCATTTTATATAATCCTTTTTTATTGAAAGATTTTACAGATTTTACAAGTAATAGAAAAACAATATATTAGGGGAGGGGAAAGGAAGGGAAAACTTGGAAGTGGGAAAAGGGGGGTATCCATCCATTATAATGGTAAGTATGTTAATGTACAAGGCACTTAAGTTGAAAAACATTCCATAACAAGTTATTAAAGGTTATATGTTTTTTGACATTGGTTTCCCATTGATCCTAGTGGTATTTCAATTATGCAAATATATGTGTGTTATTTCTATGTGATAATTCGTATGATTTGTGTTAGTTTTAGTACTTCTTTAACTCAGGGTGTCTTTTTAGATTTCCAATATCTAGGTAGGCATGTGGTTGCAGCTATCAGAATGTGGCCTACTATAATTCTATCTATTTTACTGATGGATTCAGGGAATTTTTTAAATAGAGCCAGTTCAGATGTGAAGCTACCTATGTTACTGTTCACCTTAATAATTAAGTCATGTATCATTTTCCAATATCTAGTCAGTCTTGGGCAAAACCACCATATGTGGGCCATGTTGCCCAGTCCTCCGCAGTCTCTCCAACACCTATCGCTGTACTTATTATTCATATTATGCAATTTAGACAGGGCCAGATACCATCGATAAAGAATTTTAAAGTGGTTTTCGTGATGGTTGGAGCAGAAAGATAGGCTCTTCAGATCTGAAAAAAAACTGAACCGATCCTCCAACTTATATTGGGAACCCAGCTCTGTCTCCCAGGATAACATATGCTTCAGTTTAATTGATGGTTTATCGTTATGTAACATATAACAGATAGATATAATGCCCTTCCTAATTGGGTCATGCAAAAATTGCTTTTCTAGTTGTGATATTTCTAGTGCTTTAGAATTTTTGTCGGTTTCCGGTATGTTGTATATTTCTTTTAATTTCTCAATCACCAACTCACATTCATCCTTACATTCGGTCGCCAGTCTATGCTTAAATTGTAATCTTTGATAAGACAAAATAAAGTTTCCATGGAAAAAGTCATCTATATGATACAGTCGTTGTTCTTTAAAGGACCACTATAGTGCCAGGAAAACATACTCGTTTTCCTGGCACTATAGTGCCCTGAGGGTGCCCCCACCCTCAGGGACCCCCTCCCACCTGGCTCTGGAAGGGGGAAAGGGTTAAAAACTTACCTTTTTCCAGCGCTGGGCGGAGAGCTCTCCTCCTTCTCTCCTCCTCCGTTCCTCTTCCTGGGCTGAATGCGCACGCGCGGCAAGAGCTGCGCGCGCATTCAGCCCGTCGCATAGGAAAGCATTTACAATGTACAATTTACAATGCTTTCCTATGGACGCTGGCGTGCTCTCACTGTGAAAATCACAGTGAGAAGCACGCAAGCGCCTCTAGTGGCTGTCAATGAGACAGCCACTAGAGGATTAGGGGGAAGGCTTAACCCATTCATAAACATAACAGTCATCTGAAACTGCTATGTTTATAAAAAAATGGGTTAACCCTAGAAGGACCTGGCACCCAGACCACTTCATTAAGCTGAAGTGGTCTGGGTGCCTAGAGTGGTCCTTTAAGTAATGATGAGTTTAAGGTCGGGATTTTAAAGATTCAATTGGCATGACTCTTTATAGTTTTGTCAAGTGACAGTTGTTTTTAAGTACTATATCCCAGGCTTTAAGTGTGGTCTTAGTGGTCATAAACATTTTAGTTACTCCAGGTCTCCTTACAGGGCTTAGCCAGGGTAATTCCCCAAGTTGAAAGGGGAGAATGCTAGATTCCTCCATCTCCATCCATCTCGCGTTTTTTTTTGATTATTAAAGCTTACAACCGCTGCAGCATTAGTTGCAAAGTAGTACTTTCTGAAATTAGGGACACCAATGCCCCCATGAAGTTTTTGGTGCTGCAGGGATGTAAGCTTAATTCTGGGTTTGTTGTTTCAAATAAATTTTAGCATTATTGAATATACTTTGTTAAAGAAGGACATTGGAAAAGATAAGGGGATAGTTCTAAAATAGTACAAGATTTTTGGGAGGATTGACATTTTTTTGAAGGCAATTCTTCCTAACCACCATAACTCCATACCACCCCATCTCTCCATCTCCTATTGTAGGTCTGGCCATGCTCTCTTCAAGTTATGAATATGCATATTGGGTAAATGTTTGCATAAATTAATTCCTGAATATTCCAGGTAATCCCTCCTCCAATCGAACAGATATGATAGTCTTAATTCATCCATCAGATTTATGCAAGTGGAAAGGTAGGACCTGGGTCTTGGATACATTTAATGTATAATGAGATACTTCTCCAAACTGGAGTAGAATAGTATTGAGAGATTTTAGAGAGTATTTTGGGTTTTTGAGTGCTAGAATGATGTAATCTGCAAATAACCCTATTTTATGAGTGGATCCCTTGATATTAATACCTGCGATTTCTGGGGTCGTCCTAATCAGTTCGACCAGGGGTTCCATCGCCAGGACAAAAAGAATTGGAGATAAGGGGCAGTCTTGATGCGTCCTATTAGTTAGAGAAAACGTTCTGGATTGGAAACCTGAGGCCCATACATGAGCTGTGGGTGCACTGTATAGTGCCTTTATCACAGTAATAAAAGATTGTGGAATATCAAATCTGCTCAGTGTCTTCCATAGATATCCCCAATGTACCCTGTCCAATGAAAGGAGCAGAGAAGGAGTTCTTGTTTAATTGATATGCTGAATTAAGTTAATGAACCATCTCGTTCCATCAGATGCATGTCTACCTTTCACGAATTCCACCTGGTCATTATTGATCAATAAAGGTATTAGATTAGTTAATCGGTTCGCTAGTATCTTAGAATACATTTTTGTGTCGTTATTAATAAGGGATATGGGCCTAAAATTAGAGCATCTGTCGGGAGTTTTACCCGGTTTTGGCAAGGTGACAATCTGTGCGGACAAAGACTCTCCTGACATCTTCCCCCCGGACTTATAAAAGTTGAATAGTTTGGACATATGAGGAATTAAAGTTTCTGCAAAGGTCTTATAGTATAAAATGGTGAATCCATCAGGACCAGAGGCCTTTCTAGATGGCATGAGCTTAATCGCCTCGGCTATCTCTGCTTCAGATATATCACGCTCTAATTTTTCCAAATTATCAGAAGACAGCCGAGGCAACGAAACCCTGTCTAAAAAATTATAATAGTCGCCTCAGACGGCTGGGTGAGATTTACATCAGATTCCAAATTATAAAGTACACTATAATATTTGGCAAATTGGTCACTAATCTTATTCGGGTGAATATTTTTTGTCCCTGGTCATCTATTAAGTACGCAGTTTTAGAATGGGCATTCACCTGCCGGAGTTTGGACGCCAGTAGAGTTGAGGCCTTGTTACCCTTTAAATAAAACACTTTCTTGAGGCGTCTCACCATGAGAGTAGTTCGATCCAAATTTATTTTGTGAATTTTTTATTTAATCTCCCCTATCATTGCTGACAGGGAAGAAGATGCCAGGGAGGGCCGAATTTATTTGCCTGATTTAGGTTGTACAATTCTTTTTCCAAATTTCTTAAGTTGCCGTTAATTTTCCTCTTCAAGTGAGTCGCCCTAGAAATGAAATGGCCTCTCAACATAGCCTTGTGCACATGCCATGTCACCTCGTCAGGAACCTCATGCGAAACATTTTCCAAAAAATAGTCATTCAGTATCCCTTCAGCTAGCGATCTATTTTCAGGATCATCTAATAAGTAATCACTCAGTTTCCAGTGCCTATTGGGGGAGAAAGAAACCATTTCGTCTATATGCAAAGTTATGGGAGCATGGTCAGACCAATTGATATCTAAAATATCAGATCTTGAGATGTGCGGTATGAGAGCACCCTGTATCAGAAACCTGTCCAGCCTGGAATACATGTTCTTGGATACTGAGTAAAAAGTAAAGTCTCTTTCATTCTCATGCATTAATCTCCATGGATCATACAGTCCACATTCAACCATATATTTGAGCATTTCACAGCTAATCTATCACTATCTCTCCTATGGAGTTTATCCAAATTATCCCTTGCATTATCTAAGTCACCATCCATTACAAAGTAGATATCTCCACACATCACCAAAGTCCCTTTCATGTTCTCATTCACCAAATCCATAATTTTCCTAAAGAAAGTAAGCTGTTAGGAAAGTACACATTGACAATTGCATACATAACGTTGTTAACCTTACCAATCCACACTATGTACCTTCCGTCATCATCTGTTATTATCTTTTCTGTAGAATTAGCCACATTCCTGCTAAAAAAAAATGGAAGTACCTCTAGACTTAGTTTTGTAAGTGCAATGAAATTGGGAAGGGAATAACCGTGTCATAAATTTGTACTCTTTTCCTTCCTTAAGATGAGTCCCTTGAATACAGACAATATCTTTTGTTGGATTTGACTTCTTTGAACAATAGTCGCCTCTTGTGAGCGGTGTTCAGGCCCCTCACATTAAATGACATGAGTTTAATGACCATGACTCAAATCAGAGTACACAGCCATAAAAAAGAGATTGTATAGAAATGTGGGAGCCCAAAGGCTCGTGTCCGAAGAGGAGAGTTATGAAATCAAACAATCGTAATAACAAATACATTTGTTTAGACAAGAGTGAGCATGCTAAAACATTTGAAGCATAACCTGTTAGCTTCTTGAATTGCTTACAGTGCATTAGTAAATGGATGGGATAAAAAGGAAAAATAAAAAATTGGGAATGATAAACTTGGATAAATTCCCCTATACGAGGAGAGAAAAAAAAACTATGTTTAGAAAAAGGGCCACGAGGGAGAATAAAAAATAATTCTCCATCTCAGGGTATTAGGCCCAGTTTGGGAGTAGCGAAAACTGCCTGCAGCAAGGGGAAAACAATCAGAGCTTTAAAGAAAAAAAGAAATGAACAGTGGTATGCAGAGAAGATCAATAAAGAATGGAGTCCTTCTAGTTCTGTGATCACATCTCTAATGAAGTCCGATATATGCTCAGAATGTTCCAGGCCTATATCAGAAATCAGTAATGTAGCGGAGAGGTAGTATAATCCACAGGGTCTCCGCTGGTAACAGGAACAGCTTACAATAATCCAGGCAAAATAAGTACAACATGCAATAATCCCAGTAGCGTTGTATAAATCCTTTCCTTTCCAAGAACTAGATGACACATAGGCTGGGAGTCAACTGAGCTTTTAATCACAGGTCACAGTATATATGCAGTTCCCCATGCAAGGGGTTTCCCTACTGACATTGCAGGGGTTGTACAGTAGGGGACTTCATGGGGGACTTAACAACCCGGACATTTCTCCCATCATGCACTGCTGCTCGAGAGGGAAACTCCCACTAGAATACCCAGTTAAGTGGATTATCCCTCCGTGCAGCAGAACTAACATTTACCCACAAAAATCCATAACTTCTACATTATTCGTGATATTTTACCGAATGACCGTTCGGTAGATAGCTGGGGTCTGAGCGCACCTTTTGTGAAAGTACCGCTCAGCTCCCAGTCTAACTAACCGAACGCCGCACGAAGACACATATTATTTTACATTCACCTCAAAATACTCAATGCATATAGGGAACAAACTATGACAGCACTCCTGAACGGCCTGGAAGTCCAGCGGTATTCGTGCCGTTGAGTAGCCGATTTCAGTTCCAGGCGCTCAACGACCAAATACTGCTGGGCTAACAAAGGATCCAAGATGGCCGACCGCCGCGTGGTCGGTAGCCGAACGGCGGCCACCCTGAATCTCAATAATCACCGAAGGATACATTGTTGCAATGCTTAATGAGAGCCACACGACCCCTGTGTGTGGTCTCTCATTCGGTAGTTTATTCGTTTCACGAATAGGGTTGAAAATCCCTGTTCGGGAAACTACTGTATGAATGCTGGTGGCTTTCCTGCCGCCAGCATACGAATGCTCTTGTTCGCCTAACATGAACAAAATAGGTACATGCTTGGTTCTCACATTCTTAAAGTTACAGCAACACATTTTTACACATATAGTCTGAAGTGGCTAGTTTTGCCACAAGTAATATACATTCAAAAACGTCACTGACCTATAGACATTTAACCAAGTGTTGATGCACAATAAAGAGCATAAAGAATGTGGAACCAAAAAATGGGAGAGAGAGGGGAAATAAAAAAAAGGGAAAGAGAAAGAGAAAAAACAATTTGTAAGTAATAAAATGGATGTGATAAAACAACGTGGAGAAAGTAATAAATCCAAACCAGCAATATGTATGTTGGAGCTTTTGTGCCTTCAAAAAATTAAAAGAAAGTATCTTCAAGTGACATCCGCCCTACTTTTCTTGTGGGTGTGTCTTGGAGTAGAAGGTGAGGTTACGTGAGGTTGGGTTTGACGTCTGTTCATGGCATTAAGAAGATCCATCCCTTCCTCAGGAGAAGTGATTGTGAAATTGCTGCCATCCATATGAAAGAGTAGTTTTACAGGGAATCCCCATCTGTAACAAATCTCTCTTTGTCTCAGCTCTGTCATGAAGGGTTGAAATTCTCTGCGGCGTCTCATAGTGTAGGCTGAGAAATCTTGGAAAACTTTGATATATTTATAATCCGCAGGGAGACCTGATTTGCAAATAGTGCTCAGGATTTCCTGTTTTATATGAAAAAAGTGTAGTCTTACTATGGTGTCTTTTGGAGCTGTTGCAGGTGCATTGCCAGATTTAGGGAGTCTGTGGATACGATCCACTATTAGATCTAAATCAGTAGCTTTGGGTAAAATCGTTTTAACCATTTTTTGGAAATAATGTATCAAGTCTGAGGTGTCCACATTATCAGGTATCCCCCTGATCCTCGATTTGTTACGCCTGCTCCTGTCTTCAGAATCCATTTTTTCCGCTTGCAAGGTGACCTGTTTCTGAAGTTCCTTCACAGTGTTAACTAGATCTAAATGTGATTGTTTTTGCACCTGCATTTTGTATTCAACATCTTCTGTTCGTTGACCAATGTTTTCTAAAACTCCCTACATAGTGTCAAAATCTTTTCTAAAGTCATTCTTTAAATCCACTCTTAAATTTTGTATAAGTTGAATAATCATACCAGCAGAAGGTGGTAAATCCTCTGCCATTTCAAGCGGCATATTAGATTGTAGGTCATGGTTTTGAATCCTGAAGAAGCCATCTTGAAATTTCTATGTTAGAAGTGGCAGTGGCCATCTTGGTGGTGGCAGTGGTTACATGTACAGTGGTAGACATCTTGGATGTGGTAAAATCATTAATAGAAGTCTCATTAGTAGCCATCTTGGTAGAGGCTTCATGCCTGATGTTTTGTTGCATAGAAGAATAATAAATGGAGCCTAGTTCTTCCTCCAGTAAATCACTACTGTCTATTAAATTGTCACCATCAACTATCAATTCTTTGTCTTTTAGGGAGATGGAGGGAAAGACCCCCCGCCAGTGTTCCCAGCCGTGAGGCCGAGGACCTCGATGGGGACCTCATGCCCCCTATATCCTCCTCTGTATCTCGGCCGCTTTTGTATACCAGCGACCCGGCTGCTTTAATTACAGCGCGCGAGCGGCTGTCAGCTTCTGTTAAGCCGTTTGTGGGAGATTGTCCGCGGCACTCCGAGAGTGTCGAGTGCCCAGAGTGCACTGAGCCACCCTCCAATGCCGCAGCACTTGCAGCCTCGATCCCACCGCTCTGAGAGTAATGCGAGCGGGTCGCGGCTGCGCTCTCTTAAGAGCGGGTCTGGGTAACTGGGCGGGTGGGCGGGTGGGATAGTTTTCACCACTCCCACCAACGTGGATTTCTGTGGCGAAATATGCCACGGGACAGTTTTGTTGGCAGGTGAATGGGCCTGCAGGCCTTTACTCACCCCTGCAGCTCCAGCCTCTCGATTTTGAAGTACAGGCACGTTTTTTTCCGTTTTTTTTTTGTTTCTGCATTGTTGCCAGTTGTTCAGGTGTCTCTTTCTGTGTAAAATTCTCTGTCATCCAGGCTTAATATTTTTTTTATGAAACATTTATGTCCCCTTGCCTCAGGAGCTCCTCTAGAACGTGGCCATCTAAGATGGTGGCCAGACTCCGCCCCATTTGATAAAATCCATCGGGGCAATCTGAGAGAGATGATGGTCAAGATCAACTTGCCTTTTTCTTTTATTACTGCCATCATTGTATTGTACTGCAACCCTAGGACAGACATTTTTGCCTCTGTTTTCCTTTCAGATACATTCTCACTGTCAAATTGTACCAGACAGGATTGCCCATTATTGCCTTTGTTATTTATATTAGCCATGGAGCCCCTGGCTGAGACCACATGAAAGACAGAAGAAATTGAGAGTCTCTGGATTGGTGAAAATTAACATAAAATTGGTCTATTTGCAGATGGTGTTATTCTTTCTCTCGCTAATCCTCAATTGGACCATTACATCAACTTGACAATATCTCTTACTATAAAATCTACTCACATAAAACACAAGTGCTGTCGTTCAACATTCCACAGCCTGTGCTGGCTGAATTGAAGGAAAGATACCAGTTCGATTGGAGGGATTCTTATATATCCTACTTGGATATTAATTTGACAAAGAACCTATCAAAGATGCATCTTTTTAACTTGTGGCTTGAACTTAAAACTGACATGGAAAGATTTCAGGCCTAGAAATATAATAGCTGGGTAGAATAACATTGATTAAAATGAATATTCTCCTTAAAATCTAATATTACTTTATGACTATTCCCCTAGCTGTTTCGTTATCTTTTTTTAAGAAAGTACATTCTGACTTACTAAAATTTATTTGGAAAAATAAAATATACAGAGTTAAATTAACAATCTGGCAATTGTTGATGAGTTGTGGGGTTCTGGGGGTACCAGATTTCAAAAAATACTATTATGCAACCAATGCAGCGACTGCCATAAAATTTAATTTGGATTATAACAAACCAAAATGGCTAGAGCTATGCTGCTTTCTATTTTAAAACATCACCTGCCCCACCTGTAATTAAAGATTGGCATTTAAAATCTATTTTTAATAGTGATAATTTCTTCTCTCTTTCATGTAATAAAAAAAAAATGGATCTGGATGATGCTATAGACCCCCACCCCAGTACTTTATGATTTTGGTTATAGTGCGAGAAAAAATTGATAATTTGATATTATTGAGCCAATTTGAATGTAGGAAAAAAGTATTTATTTCAGCCCAACCAGAAGCTTTAATTAAGTTATTATTATTATTTTTTTTAACTAATGATACTACACAAAATGTTATGTTATCGAGGGAAAGGGAGTTAGGCATTCGATAGGACCTAAAAGAGTAGTATGAGATGTTCGCATCTCTCAAAGGAATTAGATAAGGTTCTTAGGTATGAGGAGAATTATTATAAAATCTTATACCAATGGCACCTAGCCCCTTCAAGGTTACATAAAATGGATATTAAACTTTCAGATAGGTATTGTACTTCCTCCCTTGCCACTGCTTTTAGGATACACTGCTTTTAAGATAAAGGGGGTGTAAGACAAATAAAAGCTGAAAGATAAATAGATATGGCTGTGTTTTATGGTTTATTTGTACAAAATCTGATGCACTATAAATGCAGTAGTAGACACCCAATTGAAGCAATACACAAATATGTGACATAGCACATCAACTTTCTTTTCTTGTTGGGCATATTAATGTAGATGCATTTTTATGTGTGTGTATATATATATATATATAGTTCTGTCTGTAACATTGAGCTCTTCTATTCACCTACCCTTTAAACTCCCATCTGCCCTAAGACTATAACACTTTTGCTGGAGAGACGCATCTGAAGGCATCCAACACAATATAGTTCATAAATTCACAAGGGATGGCTGACAGCAAAACTGTTTACAAACAATTCTACACAACAGCCTATACCCTGTCTCACCTTCTGTATTAGTTACTTATTATAATGATTAGTACATTATATATTAGAATTACACTTCTCACTATGCTAGCAGCAATCCACACTTATGAACTATTAATAAGGGGTAGGCAATCTTCAGCACTCCAGATGTTGTGGACTACATCTCCCATAATGCTCTTACAGCCAAGGGGGGTGTAGTCCACAACATTTGGAGTGCTGAAGATTGCCTACCTGTGCATTAGATGGATATTCATTACTAATAGATTTGTTATCTTACCACTATGGATTATGTACACCAGGATACTATGCATGTGTTTACTTTATACACTTTCCTTTATACACAAGAGCTCTCTGCTCCAATCCAAATCAATGTAAGGCTGCACCCTTATTATCTTTGGATACGCTTTTCATGGGGACTTCTGTAGAAAAATCATTAAAAACATTTTTTTTTCTGGATTATGATTAAAAAGCTTATCCAAAATATTAAATTGAAGCCATAGTGCTGAGAAGGCAAACATTCTGTAAATACCATATTTTTTAACTTTACATTTGTATAGTCATCAAACTACCACATGTACCATCTTCTGTAAAACATTCCACTTTGATATAATTGTCATTCCTTTCCCTAGGCATAAAACTCTCTAAATAAATATCCTCCCTAGGGGAAGGAATGATAGTAAATATCATCCTGTCAGGTCTTAATTCATCTCCTCACCTACTGAAATTTAACGTCTTTTATCATTCAGGAATGGGGGCTATTTAATCAAGAAGACCACCTGCATCTTCCACAACCAAAGATCATTTGCTTATCCCCTTTTCTTGGTTTTGGTATCCTTCAATATTTGCTTTTACTGCAATCGTAAAATCCTGAAATAGCTGAATTTATATGGAGTTATATAAATTTGAGGAGGTAGTATAATAATGACAAGCAGATTTTTGTCTGTTGTTCTTAACCCCTTAAGGACCAAACATCTGGAATAAAAGGGAATCATGACATGTCACACATGTCATGTGTCCTTAAGGGGTTAAACCCCCCCAAACATTTGGCAGCTGCTTTTGCAGTACCTACCCATGTTAATGATTGCATTTTTACATAGTTACATAGCTGAAAAGAGACTTGTGTCAATCAAGTCCAGCCTTCCTCACATATGTTTTTGCTGTTGATCCAAAAGAAGGCAAAAAACCCAGTCTGAAGCGCTTTCAATTTTGCAACAAACTAGGAAAAAATTCCTTCTTGACCCCAAAATAGCAGTCAGATGTCTCCTTGGATCAAGCAGCTATTATCCCACTAATTAGAAATTATATCCCTGTATGTTATGTTTTTGCAAGTATTTATCCAATTGCAGTTTAAACATATGTATGGACTCTGATAAAATCACCTCTTCAGGCAGAGCATTCCATATCCTTATTGCTCTTACTGTAAAAAAAAACCTCTTCTTTGCCTTAGATGAAATCTCCTTTCTTCCAGCCTAAATGTGTGACCTTGTGCCCTATGTATAGCCCTGTTTATGAATAGATTATTTCTCATTATGTATGTGTGTGAGTGTGAATATACAAGTGTATATATTATATACACAAATCATATGTAAATGTGTATCTATTATATATTTTTCAGGTGTTTAAGTTCTATGGGAGTGGGATGCATAACTATGCCTAGGCAGGGCCATCTTTAACGCATGGCAAAAGGGGCAGCTGCCCCGGGCCCTGTCATCCTAAGGGGCCCAAATCAGCTGCCCCGGGCTCTGTCATCTTATGGGGCCCAATACAGCTGCCCCTTCAGCCCACCGGCCGCCATAGAGTGTGTGGCCCATGTGGAACTACCACCGTGGGCCACATGATGAGGGGGCCCATTGGGTGGCCCATGATCTAAGGGCCACCCGATGGCAATGTATTTTTGGGGGCCCGGTCAGCGCTGTGGCGCTTTAAGAGCACAACCGGGCCTCCTGTGATGATGTCACAATGCTGGGAGGAGGTCACTGCCTCACAGCATTCACCGAGAGCCGCATGGGAAGAGAAGGAGAGGACGGAGGAGGGAGACAGAGCTTACACTCATCAGCCTGAGGCAGCTACTGGACCCAGGGGAGTCACGCTCCAGCACCTAAAAGGTAGGACACAGGAGGTTGACTAAAAAATCTACATTTTGCATGTGTGTGTGTATCTGTTTTTGTGTGTCTGTGTATCTGTTTGTATGTGTGTCTGTATGTGTATCTGCATCTGTGTGTCTGTGTTTGTGTGTCCATTTGTGTATCTGTATGTCTTTCTGTGTGTCTGTATGCCTATCTGTGTATCCGTATGCCTATCTGTGTGTCTGTATGTCTGTATGTGTATCTGTGTCTGTATGTGTATCTGTATGCATATGTGTGTCTGTATGTGTATCTGTGTGTGTATCTGTGTGTCCGTATGCCTATCTGTGTCTCTGTATCTGTTTGTACATGTGTAACTGTATGTGTATTTGTCTGTATGTGTATCTGTGTGTTTGTATGTGTATCTGTGTGTGTAAATGTTTGTCTATATGTGTGTTAGTGTGTGTATCTAAATGTGTATGCGTATCTATTTGTCTGTATGTTTATCTGTGTGTGTATTTGTCTGTATGTGTATCTGTATGTTTGTATGTGTATCTGTGCGTGCAAATGTTTGTATATGTGTTAGTGTGTGTATCTAAATGTATATTATTCTGTGTGTCTGTGTATCTGCATATGTTTCAGTGTGTGTCTGTGTATCTGTATGTGTGTCAGTGTGTGTCTGTGTCTGTGTATGTATCTGCATGTTATTGTGTGTATCTGCATGTTTGTCACTGTATTTGTCTGTTTATCTGTATGTGTGCTAGTGTTCCTGTTCATCTGCATGTTTGTCAGTGAGTGTATCTGTGCATCTGTGTATCTTGATGTGTGTAAATGTGTATCTACATGTGTGTCTGTGTATGCACTTGTGTGTGTATGTGTATCTATCTTTGTATGTGTTTACCTGTGTATGTTATTATTATTATTATTGCCATTTATATAGTGCCAACAGATTCCGTAGCGCTTTACAATGTTATGAGAGGGGGTTTAACTATAAATAGGACAATTATAAAAAACTTACAGGAACAATAGGTTGGAGAGGACCCTGCTCAAACGAGCTTACATTCTATAGGAGGTGGGGTGTAAAACACAATAGGACAGGAATTTGCAGTCAAATAAGGTGGGTTGCTCTTTAGGAGAGAGCAAGAGACAGGTATGTGAGGTAGAGGTTAATCTGGGAGGCCATATGCTTTCCTAAAGAGATGGGTTTTAAGGCACTTCGTAAAGGATGCAAGACTAGGGGAGAGTCTGATGGTAGTAGGCAGGCTATTCCATAGGAAGGGAGCCGCCCGTGAGAAGTCCTGCAAGCGTAAGTTTTCCACGGACAGGAGGTGGTCACGGGCAGAGCGGAGAGACCGAGAAGGGACATACCTATGGATCTGTGAAGAGATATAAGAGGGGCTAGAGTTGTTCAGTGGTTTATAGGTGTGAATTAGTACCTTGAATTGACTCCTATAGCATTCAGGAAGCCAATGTAAGGCCTGACAGAGGGGTCAGGTGTGAGAGAACTGACTAGAGAGCAAAATCAGTCTGGCAGCAGCGTTCATTATGGACTGTAGTGGTGCAGTACGGCTTTTGGGAATACCAATCAGGAGAGGGTTACAATAATCCATGCAGGAAATTACTAGAGCATGGACAAGCCCCTTGGTAGCATCTTGCGTAAGAAAGGGGCGGATGCGGACTGTGTTTTTAAGATGGAACCTACAGGATTTGGCAACATATTGGATGTGTGTATCTTTATGTATGTCAGTGTATGCATCTGTATGTGTGTCAGTGTGTGTATTTTGTCTCAGTAAAAATGAGTGCGGCTATTTGTGTGTTTATTTGTTTGTTTTTTTGTGTTGTTTCTTTTTGTGTTGGGGTGGAGTGTGTGATTGCATGCTAGGCCCAGGGGGCCCAAGCAAATGCCGCCCAGGGTCCAATCAGTATTAAAGATGGCCCTGTGCCTAGGGTAGTGAAACTTTTTAAACTGCAGCCTCTACGCTCACTCTCATGGTTGTTTGTTGGATTTGACTGTCTTTTAAAGGAACACTCCAAATCTCTAAAACACTTCAGTTAACAGAGTTTTCCCTCCTTGTCACTTTATAAAAGCTCCACTGTGCCTGGTACTTATGATTTCCTGACCAATGTGATGCTAATGCTTCTATGAGAAAACTGCATATTTAAGGTCTCTAAGTTCCTTATCTGAACATTATTCAGTCATAATCTGTACACTATCTTTGATATAGTTGTTAATACTACCCTTGCCTTTACTTTGGCTAACATTTGTGTAGCGGAGTAGAGGTATTATCCAAGGTAGCTCCACTGGTAGACAGGAACAGCAATCCAAGACAGGTACAAAACAGGTAGCGTAGTTACAATCCCTTCCCTCCAAGAACTAGACGACACATAGCTTGGAGGTCAACTGCCAGGTTTATTCACACATTTGCTTTTATGTCCTTTTCCCATGCAAGGGAGGTAACTTAACATATCCAATCACATCGTGGTTACCTCCTCTCCCTCTCCTCCCCTTAGATTAACAGTTAAGCTCATTAGTGGGAACAGAGTTTTCCCCCATTTCTGGATGTCCCCTAAATACAGGGGGTACGGTGACAAATGAGGGGTCCCCTGGTTGGTCTGTTCTGGGTGAGCAACATACTCAAATTTCACCCAGATCAGACCAGGGGTTCGGGAGTTACAGACATTCAAAGATTTGACCGACCGCAGGGATTTGGTAGCCGAAAACAGCTCCATGGATTCTGGCCCTGCGGTCGGTCTATTACACTGAACTGAAAATACCGAATGTTCAGCCATCCGGCTCTAATCTTAGGTTCGGATGAATCCCCTAGTCTGGGGGATTCATCCTACCGAACGGCGGGCCGTTCGGCAGTTTGAATCGGGCAGTTCCGTGGTCCTGGAGGTCTGAGCGGTGTCTGGGTAGTCGAGCGCCCGGTTTTAGTTCCAGGCGCTCGACGACCAAACACCGCTGTTCGGCAGTTAAGATGGCCGCCGCCACGTGGGTTTTGTGCGAACGGCGGCCACCCACGAACCCAATTACCTCTCTGGCAACATTGTTTCCCTCTATACAGGGGAAGCACACGACCACAGCAGGGTGGTTGTGCATTCGGCACTTTCCAGCGGTTCGCATACCAGGTATTCAGCGATTATTAGGACAAATACAACGCAATAATAATGCAGGTACAGTCTCTTGTGGCTGCTTCTGCCACAATTTGCTATCACTGTTTTTAAATGGTTGCTTTTAATAATATTCACCATTCACTGGCTGTACTGCTTTGCTCCTTCTTGAGCCCACCTCCACTGAATCTCACGGCCTCAATATCCATTTCTTTACAGATTGTACTAAGTGCTTCTTCTTGCTCCTTCACACCTTCTTCCACTGTTTCATCTAGAGCAAGATTTATCATAAGGTGACTGTGGTTATATCTCCTCCTGCATCTCCAAAATCACATTCTGAATGCTTTTCTGCTTCCTGCAAAAAAAAACCTCAAGTACATCTGGATTGCTTTTATTTGTTGCACTATCTCCTGTACTTTTATTCCCTAACTATTTCCTTCCCTGTGTGTTATTTCACCTTGAACCACAGCCACTACCATACTTTTTAGCTTTGATTTTTCTCTCCTTTATGACACATATTTGTAATTTTCAATTCTTAACTCAATATATTGGAAAAATTACATGCGTTCAACCCATTCTTTGGTGTAAAACCCTCTGTTCGCTACTGCTTCTGAGACTTGACTGCAATTACGCAATAGTCTGTCATTCTACTTCAACAATTTCAAAATTATTGTCAGAATTTCTAAGTTTGTTCTTGTCTACCCATTCCGTAGATTCTCCACTATCTTCCTGTTCACTTATGTTCTTAATTTCTCATTCTAACTCTCACCTGTACAGTTCTTATCTCACATATTCATCTGTGTTCTTTCTTAATCTTACACATTCTCATTCCTAACCTGTAATACTGTAACAAACTTCCTTCTCATATTCAGTCAGGCACCTCCTTCAAACTTCAGCAATTTTACCTTTTTCAATAGGCCTTTCTCAATCCTCCACAGATCAATATACTTCTGGAGTGTGACCTCATCTGACCCACTCCTTACAGTCTCTCTCATTATTATATAGAAATAACATGAACCTTTGAGTCTTCTTTCCATAAAATACTACCATGCTACTTGGTCAAGCAAATCCTGTTTAAATTCACTTCTTAAACTCTTTAAGCACTATGTGCTAACTATTGGTGACGACGTGAGATTCAACAGGTGATGTTAGCTTAGTTGGGTTTATATGCAGCAGGCATAAGACGTGTTTTCACTTCTTTTGTCATATGTAGTTATATCATCTGTAAAAATTCTTTAATATGTATTTGAGAGGTTTGCACTTTTTTAATTTTAGATACAGATTAACAGACACAGCAGGAGTGTCATATGGCAAATCACAGATAAAATAAACATGCATGCTGTTAAGGGCTTAGATAGTAGTACAGGAACTAATAATATAAATATATATATTTATAGATTACCTGGTTGATTGGATTTATGGTAAACTCAGCACATCTAAGCATGGGTGTAGGGCAGGGGTAGTCAACCTTCGGCACTACAGATGTTTTGGACTTCATCTCCCATAATGCTTTGCCAGTATTATGGATGTAAAAGCATTATGGGCGATGTAGTCCTCAACATCTGGGAGTGTTGAAGGTTGCCTACCCCTGGTGTAGGAAATGTGAGGACTGGGAATGGGCAAATGCACCCCCCTCTCAAAAAAAATGTGTTTATCTTTTAAGATCATAAAAGACAGATATGAAAAATATAGCATATGTTAAGAGTTGCTTATCCCATTCTCACTAGTGATACTATATCCTTTTACCATTAAAAAACTGCATGATTTAATGTATGATCTTCAAGTGGGCCTGGGATTTTTATGAAGCGCCCCTCCCCCTGCCCCTCCCCCCCCCCGCCCCACAGGTTGCTGTTGGCTCCTAGGATGAAGAATCCGTAGAATCCTAGCACTGTACAAATATCATACGAAAGAGTAAGCTGAAGTAAATTATCTTAGAATATACTTACGATGACCATTTATTTATGCAATATCAATAATATTGACTAAATGACACACTTGATCAACCATGAATAAATATCTATTAAATCTACCACCATAGATAGTAACATAATGTTCAATATAAACTCATTAAGGCATATACCTCTTATTGATAACAACCTAATATTCTCACTATAAAACTACTTTTTATTTAGTGTAGGTGACATATTTACTGATTTTATCATCATCTGCAGTGGATACCTCCACAAGTTACCTTTGAAAACCTACAGGTTACCATAAAAATGCCAGATAAGGCAAACATAATAAAGACAAACAATAGCATTGCATAGACTAAATAAACACGTTTGTATAGAATAGATAACAGCAGTGACAAAATGAAAAATCACAATTTAAAATATGGATGTGGCATGTATGGAGGTTGCAACCCCCCTTTGAACCACCCGCATGATAAAATGAGAGATAGAGAAAAAAAATAACTGCACTCCAATCACGTGAAGATCCGGGTGCTAAACTGGACCAAGGGCCAGCACCAGCCCTAAGGAGTAGATATCAGTGGGAGAAAGAGGATCAAGGCACGCCAAGTATCTTCAAATGTATTTATTGGGACAAGTGAGACACAGCAACGTTTTGACCTCTGAAAGGGTCTTTGTCAAGTTTGACAAAGACCCTTTCAGGGGTCGAAACGTTTAGGTGTCTCACTTGTCCCAATAAATACATTTGAAGATACTTGGAGTGCCTGGATCCTCTTTCCACCATAGGGAGAGATAGAGACAGATATGTAAATGTAGTGAAACAGGTTCCCTTTAAAGTGTTACAATGGTGCTAAATAATATTCCATATACAATATCATCCTACACATACATCCTAGTGCTGGTATTCTAATGCTGATGGTAGAGTTTATGAGCACTGAGATGCTCTAGGGGAGTGTTTGACTTATATTATCATCACTTAATAACCTGCTTCACTAAAACAGGGAGTTCAGCAACAACATGGAATGTTATTTTCAAACAAAGGAAATATGGTCAGATTTAAATAATACTGCTGAATTTACAACAAAATTGATAGAAAATTAAAACATAATGCCAAAATGGGCAGAGACTGAAATTGCAACCTACTCTTCCTACACTTTGGACCACAATCATTAATTTCCGTAATAAAGTATTATTGGTGGCAATACCTTATATACTACATTTTAATTGCAGAAACAGCTATCCACATAGGCATAGAATTTACACAAATCCCAAGATTATTTATTGTGTCTGATACATTGTATATAAAGTCATGAGTCTTATAGCTTCTGCATGGGAGTGAAATATTTCAGAAGATTTTGTCAAAATTAAAAACAACTTAATAAAATTCAGTTTTATTTTCTAAATGGTGAATTGAAATAAAATATAAACACTAATACAACATTTAAACCAGAATAGATAGATTGAAAAGATTAACCAGCTCAGCTAGTTTTAGAATTTAGCAAATTGAGGGTAAATGTGATATTCAGTGTTTAATTCAAAACATTTTTCAGTGTAAATAAATCCAGAGATATCTTCAGAATACATGGCTCCCAGTGCAACGTATTATAGTCTGCTCCCTTTACACACCATTCTCACCACTCTACTGACCCAAGACCTCCATCACATTTTTTTTTTTGTTCTCTTAACTAATATTTATTTCCCTTAACAAATATCCTAGGATTATCCTACTTATTAGAAACCGTTATTTCCCATTTATAATGTTTTTACTTTTTTATCATTATCGATTCCAAACTCACACTCTTGTTTTTATGGAAACATATTCTCATGACATCATGCACTAGAAGAGAACAGTGATCCACAAATTCCACTGTACATCATCAGAGTAGCATAGTGTAGGATGTGTATATAATACATCATGCCATATTATCTCTTCCATATATACAGCTAGTGTTAGGTACATGGTCAGGATTTCAAAGTCATTGTGTTTCTTTAAAAAAAAAAAAAAAAAAACTATAGTCACCAAAACAACTTTAGCTTAAAGGACCACTCTAGGCACCCAGACCACTTCAGCTTAATGAAGTGGTCTGGGTGCCAGGTCCTTCTAGGGTTAACCCATTTTTTCATAAACATAGCAGTTTCAGAGAAACTGCTATGTTTGTGAATGGGTTAAGCCTTCCCCCATTCCCTCTAGCGGCTGTCTCATTGACAGCCACTAGAGGCGCTTGCGTGCTTCTCACTGTGCTTTTCATAGTGAGAGCACGCCAGCGTCCATAGGAAAGCATTGAGAATGCTTTCCTATGTGACTGGCTGAATGCGCGCGCAGCTCTTGCCGCGCATGCGCATTCAGCCGACGGGGCGGAACGGAGGAGGATCGGAGGAGGAGAGCTCTCCGCCCAGTGCTGGAAAAAGGTAAGTTTAACCCCTTTTCCCCTTTCCAGAGCCGGGCGGGAGGGGGCACCCTCAGGGCACTATAGTGCCAGGAAAACGAGTATGTTTTCCTGGCACTATAGTGGTCCTTTAATGAAGCAGTTTTTGTCTATAGATTATGCCCCTGAAGTTTAATTGCTCAATTCTGTGCAATCTAGGAGTTAAATAATGTATAACTTCATAACTATATAGAATGCATAACTGCATTCTATATAAGCCTAACCCTAAACTAAACCATGTCTATGAGCTTAACGTATCCCTTACCATCCTCCTATCTCGAACTCCAAGCAAGTATGATGTTGGTGTCCTAGATTGACGTGGGGGCAACATTGCATTGACTATAGCAATGAGTATAGAGTGCAACATGACTACAACATTTTACAATGCCGTGACATATTTGGATGCAATTACTTCTTAGATGTATTGGGTGACACTTTGTAGTCAACATTTCAACAGAATGAATTTAAATGAATACCATGGTATAAGTAGTTGAACAGTTATCTTATTATAGAACGAGGCAGAAAAGAAGATGGAGGAAGCAGTACACTGGGTTTTCAGTACGGAAGCACCATTAATATTGCACTAATCGTTCTAAGGGTAGACCAACATACATGCCCTTAGAAGACCAAGAAGCAAAACCCTAGGTTAAAATCATTTTGAGGACAGATGATTGAAATCTGCTTGCCCCGGCCCTAGCTGTATTGCTATCCTGACCATTGTCATCATCATAAACATAAACCTTCTTATGTTTTGATTTCAATGTTGCTGCTGAATCAAAATTACTGACAAATAAATCAGGCCTTAATCTAAGCCAGCCTCAACATAAGCTACCACGTGTAAGGAAAAACCTCACCGTAAAAAACACAGTTAGAAATACAAAATACGGATTGCCACTTTTCTTAGCATTGTGTTTCCCTAGAAGATTGTTAAGACCAAATTCATCATCCTAATAATACAATTATACACGTAGGAGGGTGATAAACCTTTAACCCCTTAAGGACCAAACTTCTAGAATAAAAGGGAATCATGACATGTCATACATGTCATGTGTCCTTAAGGGGTTAAAGCAGAGAATTGCACAGATCTATCTTCTGTACTTCATAAAAGATAGCTGACCTCAAGGACACAGTCGTCCTTTTTTCCTTATAATACACCACCAAGGATACATTGCGATGTAATGGGTGATCCTGATACTCAGATGCTGAGTAAAAAAAAATTGTGGCTGTACAAAAGATAAACTGCTACTTAAATGGAATTAACATTTAGTCAGCATGATCACTTTTGTAGTAGCGGCTAATAATATTAGATATGTTGGAACAATACTATTAATGAAGATGCCATGGCCCTTTCCCTGTATATCAAAGTTCTCAATTTTTCAATGTTATGAAGTTAAAGAAAATCACCTGTATTACTCGTAAAATACTAGTCATTCCATGCATGTTTGATTTTTACTGGAAGGTAATCTGAGCTAGGTGTTCACACTTCATTGCTTACCTACAAGCAATAAAACATTGCTTACCTTAAGAACACAGAATTGAGGCTGGCTGCAGCACTAAGCCGAGAACGATCATGTGCATTCAAGACAAAAGCTTCACTTTCCTCCATAAAAACAGAATCTTCCAAAGATGATTTTTTCATATTTTCTATGGTGTATTTATACAACCACAACAATGGAAAAACTGACAACGGTGAAAGCTGATCACTGTGCCTGTGCCTTTAGCAAGGTTGTGAAACAGTAGCCTTTCCAGTTCCGGAACTATGCAGTTGGCTCGTATTCATGTCAGTCCAGTTTCTTTGCACGTTAATAAGTAACTTCCAAGATTTTGTAAATATGCAGATTTTATTCAACCTGTGCAAATCCTTTAAAATATGAAATATGTCCAAAGGGTATGGATTGCTCTGAATAGATAAGATCAATTGCTTAATATATTGGAATTTTTTTTCCATTAGCATTTTCTTTGCTATTAAAGTTTGTGTAGTGCCTTAATAATGTAAATAGGAAGGCTAATTCATTTCAGCGTTTATAGCTATTGATTTATACTTAAAGATTTCTGCAAGTTTCCACATAGAGCATGTCTCGTCAGGGTACTTTTACACTTTTCTCTATTTCTCTTTTTCTCTTTTCTCTATTTAATGTTACAAGTTGCATAGGTGTTTATTTACTAAATAGTGACTTATGGTAAACTGAAATGTAAAAATGAACGCTAAAACAGCCAAATATTTCTAACTCATCTGGGATTTTGTTCATCTCAACTAGCTCATCTAATTTTTCAAATTTCAATTTTCAAATACCGCAGCTCACTGTTTAATGAACATGTTTTTTAGAGTTACCTCCTTGTTGGTGAACGAGTATATGCTTATATATTGTATTATATGACATTATCTATTGTAATCCGGAGAACTTCTAGATCAGGGTTTGGCAACCTTCGGCACTCCAAATGTGATACTCCTAGCCATCAAACATCTTTTTTCCCCATCAATTATCTATTTTTTTGGTGCCACAGGCAGAACTTTGAATAAAACTGAAACAAACATGTTCAGTCATCATGCTAGTCATTTGCTCAGTTATATGTCCCTATTGTGCTTTGGAAATATCAAATTTGAACAAACATCTGCTGGTCGGAACTTAGATCAATGACAATTCAGCTGAAACTGTATGCATACGTCTAATCAGCAACTTATATCCAAAGCATCATTTCTACCCATTCTTTAATAACTTATTTCCATTTTCCTTAGTGCAATCATAATGACATTTCAAGCCTCTCGCTGATCTGGAGCTGGATTTATCCTGTATCTCCATAGGTTTTGAGGGTAACAGGGAAGAAGTGGAATAGAACAAGAGGAAATGATGAGGTGAAGATGAGGGAATAAATCTAAAAGTTATTATCAGAATGAAAATGTGGAATAGGAATGTAGGATTCTAAAAATGACTTAAAACAGCAAAATGGTCCAGTTTCAAAAAGGACAAACTAGCAGGGATTTAGAGAAGAACACATGAAAAGGTACATGGATGAGAGGAGGGGGGAATGGTACGTGGTGGTCAGGGCCAGATTAAGAGCCCAGTGGGCCTGGTGCTGACAATTATGATGGGCCTAATTACAGAATCATATCGACCAAAAATAGTAAAACACTCCCAAGCGTCATGTATCTGATGGAGATGGTGCTGGAGAGAAAGAAAACAGCAGCTATAAGAAAACACATACCCTAGGCTAATCTCTCACTAATTTATGTTTTCATCTTTCAAGTAAATCCATAACCCCTAACAGCAGTGTCCAGTCAAGCAAGAAGTCAATGGGCACGGTAAAAGGGTGTGCCACTGACACAAATCACATAACCTGCCAAAAGGGGCGAACATGCCCAAAAAGAGGATATGACTGCCAAAAGAATTAGAAGGCCAGCCTGGTATGAATGCATGTCTGGCTGCCTGCCAATCATGCAGCTGGCCAACTAAGGGCATACTATGCAGACAGCACCCTGAACTTGGCATAAATGCATCTAATGATGGGCTTGCTCAACGCTTTCTAAGGACTGTCCCCTAGCACTCGCTGGTCCACTTGTCTCCTTACCTTCTTACTAACAGGCAGAAGCTCCTGGTATATAGTCTGGGACAGAGAAAAGCTGTATGTAGTGAGTGTAGAAGAAAGGGAACATGCCAAAGTGTTAGAAAGACCAAAGTCAGCATTACCTTAAAGGATCACTATAGGGTCGGGAACACAAACATGAATTCATGACCCTATAGTGTTAACACCACCATTTAGCCCCCCTGGGCCCCTTATACCTCCATAAATATAGCAAAATCTTACAGTATTCAAGCCTGAAGCTGTAACTCTGCATGCTGTTAGACTCAGAAAAACAAGCAGTCTGCTGACATCATTAGAAGTGGTGGTCTAATCCAATCACAGTGCTTCCCCATAGGATTGGCTGAGACTGACAAAGAAGCAGATCAGGGGCAGAGCCAGCATGATTCAAACACAGCCCTGGCCAATCAGCATCTCCTCATAGAGATGAATTGAATCAATGAATCTCTATGAGGAAAGTTCAGTGTCTGCATGCAGAGGGAGGAGACACTGAATGTTTGGATGCATTTTGGGCAGCCATGACCCAGGAAGGATCTCTAACAGCCATCTAAGGAGTGGCCAGTGAAGTTATCACTAGGCTGTAATGTAAAGACTGCATTTTCTCTGAAAAGACAGTGTTTACAGCAAAAAGCCTGACGGTAATGGTTCTACTCAACAGAACAAATTCAATAAGCTGTAGTTGTTCTGGTGACTCTAGTGACTCTATATTCATTGTCAGCCAGTCCACACAAGTTGTGTTCCCATACATCCCTCTTAAGTTTCCATACTTAAGTAAGAGTATGTGAAAAGTAGTTAGGGTTGCCACCTTTCTTGGAAAAACATACCGGCCTTGCTAATTTGCATAATTAAATATGTATGGGTGACATGATGTAAATCACAAGGAGTGACATAAGAGAAAATGCTGTAAAATCACCAATAAACTCTTTAGTTTGATTCTGCTGTATAGATGGATTTCTCTCAGTGGTCCCATGTCTCCCAGTGCCCCCATGTGTCAATTACTCCAGGTCTCAGTGTTCCTATGTATCAGTGTCTCAGTGCCCCATGTCTCCCAGTGTCCCCTAGTGTCGTGTCCCCAGGTCCCCCAGGGATCCTATGAATCACAGTGTCTCAATGCTCCATGTCTCCCTGTGTCCCCATGTATGCCAGGGTCCCCATGTCACTAGGAAGACGGGAAGACCTGGGGAAACGGGGAGACCTAGGGACACGGAGACACCAGTGACACTGGGAGACTAGGGGACTCTGGCTGGGGACACTGGGAAAATAGGGGACACTTGAAGACATGGGGATACAGACACCAGGGACACAGACACTAGAGACACTGGCTGGGGGACATGGGGACATTGAGACATGGGGGCACTGGGAGACATGGGGACAAGGACACCAGGGACACTAGCTTGGAGACATGGGGACATTGAGACATTTGAGGCATTGGGAGACATGGAGGCACTAGGAGACATGGGGACAGTGAGACACTGGCAGACTGGGGGCACTGGCAGACTGGGGGCACTGAGACACCATGGACACTGGCTGGGAGACATGGGGACACTGGGAGACATGGGGACACTGTGTAAATAAAATAAAAGCCAGGTGGAATCCCTAAGAGTAGTGTGTGAAAAAAAAAATGTAAAAAAAATTTTTTATTTTTTTTTTATAAATCAATGGGCCTATTCCATGGGCCTGGGCCTGGAGCTGCAGCTCCATCAGCCCCTATGTTAATCCGGCCCTGGTGGTGGTGGAGTCACAAGCTGAAGTGCAGCACTAGGAGTAGTAAGGAAACTTGGAATGAATCAGTGTAAAAAATTGTAATGGGAAGTGGATGAGTGTAAACTCAAATGGCATGAAACGAGAATGGGACAGGATCGAGAGAAAATATTGAAGCACTGTTAAAGCTACAGCTCATTGTAGTTGTTATGATGCCAGGGGTACCATTGCCTGTCTCCACTACTAATGCCAGAGAGCCAAAAGATTCTAAGCAACTAACACTCTCAGTCAATGATCTAATCCAGGTCTGCCCAAAATGTAGATCCCAGGATGTTGTAGAACTACAACTTCCATGATTCTTTGCATGATTTTAGAATGCGGTTAGAATGACAAAACATCATGGAAGCTGCAGTTGTAAAACATTTGAGGATATATCTATTGGGCACCCCTGATCTAAGCCCTACATTTTAGGGTTAGCTCAGGAGAGCTACTGGGAGTATCTGCTTAGGAACTTCTGTCTCTCCAGCATCAGCAGAAGAGGAAAGAGTTGCCCCTAGCAAACCACATTCAAAAAGTTGTTCAAAACCGTTTTGACTACTTATATGCTATAGTTATAATGAAGTAGAAAAAGGTGGCGCCACAGAGATAATATGTACAATTAAATATAAGCAGGTAGTAACATAGAAATAAATAATGATATATAATACAGAGAGAGAACAATAAAATAATAATAGGTATATACATATATATATAAAAAAAAATAAAAAAAATAAAAAATATATATATATATATATAAAAAGAACAGTCCAAAAACAGTCCAGTAAAACCTTGGTATAAGAGAACAATCACAATTCTATCTGAGGTAGAGACGTCTATGGAGTAGTGGGATCAAGGGGTTCGTGGGATCGGTATGAAAGAGAAAAGAAAATCTAATAGTGCAATAGAACCCAAATAGGTAGCAGCTAATAACAAAGTCTATATGGTCCTATTCACGTTTTTGAGAGCTAAAAACTAGCTCTAGTATAAACAGTGTACAGTGGTATAATCCCCACTTATGGGATACATGAGGGAGTGTTGTAAGTAGATATCTCATCAGATGGGGACCATATGTAACATAAAAAACAACAATAGTGCTCACTGTGATAAAACCAGGAGAGTTTTTTAAAAATACCAAATGGTTACTCACATTTAATTGGGCAGACACAATGCTCAATGATAGGGCGTAAGTGGTATAATCCCCACCAAGGATGCTTTGGAGAAGTATCTCTCTGGAATAAGTAAAACTCAGATGTTAGGTAGTAAAATAATAAAAATGGTAAAAAAAGATAAAATGGCTAACTCACAACAAAGAAAGTGGCCAAAATACAGTTAGTTAACATT